ATATTTTTCATAAATATTTATTAGCATCTAGCTGCTAAGGACTTCCACATTCTTCAATTTGCAGCGAGTCTGTCATTTAATTTTGAAATAATAAAATAGAAAAAGAACTCAGCCACATTTTGACACATGCCTGTAAATAATCATGACTTAGAGATGTAATTAAACTTAAATTGTAATGAATAAAAATTATACATTTTTTTGGATTAATTTAGTTCATGCCTTGCTACTTTGTATCGTGCCTATCTATTTCAGCTATTTAATATTTCAGAATTTTTAATGAAGCTGCATTTGGTCGTTCACTTATGTCGTCCAAAATTAACGGTCATTTTTCAAAAATTTTAATGAATTTTCAGGAATTTATATTGTTCTTTCTTTGCTTACCACCCCCTCCCCCTGGACGTCATAAATGAACAGCTCCCATCACGGAATCAGGAAAATCAACAATACAACAATACGTCTTAATTTTTCAAGGCATCCAATTGATTGAGAAATTTAATTTCGATTATTGATATCCAAAAAAGCAGTAAATTCAATGAGTAATTGTAGTCAAGGGCATGTAAATTTATTGTTTGTAAACAGTTGTAAGCGATGATCATTTCAGAATTGATGGAAGGACAAGTCGTGACTTTTCTATAAGAATCGGATGAGACAAGTAGTTATTAATCATGAGATTTTATCACGGTAGCTTAACATTTTTATGTTTATGTTTCGTAAAAATCGGAATCTCATTAATAATTCTGAGAAGAGAAGGTGCTCGTTAAGTTTGTTGATTGGTGACTTTGAATTGTCAGATGTTAAGTTTCGATGTTGTGACATTTTTGAGTGTCATTTGGATGTTCCTAGGGAATTCAATCTCAAAGTTATGACTTAGTTGATTATTTTTTTTATATTGATGATTTTTGAGCCTGAAACTGGACAGCTGCCAGCTTCATAAGTTCTAGAACTTCTAGTAAACCCAAAAGAACCAACATCCAACGAGAACTATAACCAAAACCACCATAATCGAACATGAAACATAGTAGCAATTTAATTTTAATGTTACAGATTAATAAATACTAATCAGCAACAAGAAGGTGTATACAGTCGAAACTATATCATTTAATGGTAAACTTGCTGTTTAAAATTAAATTTCGATTTTTCGAAATGTCATTCCATTATTTTTGTGCTGTTCTTAATGACATAATTTATGACTAAATGATTGACAATAATTTTTTATGAATTTAAAATTTTTGTAGCATTGAACTAGAAATATGGCTTGGTATGGCTGGAATGTCATTAAAAATGGGATTTAATATTTTTATTCTTTGACATAATTAATTAAGAATTTAGAATTGGAAATTAATTTTGAAGAATTTTTATCTTAATGAATTGAATTTTTAAAGACTTTTTGATTGGATGGTTCAATTAAGTAGCTGACTGAATGGTTGTCTGGCTGTGTAGAAAACAGACTAGTTTCCATGCTTTTTGACGACACCAGTTTAAAAGCTTGCTATTAAGTTGATTAGCTTCTTTATATTCACAAAAATTAGACTAAAAAGTTGAGTAAGGCAGACATTGTCATCAAATCAGTATAAACACCTCTAACAAGCAATAAAAAAAGTAGCAAGTTTCTTCTTATGACACAAGAGTTCATCCATTTTTTATATGCCATAAAATGCACGGTAAGCATCCAAACAATGAAAACTATATTTTACTGCCGTCATCAACATTTTAATAATTTTGTATCAATATAGTCGTTGATTTAAATGATTCAAAATTAAAGCTAGTACAACTATTAAGCCATTAGCCTCTATTTAATTACAGCCTTTGGCTTCGTTTATTCTTTCAAATAATATTTCAGTATTGTAAGCAGTCTAGCAATTGATGAAGTTGCAGAAGCAAGTGACTTTGAGATGTCACAATGTTGTATGCAGTTTATCATAAACAACAAGGCTCAGATGCTTCAAAAAATATTAATTGGAATAGTTTTTGAGGCAGAAGTTGTTGTGAAAAGAAAGATGATGGATAGGAATGGGATTAGGGATGACTTAAAGGTATGTTATGTGATTTTAAAGGTTTTCCAGGTTTTCTTTAGGTTGCTTTCTTTACCTTAGAATGTATTTGGCGTTTTTATGTAATAATTCAAATATAATATATTTGAGCTGATAAATTCACCCACAACATTGCTAAGACAAAATTGTTCCATTGAGGAGTCCGGACTCCGTAAACCCCTTCCAAGCTTTTCCATTTGCTTACATATATATGTAACTTCAAATCAGTGTTGCATTCTGGCTATTTGTCTGGATCAGATAAATTCTGAGACAGAAATTTCTTCATAAAGATCGATTCTATATGAAGATAGAAGATCTAATCTACACAAAGATTATTTCTACATAAAGATTCTGTCTACATAAAGATTCGATGTAGATGTCTACAATTCTACATTCTTCTCTGATGTAGACCTGGAAAAAATGTTGAATTGTAGACATCTACATCGAATCTTTATGTAGACAGAATCTTCATGTAGAAATAATCTTTGTGTAGATTAGATTTTCTATCTTCATATAGAATCGATCTTTATGAAGAAAGTTTCTTAACTAGACAAAAACTATTGAAGAATCTACATTCTTCATCTAGTGTAGACATCTACATTTGCAACACTGCTTCAAATGATAGAATTTCATAAAGCTAAACATTCCACATCATCAGACGAGCCTCGACACCCCTAAACACTTTACATTCAACATTTTACATTTAATGCGAATAATTTAACTCGATTAAAAAAAACTTACAAACATTTTATTTTATTGAATTTAATTTAAATGATCTTATTAAATTAAATCGATACACTTGTTCTGTAAAATGTCGTACAAGCAAGTCAATAAGAAGAATTTCGAATGTTCAAGTACAGATTAATTGACAGGGAGCATGAATGTGGATCACAATAATATTGAATTTATTTAACGACTTTTACTTAATCTTAATTAAGTCATAATAATGAAATTACTAATTAGAAGTAAATTTTCAGACTTTTATTTGTGGCTATTAAACCTCTCACTTCGTCGTCTTCCTTTCCTTCTTTCATAACATCAACAATGTGTTTTACTTTACTTTACAGAACGCCGAACATACGAAAGTGTGTCTTTTAAAAAATAAAAATCAAGGAAACACGGCAGTCACGACTTGTTGCTCATCATTTTTTATCCACCAACATTCTTACAAATTATCCAAGTAAATCAATTAATTATTGTTTATGTTTCATCTCGTATAAATCTAGACTGCAATGTCATTTATATTATACGATGTCGCATGAGAATTGAGAAGGGGACGGAAAAAGTTTTGAAACTTAAAACCGCATGATGCCATCACTATAGCTGCAAAATAAACTACTTAATTTGTGCAATGATGAGTGACTTTCCAAGCTGTATGATCTTTTTTTTAGTTCATAGTAGCTTTTATTAATTATTGAATCATTTAAAGCTGCTTTTTTGAGGAAATCTTGATTAATGTTCAGTTTGAGTGAGGATAAGAAGCAAGTATGCCTTAATTAATGATTAGAAATAAAAGGAAAAAGTGTAATAGAGATATTGGGATGTTCAAGACAGGGTTGCGATACATGCACCTGTGCACAGGTGAGAACCGTACAATTCCTTGATAATTTATAAGGTTTTTCTAATAAAACCATATAAATTCTAATAAAACATCACAAATTACCAAGGAATTGTACGCTTTTCATCTGTGCAAAGGTGACTGTTTTGCAACCCTGGTTCAAGTCTTACTATGAAGCTGATAAATCCTCAAAACAATATTGACACTTATAATACCTCTGATAACTAAGCTATATGCGGTACTTATACCACAAATGCCAGCACGGACCCCAGAAACAGCCAACAAAAATGTAAGATTTAAAACCGACATGCGCTTCCAAAACTCAAACTAATTCATGCCTTACTCTCATTTTGAATTTAATATTTGTAATGTATATTTTTAAAAAATTATCTCTAAGCACGTAATCATAACTGACATGTAAATTGGATAATTATTTTCATCCATTTCGTTCAAACTTTATGCTAGCTTCTAAAAAAAATCATAAAATGAGCAACTTCTGTTTTTCAGTTCCTATACGTTTATTTAAAACAATGAAGCATCATGCTGGATCAATCAAGCGTAAAAGTAAAGAATGCGTACAAAGAGATTAATAATATCAAGTTATAATAAGAAGTTGACGATTTACTGTCGAAGCAAATCATGAATTTGCGTATTTCGATCAGAAATGACACGGAGGTGCTTCACATTTCCAAGGTCTACAAGCTAAGGCTCGTGTATAGAATCGAAATTGGATTGGCAAATGTCGAATGTATTTTAATTCGATGCTCATGCTAGAAATTCGAGTATATAATTTGAAATCAAATATCAATAAAAATTGGCACTTTATAAATTTTATTTTTATTTATTTCTGCAGTCCAAAGTTGTTTCGTCTAAAAATGGTAAAGCCGTGAAATGATTGCTCAACATCGAAGAATCTGTTGCCACAATGCAGTTTGGTATCATCAGCCTCAATTAACTTCTTATTATCCGAATGTTTGCACATTCACTTTCAACTTCTTTGATGTTGCATCGTATTGCATCTTTGCATTGAGACTGAATGATGCTCTTCTTTAACTAAAGTCTTACCTTCCCTTTGGGGTCGTTCATTTATGATGTCAATTAAAATATTGGATTCTTTTACATGTCATTCACCATTTTCAATTGTTTGAAGTGTCACAGTGTCTCAGATTCAACTTAGTGGTGCAAAACTGATCAAATCTTAATTCCTAAGTCCAGCTAGCACTGCCCTCCTTGAAAAAAGTGACATTTTAGGAGAACAACCCTTTTCATTAAAACTTACAACTCGAAACTCGATTCTTCCAAAGGTAATGAAAAGTGATGCTTTATGGATCCATACGCTTGCTTTACAGTGGGAATAATTACAGCAAAAAAAATCTTGACAGAAAGGCACAATTTGCAGTTAGAAATTCACCTGAACACATCAATTTGTGTCGCCAACAAGATCAAGTGTTAAAAATTTTAATTTTTTGATCGCAATTTTCCCCCCGTCCTGAACGTGAGTGGACTTTTAAAAAATGGTTCGTAGATTATTTTGTGCAATTAATTTAAAGTTAATGACAAGCTATGTATTGATTTTGACGCTTTTAACGCAAATTAATTGAGAATTCGAATAAAGTAAAAACTAGTTTGTTTTTGTGGGCAAATGTCGTCGCTGTGAATTTAATGAATAAATAAATAAAATCTGTTTCAAGGAGAAGAGCTTCAAAAGACGCTTTTCCATCAATTCTAGTTAGACATATAAGTTTGCACTGCCTCCTATGTGCTACTCTCCAGTAATTAATAATATATGGTGAATAATAATTAAGTTTCATGAATATTTTTACGTCGCAAAAATTCTATTCTATTCTAAAGTTATCAAATGTTGGGAGGTATTTGTCTTTTTCATGTGTTATGCATGCTTGGATTGAAGCTATTGACAGAGGTGATTTATTAGGTGTTTATTCAGTCAACAAAGCCAAGCCTTTAATTAAAACCTTTGGGGTTTCTATTAAAATTTTAATGATTTTTTACTAACGGTCATTCACTTCTTTATAGACTTCACAGACTAGCTACTCACTAGAGTCTCACAGAGTTGAATAAACTCTTAAATTGCTAACCCAAATGTTGAGTAAAAAAGTTGCATGAAACAAAAAAGTTTATTAAATTAATGATGATCGTGAGAGATAAGAAGAATCCTGAGAAATTTACTGCAGTACTTATGAAAAGTCACGATCGTCTTCGATAACTTTCGTGATCTATCTCTTTATGACCATCGGATGCGATTAAGCATAATTTATTTCAAATTCATTTAATCTAAAAATGAGAAAATGTAAAGAAACTACTAAGGCTTTCATTGAATAGTGGATACAGCCAAGGACCAGTTTCTAGGGCTTTCAGAGGTATCCTCCCTAATAGCTCCAATTGGTTAATCGAATAGAAATAAGTTGGCTTTACTTTGGGATGGTGCTAGATTCGATTTGATTCGGATTATTCGATTTACCGACTTGAGTTGTATTCGAGTTAGTTCAGCACCATGCCAAAGTTAAGCCTGATTGGTGAGATGTTTGGGAGGATACCTCTGACAGCCCTAGAAACTTACTCTTGGCTGTATCCACAGTTCAATAAACCGACTTGAGCTATTCAGGCCTATGTCAAATACATGCAACCTACATCTTTAAGCCAGAATGTAGTACATAAATTTTCAATTTCTAGCGTAAAGATGGCTCTAGAAACCAGCATGGACCAGCCTCCAGCTATTTTACAAAAACAAGTACTTAAAATTTCGCGAATCATACAGCAACAACCCTGAACATAAATAAAATAATTAAAATTTTTAATGTGTGAATAATTTTTTTTCCTCCATTTTTTCAAGATCAAACCTCATGTGATTTTTATGCTAATGATGACTTATGCAATCACATCATCATTATCACAGTACGTTGAGTTTCATAGAAATCATCGACTAAAGAATGGACAGGATGATCACAAGAACGTAAGTTCTCATGACTAGAAATCATTATTCTTTAATTTTATGACTATTGAGTGTTTGTTTTTCATAATAATTACACATCGATACTTAACGAGTTCTTGATGATTATTAACATACTTGACTTTTGTGACATGGTTCTCATTTAAAAATTAAATAAAGATTTTATTCGCATTGATTAAAAATGCCGTGCTCTTGAAATGTAAGAAGAAAATCCAGCAGAAAAGAGGTTGTATGGAAAAAGCCACAGGTTAATGTCTGAAGATGTAAGACTCGCTGTGAATTTACATGCATAATAATAAATTTTTTCTCATTTTGTAACAACATCTTGCCTTAATATGCCATTTTTATTACAAAATCCTCTCGACTGGTTTTATCAGAATTTTACTTTTTATTTCTTGTAAAGTGCCATAAAGAACGTGAAGTCTAAGTAATGAATGGGGATGTGTTGGATGTTATATTGGGGGTCGTTCACTTATGACGTCCGAAATTAACCGTCATTTTTCAGAAAAAAGCAATGGATTTCCATGAATTTCTCTTGTTCTTTTCTTGCTGACCCCCTCGACGTCATAAGTGAACGGCCCCTTTGTGCTTTTTTGGATGGGATTTCTGGAGTATTGTTCTTAATGGAAAAAAAAAATTTCATTATCATCAGACTTTATGCGAGATATTTTTCTCTGCGCTGGTTGGATTCGAACCCACATCTTCAAATAGTAATAGATTCCAGAATTTAAGATTCTATTATTTTTCCACTTTAGTTCAAAAACGTTTGATATTCCGATGGCAGATTCACCTTCATATTAACCTCAAAGTACCAGAGTAGAGTTCTACTTCAACACCTTAATACCAATATTCCTCAACTTTTCCCTCCTTCTTTTCTGCAGCATCAACAACATAACAATCTCTTACATACAATTCCCTTCAATTCTTCCACTTGAATGCATAAAAAATTAACACTAATTATTTTTTACACATTAACCAGTCACAATGACTATAATCAAGCTAAATTTAACAACTACAATTTATAAGCAATTCTTTCCATTCCATTTAGATCGATTATTCATTCCGATATTACATCGATGAGCCGAACGGCGTATCACTTGATCATTGGGAAAGGAAGCAATTTGATGGAAGTGTAAGTGGCGGTTATGGATATCTCGATCCAAATGGTGTAGCACGAACTGTTCATTACAAGGTTGAAGATGACAAAGGATTTGAGGCTATAATTAAAGTCGTCTCGCCAGGTGGTCTGTTTTACTTTCAACAACAACATCAACTTCCATTGCGACAACCGACGGTACCGTTTCAGCATGCGAAACCTATTAATACACTGTAAATATTTCTCTGACCAGAGGTGAAATTGTTTTGTGTTGATTAAATAAAGGAAAAGAAAAACTTTTTGACTGCACATGTTTTGTTGATTGCTGATTATTGTATCTCTTTAGCATTTCATTAGCATTTATTGATATTGATACCATTGTCTGTTTATGGACGGCGGAAAAATTACGGAGGTATTTAACACGTCATTGAGATATTTTTGAAGTCGAGCAATTTTCATGTCAAAAATTAAGTAGTTGAGATATTTAAGACAAAAATAGAAAGGCGTGGATACTCAGGACATTTGAAAGTTATCGATAATTATTAAAGTTCATGGTAATTGAGATGCTAGTTGATTAATTTGGCTTTTAAAGGCTTGAAGTAGTTTGATATCTTCGAATCATCAGATTGATCTGATTACTAATTGCTGAGCTTCATAGCTAGCGCAGAAAGGTTAGTAAGAAAGATCTTTTGACTAGGAATCGAACTTCAAACCAGAACCGAAAGTATTAACATGTAGTTTAAATCTTATCAATACCTAAGACACCAACCAACTATATCCCAAGAATCCAGCCCTCCCATAACATCCCAAACCATTCAATCCATCTTCATCAATCAGTCGAGTGTCCAAAACATTATGACAGACCATAAAAGAACACGCAATCTCATTACTTATCCACCATTCATTAAAGTTCCAATTCAACGTCACATTTTTGGCACATTACAATAACATTCAGCGATAAATGCCTTTTAGCACGTGTATGTGCAAGCAGCACAGCGTGATGAATAAAAAATGAGAATTAATGAAGTAAATAATATTTAAGTATTATGACTGAATCCAATTATTATGCAATTGTGATGTGCATATAGCCGCAAATAGCTATTGCATCTATTGTGTGCTTTAATGACGAGTCAGAGCTTATTTGACATAAAATCAACAATACTTGACTCATTCTCAATGTTAAGAACTTTTTTTGCGTGTAAAATCACAAAGTCAATTGTACAGACACAAAAAACTGATGAGAATTAATCGTTTCCGATCGTGTTCTTGACCTTGTTAGTCGGTAGGTCAAAGAAGTCATTGTTTTTGAGCATTTTCAAAGGAAGTGGGTGGAATGGAAGGAACTTGATTTTCACTTCTACTTCCTTCATTTAAAATAAATTAAATTTTACAAAGTCCAACAACAGAAAAATTATCATAAAATGATCAATTAATAAGAAGTTGATGTATAAGATAATTTTATAGTCATGTCTATGACATACCACATGCTATGGGTTCATAGAATCGTTTAAGAGGGTCGTTCATAAATGACGTACATCAAAAATAATAATTTTTTTGCTGCCCGTCCCGCAATTTTGTTATAAAAGTTTACAAGACCTCCATAATATAAAGTTAAAGACATCATTTATAAACGACCCCTCAGAACATCAAGTATTGAGGCATAATAATTAATTTGATTAATTGTAGAGTCATAGTCATGTGATTAATGGTAAATTATTAGCTACGGTGCAATTTTTTAATTATGATTTCATAAAAGTTGATTAGAATTTTTAATAGAATATTGTGTAAATATTTGGATATCCTGCTGGAACAAAAATAAAATTGAAAAATTATTAAAAGTTTAAAATTTTATTAAAAAAAACACTAAATGTAGAGGATGAAATTACATTAAACTATATCGGCAAGGTTTCGAACCTTTGAGTGTTTAATTTTGTTTAACTTAGGAAATTTTTATTCTTTGGAAAAATTGACAGAAATAAGTATTTAAATTCAATGTGCAGAGCTTGGTTCAGATTCCACTATAAACAGTAGGACTAAAGGGTGTGGGACAATAGACTCTCATAAAATTGAATCATAGTGCCTTCAGCTTAGAAGGATAAGCCCTTCCAATGTTTATCCTGATTTATTTTTTATTAAATGAATTTAAAAATCACTTGACAAAATTAGAAGTTGTCTCAGCCTGTCTCAAATTTAGTGCTGATTTCTTGTGAATATTTTTAATTTGCTTCCTACGTGATTTATTTCAATGCTTCGAAAAAAACTTAATAAAACATCAATAAAATGAACTGCCGTTAAAGCAGTTTCATTGCAAACTGATCAGATAAGGCAAAAAGTTTATAGCTTCAAACTCCCTCTTAGATTCATTCAACATTATGAGCTTTGAGCTTGATTTTACTATTTTGTATTTAAGCTTTGAGCTTTTACTAAGTTTAATTGAACTCCGGAAAACTTTAATTTTAAGTAAAGCTCGTGAAAGCTTAATTGAAAATTTAACTTTAATTGAATGGATTCAATGATATTTAAATAAAATAATTCTGTTATTTATAATTGACACTTCTTTCTTTAAGTTGGGCGAAAGAGCTGTTCTACTTGAGCTTCTTCTCATCTTCTAAGAGGTGCTTAATATCTGAAGAACTTAAACTTAATCTTTCCAGTCCGAATGCTTTGCTTTTCAAATTGAAATAATGTCTTCTATTTTGAAGATGAAAATGAGAAATTCAGACCTTATGTCATATTGTTTTGAAAGGCCTCTTTCAGTAAGCAAAGATCCTTAATATGCGTATAATTACCACCAACATTAATCATCACCCTGAATACCATTTCAATTGCAATTTTTCCTCAAGTTTTATTCAAAAAAAATAATCCTTGCGACCAAAATGTCAACATCCATTACAATAGCAAGTAAACCTGCCTGAAATTGGCATTAAAAACCAAAACAAATCCAGTATTGATAAATGGCAATTTTCATGCAAAATATTGTATCAACATTGGATGCAAGCATTACCCGATATGGATTTTGTTGATCTTAAATACCACTAACATACAGTCCTCATTTATTTCATCATGCAAATAATATTTCATCAAAATATATAGCTAAGAAAAGTTATGTGTCTCGACTCTCATATGTAGCAAAAACTTGCATGCTGATATAATATAAGAAGTACAAGTAATTAATAGCAGATTCAATGTCATTGATCATTAATCGTGGCAATTTATTCTTGTTATTGAATAATTCTTTCATTCTCAATCTTCATTTAATCCATGAAGAAGTGGAAAAATAAAAGATAAAAAGAGAAACTATTTTCACAACACAAGAAAACATCTTTCGTTTTGTCAGTTTTGCCTGCAACAGTGTTGCATGGAAATGTGTAAAGTATTTTATTTATTTTGCAACAATATATCAGCAATGTATCACCATTTATTCTGCATGTTTTTTGAGGATATTGAGGCGATGAAGTGAGTTTTGTCTTGTTGTCGATTAAGTAAGTGGAATTAAGTATTATCAAGCTGTTGTTAGAGATTGTGGAGTCTGAGCAGGGTGGAATCTGCTGTATTAAACCATTTGTAGGTTCTGGAGCAAAGGGATGGTCATTATGCTTATGAAAAATGCCAACGACATTTTATATGTCTTGACAAAGAGCAAATAGACCCTGTCGTCGATTTCTTGACCTCCTTAACAGTAAACTAGCTTTTGAAATGAAAATCTGTGTTTTAAGAAATTGTTAAGGCTGCCTCCACCTTGCTATGTCACAAATTCTTATTAAAAGGAGATAAAAATGTTATATAAGGGGATACATAATTCCTTGATGCTCTACTGAATATCTTTGTTGATAACTGTTATCTACTACAATTTATAGTGAGATCCGAACCAATCCTTTGCTTACATTTCTGCCTGCAGCCTACAAAGGAAGGCTGTGAGTCATTTCCAGTACATATGATTCGAAAAAGGACAAGTGAAAAATTTCTCATACCCAGTCTCGAACCCATAATCGCTGTGTCGGTATTGCAAAAATTAGGTACCGAAGTACTAAACCATTCCACCACCGAGCCACTTCAGCTCACTATGTCTTCAACGACAAATTATCTTTAGTCTCATTCAGTCCATAACAAGGTGTCGATAATGTCCAACACCATTTAAAATAATGATGACATAACCCTGCGACATATTATTAATCCAATACAATTAATACATTTAAGACCTCTAACAATACATTCGATAATCATGCAATGTTAATAATACATAATTTACAGCAAAAGCATCAATTAAATAAGCAAGCTTCATCATTAACCAAACTGGAAATAGAAATCGCACAAAAATGCGTCTACATCCTCAATCTCCCATAACTCTTCAACACGGTTCGCATTATAACTTAATTCATTTAAATATGGGAAGAACATTTCAGCTTTTTCCTTTGAATTGACGTGGAAGGAAAATGTGGAAGTTGAGAGCGTGTATTGGAAAACGAGTCGTCAATTAAATATAAAATAATAAAGAAAAAGATTACATTGAATAACATAATAAAACTAGACGTGAAGTTAAGAAACGTGTACCGACCAGAAAGAGAAAATAGGAAAAGGAATGATCTGCATCTTAGAGTCGTAGTCGATTAAATATTTGAAAATGCATGCAAATGAGATTTATTCATCGATGTTGGCGGCAACCGGGTAATGTAAGACAAGCATTAAAATTTATAAGTAATTTTGATCTTTAATTGCTCATAAATACTTCTGAAAAAAATTAAATTTAACTGCATGCTGTCACGAAAGTTGGTTCCAACAGAGAAATGAAATTATTAGCATGGCGTTATGTCGTAAATCGATTAAAGTTGAGGTTGGTGTGGCAGAGGAGGATTTAAAAATGATATCAGACAATTAGAGGTGGATTGACTGCGAAAAAATGATCAAAAGGCAGTCAAATCTTTACGTCCGATAGCTTCTTCTTCTGTTAAATCTTGATTCTCATCCTTAAGTATCTACCAAATTGCCTCGAGTGGGAATCAAACCCGAGCTTTCGATCTTCAATCTACTACTCTTACAAATGAGCTTTTAAAGGTCACCAACAAGCTTAACAAGCTTCGCAGAATGTAAAAAGGTTCCCTAAAGTTACTAAACATCAAACTTAAACGATTCCTAATGTTTATGCTGATGAAATAGCCTATAATTATCATTAATTGTTTAATTTATAGCTTTTTACCTTTTCGTGACTTTTATGTACAATCTAATTAATTAATAAGCAGTTTTGAATTGCTAGAAATATCTTGAACAAATAAAACAAATGTCGATTAAAAAATTTCTCACAAGTCCATAAGCCCAATGAGCCTCAATGAATAACATACACGGCAAATAAAAGTAAATAATAAAAATAAAATGCCGGAGAGACGAAAGAGAAATGAAATGCGCAATTTTCATTATCAAGGTTCAAGTCAAAAGCAACCGTGAAATGTGGAAATGAGAGGAAAAAGTCAATCTGGTCGTGCAGCAATATTATTATGGAATTACAACAAAAAGGAAACGAGTTATTTGCCATGACTTTTCTCTCTTTCTTTCAGCCTTTACCTTGTATACCACTGGCACTGTCGTAAGAATTGTATCGCAGATATATAAATAAGAAAGAAAGATGTTTGGCAAGTTTGAAAGAATTTTAAGGTTGCGCTGGTCATGATTGTTGCGACTTGTAATTGATAGGCTTGAAGGTAGTAATTTCGGCATGCTTTTAGGTTGAGGTATTGTGTTGAGATTGGCATGAAATTTGCGTAATGTTGATGGAATTTTAATTTGGAAAGGAAAATTGATTTTATGGGTAATAAAGGAGAATTGATGTGGATTTTAAAGATTTGGCTGTTTATTGGATGGTCTGAATTGTTTTTAAGTTAAACCATCTTGAGAATAAGCATTTATTTCGATTGTTGGCCTACATAGAGGTTTAAAAGCAGCTTACATGCACACAATTGCTTAGGAGTGTGTAACTAGGTTGTAGCTTAGATTGAAAGCAACTCAATTAGTTCAATCCTTTCATTGTAGCATTATCAAATCAAATCCAAAGCATATTGACTCTCCACAGTCGCCCCTATCAACATTTAATCACTTGGCTACTTCATCACGCAGAGGCGTATCCTGCTGACAGTCACAATTCGACCACTCCTTAAATTTCAGTCCATCACGCAACAATATATTATTTTTTCGATCATGCAAACCACGCTCAAAACCTTTCATTGCATGCACAAATAATAATAATAAAAAAAAAAGTCCAATCTCTAATGTATGAGCAAGATCACAAATGCAATAAAGCATGATGATATCATCTATGTATTTCACTTACGTTGCACTACCCCATTTCTCTTTCGATCTTATATCAGTCTGCCAAGCCATTTCTCCAACTTGGTAAAGTGACATGCATGATATAAAAGAAAGAAGAAATTGAAATGCATCGTTGAATTGTTGTTTGATGATCGAGTGTTGAACATCTTGTTTGTTAAGCTGTGCAGAAAAAAATAAATAAATAAATATTAATCAATTACTAGTGTGATATAATTTTGTTTTTGTGCAACATCATTGAAAGTGAGAGTACACGAGGCACGACACTTATGGACATTATTTAATTGTTTCGAATAATCAAAATGAAAGTCTATTGAAATTGTATAAATAAATGAATTTTCTTCTGTGATATTATTGAACTTAATTAGCATTTTTGAAGTGGTGCCAAAATAAACACAACTTATAAGTTGGAAGAGAATTACAATTTTTTCGTGCAACAAACTGTTTTGGTGTTGTGATATACGCTTCTAAAATGATGAAGTTGGTTAGTACTTATGATTTTTAATTGACAAAACTGAAAATACTTTTAAAATTATTAATAAACTATGAAATTAAGTCTCGTTAATTTGTGGAAAATTTGTGAATTTTTTAAACCGGATGTCTTAAAAATTCGTTAATTTACAAAGTTGAAACCAGTTCATATAAGTTTGAAGGATTGTTTGGATTTCTCAATTTGAGTTGAATCGATTTGAACATATTCAGTTTTAGGATGATTTTGCTTTCTTGCATAAGACAAGAACTTCAATCAAATCCTTAATTTGAAGCTTGATCTAAATTCAAAATGATTTGAAGCAATTAAAGATTGCAAAGAATCTTTACTTGAAATGTAACAATAGAAGATCCTTCTAGAAATGTCCAAAATAATTCCAAAAATTTCGATTTAAACTTACGATTAGCAATTGCGATCGAATGTTCTCAAATAGAATCAACCAAAATTTCTATACTTTGTTGTAAAGTATAGTTTTGAGATTCTTTAATTAAAGAACTTTGATCGAAACATTACAACACTTCAATTTTAATTATTCTTGTTGTTTCATGAATAATAAATTTCACAATTTGATCGAAAAATTTCTCATTCTCGAACAAACTCGAACAACTTGCAAGAAATTAAAACTTGATTAATATGATCATGAATTAAACTTCATTCTTAGTCTACGTGTTTGCATACACTTTTAAATATTTTATCCTACCTGCAATCTATTAAGAATAATTGTTGCATTCAGTTTGTTTTATAATATATGGACATTAGTGTTGATTGTGATCCAGCCAACCCAACTTAACGTTTGTATTTCGTTACTTCTGCGTTGCCTCTGTCTGACAATAGTAGCTAAGTAGAGTTCTAAGGACAAGCTTACGTCAGACTTGATAAAAGTCTTATAAATCCTAGTAATTATATAATTAATTCTGACTCAGTTAAAAAACATCCAAAAGGCTGCCAATAATGAGATTCAATCTAGCTCAATCATTAACTTTATTGCAAATCACAAAGCTTGTTATACATTGATTACTTATATCCTGAGCTATCTAGTTTAATCTCTTAAATAAAATTTAATAAACTGAGACTAATCCAATCGTTAATAATACACTAGAATATAGTCACCATTCAATTATCAATTACCTGAGAATTTAAAAGATTTTTATGCAAATTTAAGTCAGTAGTCAACAAATCCAAAAGACCTCAATTCGAGCTTGTTAATCCAAATCATAATGATTATTTATCTCATTGTAAAATCTAAGCATTTGCTATAATTATTATCCATGATGGTGCTACATTTATAGCAGCATGATACTTTTTTGCTAAACATTTCGATAGATATTAAAATTTGTAATTCAAAACATTCACAGATATTATGATATTAATAACTCAACGGACTCCTTTCATTATAAGTTATCTGAGGGGGTTAATTCGAAAATGATGTCAATTTTTGAATTTTCAGACTTTCTTAATTCTCTGTTATTAAACTTTCATTCAAAAATTGAAAAGAGTCTCACAAACCTCCAGAATTTTGAGACATCATTTGCAACCGACCCTAAAATGAAAACGTTTAATAGATCTGCTCCTTTCCTGGTTCAACAGCGTTCATTTGCATTGCATAAATTTTTTAGTATTCGTCAATATTTTTGCTATATTTGGAATGATAATTTTGAATTAATTAGTTTAGCAATGTGAGTAAATGATTTAATTAAATTGTATTATCGTATTTAAATTACGTTTGTGGATTTTTTTTCCTTATGGCTGTTGCCAATTTGTACATTTCTGTGAGCGGCATGTTTTATCGATTTCCTCAATATGTGTAAATAAATACATCCGTTGAAACTAGAATTATTGGAAGTTGAACTAGTAGAATGCTTGATATCTTTTTATGAGAGATGTTGAGGTTATAAATGGCGGCATTCTTTGATTTGAAACTTAATTCTGTTACTTATTTGCGATTGAATCTTGAAGTTTCTAGTTAAGTCTCATCAATGACCAGATGATGACTTCTTGGGGTTTCTTTTTGAACTAGTTTTAACTCTTATTCGTTCATCTAAAGCCAAATGTAGACCTAGAATCTGGCATATGATTATCAAGGTTCTTAATTCAGTACAAATCACTTGCATGCAAGTTGATTAGCTTTCCCTTTCTTCATTTCGATAACTTTCCAAGTCTAAATCAACATTTGAGCAAAGATAATCCTACGTCTTCTAACAAACCAGCTCCAGAACTAGCAAATTTCACTTCAAACTCCTTTAAATCAAGTCATTTCAAAGCTTCCAATTAGTCACTTAAAAGTTTCACTTTCAATCCATTAAAAATTATTTCTCGTCAATCCATTAAATGCCACTTGATTGAAGATATCTTTAGTTATTGATAATTTGAGGAGATTAGCTACATTTTATATCCATCATTGGCATCGCTAAGCGCCATAATATAAAGTGAAGCATGAGCTTAATATCTCACTATTATTATTGCCGTAAAGAATTGCTTTTTATGAAGCTTCATTAAAATAAATTGCAATCAAAGATGAAAGAGCGGTAAATTGTTACAGAATGGAAATTTTCACTTTAGCCTGAACGTCAAACAACAAACTTTTGACATCAAAGAGATCGTAAAATGCAGCATTGAATGCAAATGAACATAAATTGCGAGCAAAAAATGAACTAATTGATGCCATATCCATTTTATAATAGAAATGTTTACTGCACAATGCATTCCGATTTCCCGGGAACAAGTTTCTTTATTATAACATTGAAATTGAATTTTGATATGTCGATTAGCACTTTCACTATTGGATAATTGAATGAGTTCAAGAGCCTAGCAGCAATTTCTAGACATTTCCTTTTAAATCTCAAGAATTTCATTCGATTATTTAATGATCGGCTCTTGTGTTTGACAAGACATCATGAATTATAGGCTGTCTTAACGTTTCTTACCTTGAAAACCACGTCACATATAGGGGCATAGCTTGGAATTAACCAACGGAAGGATCTCAATCTTTAAAAGATGGTTCAGATTAATTTTCATACATTTTGAATTTTTGGAAGAGATTCGAATGTTTTTCAGTAAATGAAGGGTTCTTTCCTGGCTACGTTAATGCTTAAATGAGATTCGCAAATGATTCGGTACTTGACACACAAATATTGATCTTAATTGATCATATTTCTGTATGAATTTCATATAGATTTCCATTCATGAATAATTTATGTCAACCACATTATAAAAAGCTACATTTGTGCAGCTTTTTGGATGATTTTAGAGCGCATTTTTTGAAGTTTTACTATCTCTTGACTGTTGGATAGATTGCCTGTGGTATCTTAAGCGAAAGAAAGTGATACAATCGACATTCAGTCATACTCAGAGTCGAATGCAGCTTCCTGAATTCTTCTTGATATAGAAATTTGGAGAAAATGTCTCTCAAATCTAGGTTTAACTTAATGTTAAAAGTCTCCACTATGAAATAAAGAATAAGTTAATATCTACAAAAATTTATTAGACAGTCGACCCCAAAACTTCTCCTTTTCCCACCAAAAGCTGCTCAAAAAATAAAAAGCAGCTCAATTGAAAATCAAAGAAAATTTGAAAGTCAAAATGATTCTTTTTTAAATATTTTAATTGAAAAAAAAACTTTTCGAAAAAAATTCATTTTTGAGACAGTTGAAAATTGTAGACATTCATTTGACATGTATATTCTGTTAATTATGAAGAAAAAAAAGGCAGCAAGTCAACCATGAAAAAATGCAAAAAAATTTATGTTGACCGTGGTTAAGTCATTTAATAATCAAAACAAGCCCAAAAAAATACTCACGAGACACAATAAATCAGTCAATTATAACTGATAGAATACTATGTTGCAGCTACTGACTCTACAATGTTGCTAATTGATGTCGCTAAAATAAGATTGCATCGAGAAAATTGAGATGTCTTAATAATGCAATAAAAAAATAGCTTCAATTAAGTGATGCCTTAATTTACACATTAATGAGATCGCGGGCTGTCAGATGTCGCAATAACGCATCGAAAGCTGTCAGTGCTAATGCAAATTAAAGGCTGATTACATTATTATTGACAAACTTACAATAATTTTTGTTATACATTGTTAAATTTGCATATAACTTACTAAACAAGAAGTAAGTGCGCATATTTTACGCATAAAATTATCTTAATATAGTCTACCTAAGTAGACTTAATGCTCACTGAGGCAATAAAAATCATTGTAGAATGCTTATGTCAACCTCACAGGATGCAATTTTCAATTAAAAAGCAAAGTTTATTTATCTGTAATTTAATAATCGAACATAGCATGTTATTAAGTTTTATGATAACCATAATGTGCGGCAAGTATGAAATAGGAGTCTTTAGAAGTAGATTTAGGAATGTGAAGCATCAAAGGTTTCGAATATGGATTAGTGGGGTTTTAAACTAGATTAGATTAAGCATAATATAATCCAACATAGTAGTGTGATCCAATATAGTAAGAATAAGGTAGGTCGTGGGTTCAAATCTTATTAGAATCCAATCCCTCGAACATTACTATGCTCCCGACATTCCAAAGCTAGCAGCACATCACTTTAATAATCAGAAATTCATGCTCTCATTTACAATCAACAACATCATAATTATCTTGATATTAAGGCTAATTAAATTGCTATAAATCAAACAATTCTACTCATGACCCTCATTTAAATTTTAATCAATATGATACTATTTTATGATCTGCATAATTGCAAATTCTCAATGCTCGAGTGTCAAAACATTCAACACTAATTTAAAAATTGAGCACTCAATTGCAAGCGAAATAATAATGTGTGCGATACTTTTGAATCGAAGCATTACTGATTGACATTTTTATCTCAATAAAAATATGAATTTATATTCATGAAATCGATCTACTTAAAATATTTAAATTGAGATTTCAAAACTTTATTAAAAATATTTTTATTTTTTTGAGTTCACTTTACATCTGTAAATTGGCATTTTTATGCCTTTTTATGGCCAACAAGATAAAACTTTAAATGCAGTGCAAATATATTAAATCTCATTGTTTATTTCACTTACAGTACATGTTACTCCTACTAGTGACCGCAATAGAGGAATCGCTGACTCAACATGATCACGGCTACGCTCCAGAATATGTAAGTTTTAATGAAGTTACGTAATAATTTATTGGGTTGACAACAATAAAAATTAAAGTCTAGTCAATGCAACGAAAAATAAAGCAAAAAGAAAACATGGCATGATCATATCCTGCTTCAGACTTGAGTGTCATTTGGAGACAACAAAAAAAAATTTGTTTTCTGGGTGTCGATGCATAATAAATATTTAAAGGTCAATAAATCAGTGGTATTGAAGCAGTTAAAGATAAGAGATTTATTTGTCTTGGATTAAAGTTTGAAATTGATAATGGTTTTTTGTGGTTATTGGCTGAAATTCATTAATTATTGAGGGAATTCAAGAAATACTCGTCTATGCAGTCTGTTGAGTCTGTTTTTAAATGAATATCAAAACACATTAGTAGATTAACATAGGTTAGTCATAGATCTTCAAAAGCTAGTCATTTCATTAGTTGTTAATGTGTTGAATAAGTAGAGCACCACTATCAGTAACAAACTTGGTAATGACCCAAATAATCCACAAAAAAAAATCTTCCATCTTCCAATTTATTTACATTTTAAACTCTTTAATTACCAATGTGTTGTTCGGATTGATTTCCAGACATCTAAAAATAATCCGATGCCCTTGCATCATGATTACAAAGTAGTCATGTCATGATAATTGACCATTTGACAGCTGATCAAATACCGGCAAACATTTTGTGTGAACAATGATATTTTTTTTATGCTTTAGTTTGGATTGTTCAAAATCAGCACATTTGACACGTGAAATCACCAAGACATCATTTATCAAACATTTTTGTCGATACTACAAATTTGCCATATAAGTAGAAATGTTGCATAACTTTTTTTTGTGTATAAAAATATCACTGAAATCCCGTCGATTATGTCCCAGAAATTAGGCAACATAAATTAGCACAATTAATAATAATTTAAAAAGACTGCAAAAATAGTTTCAAGTACATGATACTGCGGGTTGCTAATTAAAATTATGTTCAACCTTTGATGTTTGCTTTACGCATTTTATGATGTCAGCTCTTTCTATTTTTGCATAGTTGTCTGAATATAGTACTTTGGTGATCTTGTGCTTTATACAGAGTTAATAGTAATTAGTATCTAGTATCTGGTAGCTAGTTTCTATGAGCAAGTATCTAGTAGTTGGTTTCTAGAAGCTAGTATCTAGAAGCTAGTAGCTAGGCGCTAGTTTTTGCTAATATTATCTAGTATCTAGTAGCTAGCAAGGGCGTACTGATGAAATGATCAAAAATGCTCAAAAAATGATCAAAAATGACCAAAAAAATTATCAAAAATGATCAAAATTGATCAAAAACGATCAAAATGTAATTCTTCAAATCTAATCCCTTGGTAGCTAGTAGCCATAGCATACACCTCCCACCCACCAGACCCCGATTGTCACATACTAAAATCTTCATAATTAAATGATTTAATTCAATAACCATAAAACCCATAAAAATCATAATTTATATCGTTACATGAGCCATTACAATTTCTAAGAATTCCAGCTAACACCTTCGATGTCGATATTAATATTCTCATCTATTTATATAATTTAAAACAAATTATGCAATTAATACATATCACCTGACAGCAAAATGATACGATAAATAATTAATATGTAAAATAGAGCTTAATGAGTCTCAATTTGTGAAAACCAAAAAATAATTCTCGGAAAAAAGTTTAATTACATTTTTTTTAATATTAAAAAGTGTTTTATAGACAACATTAAATTATTCATAGACGCATAATTCCTATCAACCTCATTTAAAGGAGATAGAAATAAATATGAAAATTGCGTGTGTGATGTAAGAACGTGACAAGAAGTCTTTCAACTAAGCGCACTAGCGCGTGTCAGTCCAAAAGAGTGCATTTGCTATATTAATACAGTTGCCTATCTGTTATGACAGCAAATAGCATTAGCATGTGCATTTCATGCCCGAAAGCGCCACAATATAAACTTTTTTATTTTTGAGTTCAACTATCAGCATCAAATCATCTAAAAAAAACGTTGCGTATTAAGGAAAATGAAATTAAACTGTTTTATTGAATGGGTTTCGATAGTCGCTGTAAAAATTAAATTTATGCAATGTGCACACATTTTTTATTTTTCATCGTTTTCACTCTCATTCAGACGTGAGTTTTCTTGTGCCTTCATAAATTCCATTCAGAACTATAAAAATTGCATTAGGCTTTCCTTGATTGAGTCAATGAATATTGACTTGGTCAGGGGTTTCGCATTAAAATTTTGATTTTGCTTGGTGTTGTTATCTTCTCGTGAAAATTGAGGATCTAATCATACAAAAATTACGCCAGCTCCTTCACTAGACTCATCAATAGCCTCTCATCACATTACTGTTTTAAATTAATCAATACATCCCTGGCTCAATAGGTAACCATCGACATTCAATCGCAATCTGTGACTTATTGGAACAAATCCATTAAAAAATTCCTTCAACCCATAAATTTCCCTTTAAAGTACATTAACAAAAACCCCCACACCTGACCCGATCCATGAACGTAGCGACAACCTTTTTGGAGCGAAAAAAATTGTTGAGTTTTTTATTGGCCATTTAAAGGAATTTAAGAAATAAAATTTATGAATGCGCGCACAATTTGGTTTAATTTCAACACTCGCACAAAATGAAAATGTTTATTAACTTTAGATATGCGTCTGTCACAGCTCATTACACAGTTTATGCGATTGTCTTATATTCTGCATTTTACTGGCATCGGCATTCAGCATGAAGACAGCGTAAAATGATACAAAATGCAAGCATTAAAATCGAAATCAGAACAATTACAGTCAATTTATCTCGAGACTTAATGCTGCAATATTTTTTTTGACTTGATTTATTTTATTGTTTCAAAACTATTCAGCATCATTGCCGCCGACGACGTCCGTGATTTTATTTTCACAAGTTCTGTAGGATCATGTCTGTCAATTCTTAATTTTGAACGTAAATCCTGATAATCTACATAAAATAAAACTTACAGTCAGTCATGTCGTTAAGCTACTGAACATAAATTATTTTTATATCTGCTATTTTTAGGCACATCCTTCATATTCGTTTTCATATGGTGTAAAAGATCAGCACAGTGGTGATGTCAAGAGTCAGGTAAGCTTTACAGCATCCTTGTTGCTTTTGAGTGCGCATTTTTTGGAATGATGGAGTTCTTTGATGACTGTTTGACGGTTCTGGCTTGTAATCTTGGATGTTACTTTATGTTGTACTGTATGAACATTGAAATGAAGCCAACATGAACGTTTTATAAGGAAATGACATTAAAGGTATCAAGCAGGAAATCAAGTTTTACAGTTTAAGGTTCCTTAAGATGAATTTAAGCCTGTGTGGTAATTTAAAAAATCTCCGCAATCTGAGCTATTTGGTCATTAACAGGACAACAAATTAGTCAACTATCACGTGATTACATACAGTCATTGATAGAAAGACAAATCTTACAATATTAGACTCATCTCCCCTCAAAATGCGCTTTAATTCCATCACCCAATCTCAATTCCATCACTAATGCCATAAACTTTACAATTTATTTCATTCTTAGTGGGAGACACGTGACAATGGAGTCATTAAGGGTCATTATTCTGTTGTCGAGCCTGACGGTTTGTTGTGAATTAAATAAAGTTGTCAGTAATGCAAATTAAGTAAGACATTCTTTCTGCTCTTTTCTCTTTCCTTTTTCATAAAATAAAAAAATTATAGGTTCAATACGAGAGGTGTGTAGCAGCAATGATTAATCAATTTTCATTCAATATTTATTTAAACGTTTCTTTCCTTCTTCCTTTGTCGACTTTTAGGTTGATTATACAGCAGACAGTAAAAATGGATTTAATGCTGTCGTTAAAACTGTAATTATATTTTATTGGCACTTCTTGTTGAGTGAATTTTTAATAATTGTAATTTATTAACATCCATAAACAGCACGGACCAAACTCTCATCCGATTGTTGATGAGCATGGACATCATAAATACGTGAAAGAATATTCACAATCAAAGATTAATCATTACAGTAAGAATCAGGACACAATTATTCTCAGTTCAGGTATGGAAAAAATGAAGTTTTTTTGACTATTTATGGAAGTTAATTTAAATCTCACACATTCTAGACGTTCCACAACACGAGTCTCCAATAGCCGAGATCAATGAGAAAACCAGACATTCACCCTCAATTTTAGAGCTTAAACCAAATGTGGAATTGAAGCCTCATACACATGAGACGGTTTATCAACCACATAAATTCAATCCAAGTATTGAAATCAATCATGGAGCACCACAGAGTCTTAAACCATATTACAGCTCCGATTCTCCATCTCATTCTCATTCTAATTCACACTCACATCACTCAGATTCATTCAGACCGTCTCTGCCAACAAATTATAAGCCTGGAACTGTTGTAAACATCAAATATCCTCCAGTTCCATTAAAAACAGTCAAGCTTGTATCATCACATGGACTTAAACATTACGCAACATATCCAAAACTTAAAATATCCCGAAATGATTATGAAAGTTATATGAGGAGACAGAGTCAGAACCAACATCAACGTCAACAACAGATTCAGAATCAGAATATTAATACAAGCATTGAGAAGAATAATGACAACAATAGTGACAGTTATGAAGAATATGAGGATTCAAGAGAAAGCTTCCGACCAATCAGACGACCAAGCTTGTACAGAAGAAATCCTCGAAATTTGCATCAATATGCACCAAGTGTTCAAAAATACGCATTTTAAAAATACATTTAATTAATATTTATTCATAAATGGAACCAAAGGAATAGGCAATATTTTATTTTGGAGGCTGCTGTGAATTTGATTGCAATCTAAAAAGGAATCAAATCACCAGAAGCCGTGATTCAGATAGAATACTGTCTTTACCTTGAGTTGAAATTATTGTGTGGATATAAAATATGGAAAAGCTTTTATGTGCATTATTTATTTGTTATAATGTTTCCTTTATTGTTGTTTTGTTATGTTAAATAAAACGAATTTATAAGTTTTTCATGACTTTTTTTTAATGAAATCGTTTGAATTTAATCAAAAAAAATTGTAAAATCATGCAAATTTTTAACTCAGAGATTTAGTTTAATAAATCTACAGCCTTGAAGGATTTCATAAAAAGTTATATGAGTTTTTAGAGCCTATAAAGAGTTATATAAGTTTTTAGAATAGATTTCGACAAGGGTGAATCTAGAAATTAGGTTTTGGCAAATCGTAATTGGCTGAATAAGAAGAATTAATTGAAATTTATAAAAGCTTAAACTCAGCATCATTTTTGAGAGTCAAATGATCAAATATCTAAGTTTACGAAGCAGCTCCTTTAGCATTCAACTTTAAGCTCCAGAAAATTAATTTTAAGGAATTAACTTGTCAAGACTTTAATGGTCACAAAGTGTTTGGATTGTTATGGCTTAAAACATTGAAGGTCTTAATTTTATGGCATTATTGTGCCATAAACACAGCAATTAAACTACCAGAAAATGCAATAAAGTTCAACCCTATAAAAATTTCACTTCCAAGGATCATTAGTCCACAGTTTTTTTGTTGATGCATAAATTATTAACTAGTCTTGCCTACTTGATTTTTGGCAAGACTGACTTTTGTTCTTTGAGATCATTTTAGCGTATGTTCTCCATTTTTGGTGAATCCTTGAAACGTCTAGTCTAGTCACAGTATAGTTCATCATTTTGGATTCAAATAAATTCTTTTACCACATCTGATAAGATTAATCCTAGATTAAGCGTATTTTTGATCAAATTTTATAAAGTACAGATTGAGTAAATTCTTGTAATGCAACTAGCAACCCAAACCAACTCTTAAACCTCATAAAAAATCATGATTCAAAGAATTCACAGCTATTTTCTTAAAAGTATCCCCAAAATCAGTTAAAAATCCATTAAACCTTGTCGATATAATGAGCTGCTACAAGTACAGCCATAAAATTTGAACTCAATAATTTATAGAAGTTTAAAAGACATTACAATCAGATATTGTCAAGCAATTAGCATATTGTAAAATACGCAAAGTGTGCTAAAAATATCTCGAAAATTTCAATTCACTAATTAAAGAACACATTTTATGAGTTTGTGTCTGTGATATTAAACTTTAAAAAAAATGTTAAGTAATCAAGGTACTTGTTAAGCATAAACTTTTACTTTTTACATGTTTTTAACGCGCTCGAACATTTGATGACAATCAATCCCGTGTGTTCACTTTTTTGTCATTTGAATAAATTTTCAATTTCGTGTAAGTTCCAGTCATGCATGCGAATTCTACTTTACTTATGCAATTCTCATTTCGAAGATTAATATTTTTTTTTGCATAGCACTCATTTTACTCATTGACGCCAAACACGGATAAAGCAGCTGTTAAGTTTCAGCATACGATGCAATTTATCATTATTTATATTTGTCGTACAATCATGTTCTATGCCATTAACGCACATTTTTCATTGCGAGATAATAAAATTTGCAATTAATCAATATCTACTTTATTAGATTATGTATTGGAAGATTGATAAGTTTTGAGATTTGAAAGTATTTTAATGTTCTTTATTTTTCTTGGAATAAATAATGTTTCATGATTGATTAAAATTTATATCTTGTTTGCGGTGAAAAAGTGCAAGATTGATTCGTTTTTGAGACAGGAGTTGGTTTTCTGCACAAAATGTTTATGTAAAGTGCCACATTAAGCAGTTTATGCATTAAATTTTATTAACCTAGTCCAACCTAGTCTTAGGTAAAGAACAACAATCTTGACAATCGGATTAGCTTCAAAACATAAGTTCGATTCCCATAAAATCTAATTTATTCACAAACATAATGTTAACTCAACCCTGCGTCACCGATCCGATGGCGCTTTTGGTAATAAATAAAATTTTTCACCTACAAAATGAAAACAGCCATTTTCAGGTCAATATGGAAAGATAATCGACATTGATTGAACAAGAGACTTGAGAGAGAATTCAATCCAAATGTATGAAAATCGCAATTCGAGGACATCTCGTCATAAAAGAAAACAAAAACCACAAATTAGGCATTCTGTTTCATGCAGTCAATTCTATTTAGACTTCAAATCTATGTGAGTCCGAAAAAAAAAATTGTTTTATGGCAATTTTTCGCATTTATTGCATTAGATGAATGGATGCATGTTCACTTGTGCGGAGGCTTCGTGGGAGTGCCAAACAAAATGTGACTTTTAACAGCTAAATAGCCGGTGGACATATGAGTTGCGTGTGAGTGTATGACATGAGTAGCACAGCAGATAATATTTTATAAGCCGCACATAAGCTTATCCTCATCAATAATCGTGTCGAAGGTAATTCAATATATGTTTCGATTTCAATCAACAATTAAGAGAGATTATAACAATACAGCAATTATCTTATTATGTTAAAAGACATTTTGTACATTTACGATAATTTCGCGACATGACAATCATTAATCATAATTCATGGAGGCTTGGATATAAAACTTCAAGGAGTTAAGTTATTTGAATATTATAATTTTATGTGAATGAAACAGTGGGTAGTGATCAAACAGTAGTTAGCTGCTTAACACTGTACATATTTAGCATAGTAACAAGGCACACACAAAAAGGCTTCATGCTATGCGTTGATTATGCATTTCAAACATTTCAATTAGTCATGAATCAATTAATGAATATCTTTCTGAGCTGACTCTTGTCTTTCTTGTTTGATCTCATATCTTGTGCTGCAGAGTTGGGGTGTTGTAAGGGAGAGGTTTTTATGGAATGGAGTCTAGGAGACAGAGTATAAGAGATGATTAAATTCTGCAAAAAGCTAGTTCGAATCCTTAAAGTTTGACTCTATTTATCTTAAATGTACATATGGGATCCAGTCAAGAAAATCAACAAACTTTCTAAGATAAAGACTGAATAATTGGATAATAAGATCAAGAATTTGCAGGAATCTAAAGCAAGCAAGCTGCCAAACTCAACATATTACTTCATCAATTGAAAAAAATCCACATTTCATGCATCCATAAAATTCAATATGCAGAAATATATTAATTAAAGTCGTCCAAATATCGACAGACTTTTCTTGCGTATCATTTAATTACATGGATATTATTATGGAATTTTCAAGCTTGACTCTCTCCATATGCATCAAATAATTACCTAATAAAATCACTTAATTAATAAGCATAGAAAATAAGGTTGGAATGCAGTCATAGCGTCCTAAAACAGCAACTCTGATCCCACATTTGAACAAAATATCAATTAATGTCGAGATATTGGAGATAATGCATAGCTTTTGCTCGCTCATTAATTTGTCCCACATTTTTTGCCATATTTTTATTTTTGCACTGAGAGTCTCGAAAAATTTTCTCATGTTTAATCAGCATGGAATGAAACGTTTTTATGCTGCTAATTTTGACTCAATCTTTTCTTAAGCTTCAATTAAGCCGCTTAATATTTTCCAAGTATTGTCATCCATCAATCATTACTTTATGCAATTTATCATCAATATATCACATCTAGAGTGCCTTAAGAAAGATACTTAAGTATCGGTATCAATGCACTTGCTATTGGATATGCACATAAAGCAATTTGTTGCATATATTTTTAACAGGTTTCAGTAGAAGGGATTAGATGCTGTTATGTGCAGTTTGTCGGTTTGTAGGGTTGACAATAATTCTGTCCATTCATAAATATTATTCCAATGGATATATCTGCCTATACATCTATTTATCAGGAGGTCTATTCGCTTGTCTCTTTCTAAGTCTCTCTATTTGTGTGTTAATTTGAGGAGCACTGCCATGAATTGTCTTTGATCCGTACATGCGCTTTTGCCATCCATGAATAACCACATCTATACTATTTTTGTTTCTATGTCAAAAGCAAAGAACCCATTTTCAGTCACACACGATTTTGCTCTCTCTTATAGTCAATTTTCATTTTCATCTCATGTTTGAATGCAAACAACCTTTCAAATAGACTTAAAGATCGCTTACTTTTTATGTTGTTTTTAGGGATTGGTCAATATTTTATGTGAAAGAATAGTCATATAATAAAAAAAATAATGCTTAACGCGTGATAACTTATGGTTCAATATGTGCTACACATATATATGTATGTATTTAAAGTCATACTTCATTTTCCAGGGACATGCGTTTTGCTGCAAAGAATGAATTAAATGAATTTAGAATTAGCGAAATAAATTAAGTTGTGATGTTGTTGCATTTATCACGAACTCTTAAGGTTAATTATCACAAATGTGTCATTTCGTTTACTTCTCATGTAGAATTTTAAACGCTTAGATCTGTGAAATATTTACAACATAATTTAAGGAGACTTGCCGATCATAAATATATGAATATGTGCAGTTGAAGTGAAATAAATTATTTATTAATCAACAGCTCGAGGGGGCTTTGTGCGAATTGCTAATTACCTGGCTGAGAATAAATCTTTTTTATTACAAAAAGTTGAGCTGACTTATGTTAACAGATTGATTTGCTGCTAGAACTTAGATTTTTAAATTTAACTAGATGTTGATCAGTAGCTGTGTTTTAGTGGCATGCTAGGGAGATCCTAGGATCCAAAATCAATGTAATATACTGTAATGTATTAATAAAGTTTGACTGAGAGGTAAAGTTTGATTAAGTATCTTGAATAGGACCAGAACTCTCACCAAGCAACTTCTATGGATGTAGCATAAAAGTGTGTATGACATCCCTTGACTTTGAATCTATTGGAAGACATGAATCGATTAAGAATGACTTTTTACAGTCATATCTGACAAAATCACAGATATCAGCCTTAAAAAAGTTTTCAAACTGCATTACATTGATTAATATCATCATCATGATACAAGCTGATATAAGTTGATTTAATTGAAGAATTTAAGGGTAGTTCATGAATTAAACAACACAAAAGTGGGTAGTACTATGCAAGACTTATAAAGATAGTTCATTCTCCTTAATATTAAACAACACTTCAAGATATTTTAGACGAATTAATAAGAAAAATATCTCATAAGACGACAAGGCATGCATATTTAATTTGACTTTCCCATTCATACAATTTTATTGTGCACCTCATTAATGAAATTAATAAGAAAGCAGTAATTGTCACACGATTTATTTTCACATTATCAAACAAAATTACGCATTTTAGTACAATGTAATGTGCTATTGCAAAAAAAAAGTCAATCCACATAGTTGATTGCCAAGTATTTATTGAATAATTCAACATCCTGAGCGTAAGCAGTGAAAATAGTTTACGTTTTGTTATCTATTGACTCACTCACTTACCTCAATGACCTAAATTGCAATTTTTTTTCATTTCCTCATATTGATAGTCAATGCAACGACATCCATTGAGTGTATTATTAACTTCACAAAATTATTATGCAATTTATTTGACACATATTTTTATGGAGAAAAAAAAAATATAAATTGTATATGTAGCTGCATGTAAGCTACTCGATATTTAAAATTAATAAATTAAAATGCGTGCATAAGAGACACTCTGAGATGTGAGCTATTGAGTGAAGGAAAAAAAATATCGCGTATTTTTCTCATAATTTATGCTGCTAATGTTATACATTTTTCCATATTTCTTTTCTTTATTTTTTTGCTGGACATAAATGCTGCAGATACTATTATTAAAATGTATATACACTACGCAGATATGATCACGAATATTAGATCGATTGAGAGATAAGGAAAGGTTGAGAGATTGAAGTGTCGTGAGGTAATTAAATTGATATGGATCATAAATTCATTAAACTGTGTGAAATTGCCAACTATATGGACTTTCTTTCTGAAATGTAAGGAATGGGAACGTTTGCTTATGACGTCTCCTGATAAATTGATTTTTTTTAGATTTTTAATAAATCCTTAAATTTATCAAGTATCATACAAGATTAACCAATTTCTATTTCTTGGTGTAGCTTCGAATATACACTATTGTGGACCACTAGGGTCCATTAAGGACAATTTGTGGATATTAGGGACTGTTAAAGACTACTAAGGACGACTAGAATATTGAAAACCTTACTCCAGGTTTAGGTTAAGAAATCCATTAAGATCGATAGTAAGAATTCACTAGAAACTAAAATCAAAATTAAAGAAGTTTGTTTCACTTCTCACTCCTCCCAACAACTACTTTAATAATTAACCGTCAAAACTGAACGACACTTTCATATTCCCAACATTTTTCGCACTCCAAAACTTTTCAATTACTTGCAAAAGTCAATCTTACAAATTTTACCATTAGAAGAGATTTATGGAGGATATGCAGCTTTAAATCTGAATTTTATAATAAACTGTAATTAAATTACTCATGTTATGCTTAATTATGTGCACAGACAAGTGATAAAAATGTTAAACTTTAAATTAATGCCTCAACTTTTTTGCGTACTCTATGAAAATGAATTAGGGCCTTGGTAACCTGCGGTTCATAATTAATGAATTAATTTGTTGAGTCATAGCGCCATAAGGAAATCTTGTTGAGCTTGAATAACACTTGAAATGGCGTTTTGGATTAGCTTTTCAGAGCATTTGTGGGTGAGATGTTGAAAAATTATGGATTTCTAGACTTTACTAGTTTGATCTCAGGGGATGAAAAAAATGATAAAAATCTTTAATATTCTCTTAATACTGTATCTAAGTATCCTTCCTTAAAAAACCCAATCAGACCTTAGCTTAAGCAGTTTAATCAAGATGGCATTGACAAGAATTTCTCAACTATTTAACAAAACAATAATTTTTTTCGTATTTTTATTACTTTCGTATTCTCAATCATGGAAGATAACCCAGCACCGTCGACAAGTGGAGTCAATCAGTCAAGAAATCGCCGACGAACAAACAGGATAAGAAATCGTAGAACAACGTCTCGCAACAGGAGTAGATCAAGAAATCGTCCTCGTTCTCGTAGACAAATATTGTTTGTTGCTCCTCGTACGCGTTCTTTATCTCGAGAACAGTGTGAGCGCATTGCGAGACCATCACGAGAGGAAATACAAACCGCAAAAGAATGTCCTATATGTCTGGAAACATTGACTGAAGATCAACCAAATCGGAAGTTGCTCTGCAATCACATTTTTCATGAATCATGTCTATTCCCATGGGTGCAAGGAGATATTGGCAATTGCCCAGTTTGTAGACAAACTTTAGTCGATGCTTATTGAGTATAGCTGATTATACGGAGGGAATGCGATGAAAGGTTCAAAATTTAATAAATAGTAAATTATTTTTTAAAAAATCATGCTGAATTTTATTGAATTGAAGTTAGGGAAGGTCATAAAAATTTTTTTGATTCCATACCAATCCTGACTTTATGAATTATCAGGTTCAATAAATTCAATAGAGCCAATATGAGACTGTAAAGAAATTACAAGTGCATCATAACTTAGCATCTCCATACGAAACAAGATTACGTTATGAAGAGAGATATAGCGACATTTTATAGGATTAACCTAGTAATGATTGGAATTATATCATGAATCTAATGGAGCAATTTTTTACACCTATTTTTGCAGTTGGAAAAATTAAATCGAATTTTTATTGGATGACTTTAAGCAATGACAGTTGGCAATAGCTTTTAAATGTGGATTTCTAAGTTAGACTAGCAGAAAAGCTTATTATTAAATTCACAAACTCAAATATTCCACACCCGGATCATTTATTCTATTCATTATTCTTCAAGGTACATTAAAATATCAAAAACATCGCTCAAAGCTCAGTCTATAATTTTAATAAAATAATTCAAATCTTTATGACAGAACTTAGCTTGTAGCACCTCTTCAATCATTTGTCACCACCTCTTCAATAACATTGTTGTGATCAATATCAATTTAAATGCTGTTAATATTTATTCTTTATTGGTTTGAGCTTTATAGGATTGAGTGTTATTATTAATAATATTTTTATGCATTTTGACTTGTATTAATGGATTTATTGCAGAGCTGAGAACCAATTTTGAATGCTTTTGATTTTATCTGATTTGAATGTTAGAGTCTAATGGTTCTGAATTTAAAAACTATTTATAACCTTTCTTTGATGTTTACTGACAATCATTTGCAATAATCAACTTACAAATCCAGAACATTGGAATTTCTTAATTAACATTTTTAATCAACTTTAGATCATTTTTAATCAAATCAGATCATTTTTAACAATTTCAGATCATTCTCATCAACTTTAAATAATTTTCAACCTAAATCTTATTTGATCAGCCAAAAACACTTGCTTTAGTTCCAAAACAATCCAATTTACAGAATTCTGTAATTTAAAAACTTATAATAAATCTCATGTGTATAAATTCACTTTATTATTGACAATTCCATACTTAGATTGTCTTCTAGAAATAGTAAAAGACACAAAAACAAGATCAGTATTTGCGTGTACGAAGTCAAAATGGTGTAGGATGATTAATTAGTCTGATCAAAACAGTATAAAATAATGAATAATGACCCATTGTATGACAAATGTTGAGTCAGAACAAGTCAAAGCAAAGTCAAAAAGTAAATCAATGAAATTTAAATAAAATCACAGATAATAAAGTAAAAACTTTAAAAATATGCGCATATATCACACGACAGCTTAAGATTAACTCTGAGCCAATAACGTTTAATACTTTAATGACAGAAAACTACAATTCTTTCATGTTTCTGTACCGACTGTTTCTCTTACATCTCCGATTTCATATTTTTCTTCTTGATTTAAATACAGAACGAATATATTTAATATAAAAGTGCGATTCGATTGCCAATTATTTTCACATTATCAGATATATATGATATTGAAATTAAATGCGAAAGAATCCACGCATCCTTTAAGATCCGAGAAAAAGAAAGAATAACAACGACAGAATCGACAATAACGACCGAGTCGTTCGACGACAACAACGAATTGAAGAAAATAAAAATAAAGCAAAGATATGCATTACTGAAGGACGTTTGTCTGATTAAAATGAAACACTTTTATGTTATGGCAATTGCATTATCAGCTTACATTTAAAAAACTTAAAGGATGAGGATGAAGAAGTTGAATGGGATGAGTTGGGCGCATTTCAAGAGTTTTGCATCATATTGAATGGAATTTGTAATTTTTTGTTTCAAGTCTTATCAAAAAATGATCAAATCCAAGAAAACTCTTAAATTTGAGAACAAACTGTGATTCAATCCGTAAATAGGGTAAGTCAACAATTTATTAAAGTTAGCCAAAGCTGTAATTTTAAAAATTTAAACTCAAATTTTCTGAAGACGGACTTTAATACAGTTAAAAAGTCAACAAATAAGTTATCTTGAACATCAAATCAGAAGTAAGTCAACAGTTTATGTAATTTGAATATGAATCAACTGAATAACACCAAATAACAACATCAAAAGGGACTAGTGCATCCAAACCAACCCAACTCAAAGTAAATCCATTACTCTAACAGCCAAACTTCCCTACAAGATAACAAGAATTTCCCACAAGTCACAAATGAGTGTGCAACACATCATTTAAGGAATAAAGTTGAAGAAACTATGTAGACTTGATGATTTTTACAAACAGAATTGATAAAAGGTCAGTGACGAGCGACGAATGAAGGAAGTAATGGAAAATACACAAACAGAGAAGTCAACCTTTAACGCCTTATTTAATATTTTCCTTCTTCACGCTGTTGTTTCTGTTGTTGCATTTTATTGTTACGAGTCACATTGTGAATCAAAACAAAAGCAAGAATCAATGCGCGCCTATAATGTTTATTGTTCTAGATTATTTTCAGCTATGCTAAAGAAATTGTCCATACGAACAAGATTGTTGCATATGTTGCCATGTGGCTTGTTAAAATAATAATAATAAGAAAAAAAAAATTGCACAATTTCAGGTCATGGTCATGATTAAGGAGAAAGAGATCGAATTAATTAAATGCAATCATATCTTTATGCTATAGTAAATATAAACTAGATTAGTTTCGGTATTGCTTTTATGTTGTTACTTGTTGTGCTGCATTTACGTTACTTATAATGAATAATGATAACGTGCTAAAAATATTGAGACAATTTTTTAACGCGGCAATATAATTGAATATGAAAACGCTTCTGTAAATTCTTAACTTGCACCTCAGCATTAACATGAATATTATGAAGGCGTCTGGCTGTTGAACTCTTCTCTCTGTTTGTGGCTCTCTTTCCTTCTCCTCATTCATCCTTTCACTTTCGTTGTCAACATGTTTTCTGCATTTATTTACCCATAAACATTGGAGCAATTTTTTTTTTGTTGTTTTGTTTCGGACCAAGTTTGCTACCGTTTATTTGCACAGCACATGATCTTGAAATGAGATCAGCTCTTTTTTTTTCGACGCTGTTGTTTCTTACATCATACCTGATTTATTATCAATGACTCATTTGTCGTAATTTCTCATTAATTGACATTTCTACCCGAAATTAATTCCTTTTGACTTCTTTTTGCCTTTCCTCTCGTTCTGTCATGCTGAGGTTCGATTATTTATTGGAGTTAATGTGATATAAATTTTTTTTCGTAATGTGAGGACATTTGTAAGTACATAAATGAGTTCATGCTACATATATGTATGCTAAAAATGGCTTAATGACTTCGAAATTATTTTAATTTGCTACAATTCTGTTATCAATCAATCACGTTGGTGATATTGATGATGTAGGGAAAATCTTGCAAGGGATGGGCATTTTAGCAGATTTTAAGTTTTTAGGAGTTCATGGTGATCCTCTAGAAATGCTAGGTCATTGAATTTTTACATTACAATATCTCAAAACTTAAACAACTTAATGTGGTGGATCTATGATTGATAATCCAAGGAATATCAAGCTCTGTTCTACATTTTCTGTAGATTAGAGTTGGCGCTATCATAATCGTGAATAATCTTGATAAGCCTAGATCTTACAACTTTTTATAGGATCTGAACAACTCATGTGTTTTTCATTCCTTTCTATAGACTCCAAGCACCAAAAGGTCATTGCATTAATTCATTCAAACAATTCAGCATATTTGTCAAAAAAAGGAACTATATAATACTTTACAGGAAATAAATTAACTTCAATTAAAGGTCTAAATAGATAGATATTCATGAATTTTTTTCTGACGTAATGTGACTCATAAGAAATAAGCTAGATTTCAATATCAAGGAAATAAGCGGTAGATCCTGTTTGCTAATATGGTAGGCATGAAAGAATTTTCGATGATATCATTTTTAATATTATGACCTGACTTAAGTAATTCTAAAGAATTTTACTCGAATTAAAGATTTTTAAATAAAATTCTAATTACTCAAGCAGAGAATGGTTTAGGCGGGAAAGGTATGAATAAAATTGTTTTAAGATTAAGCATCAGTTTTTTAAATGAAGTTTGTAGTTCTTAGCTGAACCTATTCAACTTCTTTATCTTCATAGATATTCTTCATGCTGAACTAGCATTGAAACTGAAGGCCTTTAAATTTCATTTTTGAAATATAATAGCTTTAGTATCAAACAAAGTTGTAAGATGACTTAGAGCTGTTAAGTGCCTTGCTGGTCGAATAGGTAAGGCGTTTGGCTCAAATTTGGTATGGTAACTCGAAGGTCGTCGGTTCGAATCTAGCCATTTCCAAATTCGTTCTTTTTCAGAAGTTTAGATACTTCGACTGCTTAATGTACGAGATCAAGCCATAATTGGGCATTTTGGGTAACGTTGGATTAAGAAACGGATCAGGAACTTGAAGTGTAGCGGGAGAAATAGGAACGATAGCTACAAGATTACCTTATAATGGAATATTGTCAGAACGGACCTGAAATGTATCACGTCACGCCCACAGAAGATTGAAACGAGAGCCTGAATTTAATCGAAACCTAGATTTGAAGATTAGAAACTTGAATCTACGTCACCCATAGTGATATGAAATGTATCACTAATCAATGTAAAAAGTAAAAACATGTATAATTACTAATTCTTCCGGACGGTAACGTCGACAAATAAAAAATAATAAAAATAATTCATATGGAAAATTCGAATTTATGACAAGTTCGAGCTTTGCTGTAAAAACACTATCAAGTGATGCACTGCTTAGCTAAAAGTCGATAAAAAGCTTAGGAATAAGCTCAAAAATTACAGATAGACAAAATTTGAAAAGAAGATTCACATTTATATCTCAGCACTAACATGTTTACACCATTCGTGTCGAATTTCCCGCTCAACAACAACAAATTCGCATCGCTTGAAATTTTCTTCATTCAGTAATTTATTGATAAACATTATTTTAGTTCTCACTCGAATTCATATCAGTATTCGCGTCATATAAGTAAGCAGCATTGACTCTAATTATGATTCACATATCCTTCACAAAATAGCAACAGGTCGCATTGATTCTAGATTAAATTAATTCTCTGTTTTTTTCAGCTATTTATTATTAATTTAATACTTCATATTCGGTAAATAATTATTAAATGTGATTGAAAAATGCCAATAACACTTTGCAAAGTTGAGAAAAAAAATGATATATTTTTTAAGCAGCTCAAATAAGCGGTCGGCTCGTCAAAGTTGTTGAGTTCGACAGACACAGATAATTAAATTGAATCCAAAAAAAATGTGTATCAAATGGATGAAAGAAATGAGAGACAAAACACACATAAAGTGTGCAAATAGTGTACAGCAACCCCCTAGCTGACTCTATTAATACACACGAGTACGCGAATATTATAATAAAGTGGGGACAGTGTTGCGTAGATTGAATTTAAATGCTTTAAGCTTCATACACAACTAGGCTCTGTGTTTTTTTTGTGTCTTTTAACCCAAATGAGAAGAAAAATTGTAAGAAATAAATGTGAATTGATTTACTTTTTCCAATGATACTATAAATAAATTGCTTATAGTATGAGTGAGTACAGTATCTGGGGTCGTATATGTTTACAAACCGATCAACACGGTATATCGGATGGAAGAAAAAAAAGCATGTTTTTCATGTGAGAAGTATACTTACTAGTGGTTTTTAAACAATTTTTGCTAAATAAAGTTTATAAGAGTGTAGAATTTAAGCACTCAAAATATCAGTCTCGTGATTTTGCTCTACATTAAGTGGAACTTTAAAAAGCTTGGTGCATAGCGTAAGTTCACTTATTGTGCGTTTGGTGCTTGAACAACGTTGACGATCTGAAATTCGTGTCTAGCTAATAAATAATAAAATATATTTGCAAACTTATATTAAGGATAGAAAAATAAATTAAAGTGAAAAAAAGATGAAGGTGAGTTATGGATGTGAATTAAAATATCTTTGTGAACTCAAAAGGATTATGGACACTTTAAAAATGAAAATAAAAATATGGACTTAATTATATCGAGTGATCTGATTCAAGCTATTTATTGAAAGTGAAAATAAATAAATAAAAAATAGCCTATAATTAAATGAGACGGAAAAAATCTAGTTTAAAAATACTTTACCCACATTTTGTAAAGCTGAATAATTATGCAATATTGCATCATATAGCCGAAGAAAAAAAAAATAATAATAAGAGACTGAATGAGATGAAAAAGTTGACAGTGATTTAAAGAATTTGATGAATATGACAAGACTTGTTGCATTTTTTTTTGTGTCATGCGTCGTTATGAAATTCTCGCGAGGATTGCAGAAAATCTGGCTTGAAGTTGGAGCCTTCATGTCTTGAATTTGTGCATTATTTTTAATTGACTTGAAATTGATCTGCGGACTTATATGGATTATTAATAATTGATTCGGAATTGATTCATTTTCAATCACTAGATTCACGATTTAAAACAGTTAAAGAATCTTACTAAATATGGACTCGTATTGATTTAGAAGAAGTATTTAGTCAATTAAAGTCTGATTGTCAAGATAATCCATTATTAATCATAGCTAGGACTTTATTTCTTTTGATAATAATATTCTAAGTTGAACTCTAGTTACAATTATTAGACTAGGTTTAAACAAGCTAATTAGCTTTTATAAGAACTCATAAAATCAGTTTCGAAATAAATTGATAAAATTCAGGAACTTACTTCTTCAAATTTTCAATAAAATTATATTCATTTGAGGTTCTAAGTATTTTAAAGATTACCTTTTACCTATTAAATCAAAAAAGTAGCTACCAAGTTTAAAAACTTCATATCATTAATTAAAAAAACCTTCTATCGATCACAAAATTCTAAATAATACCTCAGTGATTTATTATGAAAGCAAAAGCTAAGTATAGCAACACGGAAAAACGAGATACTTAAAATTACAGTGCAAAACTAGTAACGTCAAACAACTCCCATGCACTATCTAAACTTAAATCACTTCCATTTGCGTGGAGGTTAGAACCAAAACAAGCTTCAACGACTGAATGAAAAATATTTTTTAATTACAGACCGTCGCTACATTATTATTTGTAGCATGCGCCGTTGTGGCAGTCATGTCAGCACCTGATTGCCCACCAGAAGGTCATGCTTATGCTTATGAGGCTCCAGCTCCAGTTGCTGCCAAATTTGTCGCACAACCAAGTGTTGCTTATGGATATGGAGATTCATACGGATATGCCAAGACTATTTCAGCACCACCAGTAGTAACAAAAGCTGTTCTTCCTTCAGTAAGCTATGCAGCTCCATACAATTATGCTGCTGCCGTTCCAAGTGTCTCATATGCCGCTCCAGCTTACGCAAAATCAGTTTCTTATGGTGCTGCTGTTCCAAGTGTCTCATATGCCGCCCCAGCTTACACAAAAGCAGTTTCTTATGGTGCTGCAGTCCCAAGTGTCTCATATGCCGCCCCAGCTTACACAAAATCAGTTTCTTATGGTGCTGCCGTCCCAAGTGTCTCATATGCCGCCCCAGCTTACGCAAAAGCAATTTCCTATGGTGCTGCCGTCCCAAGTGTCTCATATGCTGCCCCAGCTTACGCAAAAGCAGTTTCCTATGCTGCTCCAGCTTACACAGCCACAAAAATCGTTTCACCAGCAGTGTCATATGCTGCCCCAAGTGTTTCATATGCAGCTCAAGGCTATGCAGCCCCAGCTTACAGCAAAGCCATCTCATATGCTCCATCAGTTTCTTATGCAGCTCCAGCTGTCTCTAAAGTAGTCGCTCCAGTCGCTTACAGCCCAGCAGTGTCATATGCTGCCCCAAGTGTTTCATATGCAGCTCAAGGATACGCAGCCCCAGCTTATGGTAAAACTATCTCATATGCCGCACCAAGTTACGGACAAGCTTACTCTAAAGTGGTCGCTCCAGTCGCTTATAGCCCATCAGTTTCTTATGCTGCACCAAACTACGGACAAGCTTATTCAAAAGTAGTCGCTCCAGTCTCATACAGCCCATCAGTTTCTTATGCTGCACCAAGCTACGGACAAGCCATCGCTAAAGTAGTAGCTCCAGTCTCATACAGCCCTTCAGTATCTTATGCTGCACCAAACTACGGACAAGCTTACTCAAAAGTAGTCGCTCCAGTCTCATACAGCCCATCAGTTTCTTATGCTGCACCAAGTTACGGACAAGCCATCGCTAAAGTAGTAGCTCCAGTCGCTTATAGCCCATCAGTTTCTTATGCTGCCCCAGCTCAAGCTGTTTCATACGGACATGGAGGTTATGTATCACAAGCTGCTTACGCACCCGTACCTTATGCTGCCGGTTATGGAAGTTTCGGAGTTGCTGCACCAGCCCACACAATCGTAAAAGCAGCACCAGCAGTCCTCAGTTCAGTAATTGCTAAGCAACATAATTTATATGTAAGTTAAAGTTATTAGTGCCTAAATTGTAGCAAAAGTTCATTTATAAAATTCTTATAGGATGATCATGGAGTTTATGCCAACTCATATGCCAAATACGCATTCGAATATGGAGTTAATGATCCAACAACCGGTGACATCAAGCATCAAAAAGAAGAACGTGATGGAGATATCGTACGTGGTCAATACTCACTTGTCGAGCCTGATGGTAAGTCATTGATATTTTTAAAAAAAATGTGAACATGAAAATTAATCAATCGATTTAATCCAAAATAGGTAATGTAAGAACAGTTGATTACTACTCAGACGAATGGGGTTTCCATGCTGATGTCAAGAACTCAAAAGACAGAGTCCATGCTTAAATGTAATTTTGTATAAAAACAACAACAAAAAGTTTTTGAGACAACACCAAAATGTTATTTAAATTCTATATCTCACCCAACCCAACCCTACCCACTCCTCGAACCGAAACTGAAAACCCTTTTTGAGGCAAACAACTTGAATTTTCATTAGATTATTAAGATCAATCATCACAATTATAAATATGATATATATTTCTCATGTTACCTTCAACAAAATGCTCCACTTTATTCATCTACCTTCTATTTTTTTTGTATGTAAAATTTCTTTGTGATACAAGAAGTGTGTTAAATGTATGTAAAAAAAAATATGAACGAGGAAAGAAAAACAAAAATGTAATTTAATTGATCTTGGAAGAAGAAATTAAGATAAAATTTTTTCTACTATTTCCTTAAAACGAAAAATAAAAAAATACGACAAATAAATTAAAAAGAAAAAAAATAATAAAAAGAGATTTATTTTAAAATTCAATTTATGTCATTTAATATTTATTTATTTTCTATCTCCTCAGTTGCAGTTAGTAGGAAATGAATTAGCATAAAATGTGTTTCATGTTTGTGAGGCTTGGTCCCGAGCTGTGCAATTATTGAGCTGTGTTACTGTTGTTGACTTATCAGAACTTGAAATCGATTTATTTCGAGTCAACTCTGACTCGCTCGTTCTGAGTAGGTTTGAGCTTTTTATGCATGCACAAGAAACCAATAACATAAAAATTCTAAAACAATTTCTCAAACGCTCCGTTTTAAACAAATATCAAATAAATCTCAATTATTTGGGACAAGATAACAAAGTCTTAAGCTAAATAGGATTGGAACCTAATATCCAACTTGTTTATTAAGTTCTTCATCAAACCATATGAATATTTTAATCAGCTATCAGCAAAAGTCTGAAGTGTCTCGGTGGCAGAATGGTTTAGTGCTTCGGTATCTAATTATTACAATACCGACACAGCGATCATGGGTTCGAGCCTAGGCATAAGAAAGTTTTCACTTATCCTTTTTCGAGTCATATGTATTGGAAATGAGGCTCACATCCTTCCTTTGTAGGGCTATAGGCAGAAATGTCATCAGAGGAAGTGGTTCGCAGAGCTCGAAGTCAAATCGAGATTTTCATCGATTTTGTATGGTGTTTCGGATTCAACTATAAATTGTAGATTAAGTTTGAGTGCAGTGGTTTGGCGCATCCTCACTCGTTAAACTCTCATTAGCTGCGAAACGCCATAGCGCACCTTTGGATGACAATTGATCTGAATAGATTAAGGTTATTTTTATTAACAAAAGTCAAACTTATGTCAAATCATTAATAAATCAAATCAAAAGATTTTAAAAAGGATTTTAATTTTAAAAAATTCCAAATTAAATCTCATTGAAAAGAAAAATTCATCAAACAAACTTACAAAGTTAATAAAATGCAGCACTCGAGCAATAATTTCATTGCTATACCGGTTAAACTTCACATTTCGCAATATTTTTACGTGCATAATATCCATTCGATATCTTTTGTAAATACGTGCGTAATAAGACATCTCTTGCTGGCAATTTTATAGCAAAATCTACATTTTCAATTCAATTAAGCCATTTTCCGCTTCATGTTAAGCTGCTTTATTGTCATCGATGAATGAGCTTCTGTTTCATAATAATCATGATCAACTGAAGAATCCTTGTCGTCAATAAACAATGGGACGATGACACAAGACTATTGAAAGTGAAATTACTTTTTTTTCTTGTACGCGGCAGGTTTTAGAGAATTTAAAAATAAATAAATAAATAAAACAAGTTCAATTGGTAAGCTGAAATGGAAGGTCACGAATTTTAAGTAAATCAATAAATGAATGAATAAAAAATTGCTCACTCGTGCCGTGAAGTAAGAAGGCGACAAATATTAAGACTCGTAAAAAAATCTCTTTCAGCATAATTAATTGGGCAATTAAAACACTTTAATGACTTGTTAATTGGTATGTATGATTTTTTTGTGTAGGTCAGGAATGAATTTTTATGCTTTTTTCAGACTTTAAAAATTCATATTTTAATTTCATGTGGTTTTTAAGGGTCATAAATGAGAGCAGATGCGAAAATTGCGAATTTATTTAACTTTTAAGGTTAAAAGACTTCAAAAAGAGTTAAAAAGTAGGATTAGCGATTCACAGAATCTTTTTAAAACAAGATTCACTGAATTCCAATCCAGAGAGCACTTCAAACTCAACAGCAAAGCCAATATTCTTCAATATATCATAAATAACTCCAAAATCAATATTTAAATCGTAATAAAAAAATCCAATCGATAACTTTTTCCCATAAGTATGTCAAAAATCATATCCAATTCAAAATTCCTTCAACATTCTCAAATTCATAAGCATAAACCATAATTAATGTACACGATTGCATACTTTAATTTATGATTTTCATATATAAAATCTATTTTCATTGCCTATCAATGGGCAAAAATCAATTTTCTCATTGAATAAACTCTGCAGGTTATATGCAGCATAAACCATAACATTGTAAGGCATAAAAAGCGGGAATCGTCACTCGCATATACAATAATATAAGGGAATAATACATAAATAACTCAACTCTACATGGAAACATTCCATCGCGATGAGTTCCCTGAATTCATTCATGCCTAGTTATTGTTTGATCGATAGACCTTTATTTTCTAGTTCAGTTCTTAGTCCCAGTCGAGTAAGAGTTGTGAAAAATTTTCATTATCCAAAGTTTAAACTTTAAAAATCATTCAATGGCTTCAATACAATCGGTTGTAACATTTGAGAAGCCACTAAAGCATCTCTCACTCAATGATTGGAACCTGAGAATATCACAGCTAAGCAGCAATTCTGAAACGAAGCGATTTGATGCCTTCAACTTGAGGCAAACGTCAAGAAATTTAAGGAATGAAAGCACTGTCGAGTCTTTTTGGTCAACTTACTATAATAATGAGAGATTTGCTGACCGAGTCGCTGAACTTGATCGTTGGCACCAAACGATGGTCGAGTGCTATAAGCGAATCCAAAAAGAGATTAAAATGTTGCAGGATGAAAAGGAGATGACCGAGAAATGTTTGGAATCTCAAATTACACCACTCATTGTTGTGTCGGAGTGCATATCGCAACGTGATGTACGTCTACCACCTGAACTTACTTATGACAGTGTCGATGAAGAACTGCAAACTGAGTTGTGCATTGTGGAAAGCAATAAACGCTTATTAAGGGATCAGTGTCAAGCAGGTTTGCTAATTTGTTTGTGAAATTATCAACACTGAATGAATGACTGTCTGCGAAGCTTAAGACGCCCACAAAAATAATTACTTAATTAATTTGTAATGAACTGTCGATTTCTCAATAGTATTTTCATATTTCCCGAGCTGTAAATGAATGTTTTGAGAATATTTGATTAAATCAATTGAATTGGGTATGGTTGACATTCAGAGTATTTATTGAGGCTATAAGAGTCAGTCACAAATGATGAACAATACAAAATTATGGAAAATGTTGAATCCTGGATGAGTTGTCAATCGATACAATGTTATCCAAAGCAGGAGGCTTTAAAAATTAAGGAATGCAGTTGGAAAGGCTATTTTTGGGTTGATCTTTCAGGAGATGTCCTCAAATTATTGAATTCCTGTGTTAAGAAGAGAATTTGAAAATTATTAAAATCAGTTCACCAATCTGGGGCCGTTCAATTATGACGTCCGAAATTAACGGTCATTTTTCAAAAACGAGCAATGGATTTCCAGGAATTTCCCCCCCCCCCCCCCGGACGTCATAAGTGAATGGCCCCTCTGATGTTCAGCAACTTCGTTTAAATTCACTGAGAAGCACAATGTCGAAGATTATGATCAAAAGGCAATAAAGATAAATTCATTTTGGACTATATGTAAGACAAAAGATAAAGATAACCTCAATTTGACTGACTTTAAAGCTAATTACTTATTGCCACCAAACTACAGATTGTTATTCATCCAGTGCTTCTCGGGCAATTTAAAATATGCGCTAAAAATCTGCTGATTAGCTCAAAAACTAGACACATTAAGCCATTAAATGAAGCAGAAATCATTAATAAACTTGGAATGATAAGTCGAAAGTAGCTTTTTAACCATTTTTGGATATAAACTTTTTTTTTTTATTCGCTCTCCTCACCGACTTATTTCTTGCACATACATACTGATACATACCAATGCACCCGACCATAAAGATCATTCACTCCCGTGTGTCAAATTTGCTCTCATTTATTTTTTAATTTATTTATTTACTTACTTACTTGCTTTATACTTTTCTTCTAGCATGGAATAAATTAAATGAATTAATTGAAGTCCGTTTCAAGTTAAATATCGATATAGAGGATAAACGCGAGGCACACGACATTGACAGTGAACAAATGGCATTGAATAAGGAGTGCTCGTCTATTACCTATAAAGTTGATCCATTGCGAGTTCCTCGTAATGCCTGTACGTACAATGGATGGCTCGAGAATTGTAAGGAACTCAAGCTCTTATCCGACAAAGAATTGAAGGAATCTTATGCTGTACGCGAGTCTCTGTTTGTGGCACGAGAAAAGGCTAAAAACTTGTTGCATGCACAACAGGAAAAGACGGAGCATACGATTCGTAGGCGCATATTTGAAACACAACGTCAACGTAATGAATTGCAATGGCAAAAGAATAAGGTATGCTTGACCTTGTACTGAAAGATCTTTGTCATCGACCGTATGTCAATTAATTTAATTTTAATCTTTTATTTTTATTTCTGTTTCCACTGCTTTACTTCCGTCAATTGACAATTATTTCTTTTTATTTGTCTATGAATGTCTATGACTAACGACTCAGACCCAAGATGAATTAGAAAAGGTAGCACGAGAGATAGGTGACTTGCATGAAACGCTGAGAGTCAAGGACAATGCTTTGAAATTGACTGAGACACGTTTGGAAAATAGAACAAATAGGTACATAATGTTTAGATATTAATTAGTCATGCTGTGTACTTGAAATTGTTTTCCTAACAGTTTTGTTTTTGGTGCTTGCTGGGTGAGCCAATGGGTTTTAAGGGTAATATTTTGGGAGAGCTGTATTTTCGGTTGGGAAAGATGTTTTGAACAAAATCTATGGTTAGGATGATAGCTCTCTAGCTAGGCTGTCCAACTGCTCACTTCTGAGCAAAAAAATCAATGGACAGCCTACCTCTGGCTCACCCTAACCTCAACTTCTCAATAAATCTCCCTAATTTTTTCACTCAAATCTTTTTCAGATCCGGCATGGAACTTGTTCTAGACTCTGTCTATGACGGCTTATGTGACGAAGTTGTTCAATTACGTGAAATTCGTAAGGTTTTGAAGGAGAGAATATTGAATGCCAAAGGAATGCACAACTATTTGGAAATTCAACTGGCTAAAATTGATCAAGATTTACAAAACAAAGAACATTCACTTGCCACTGATGTGAAGGGCCTCGATATGAGAATGCGATTGAAACAAAATTCCTGGAATACTTCGGATCGTGCAATTGAGTTCAGCAATGTTGAGAATCAAATTTCGAGAAATTGAAAAAAAGTTTTTAATTGATAAGGAATTTTAAAAATCATTAATATGCCAGATTAATTAATTTATCATGGTCTTTAATTATCTAATTAATTTATTCATGAATTGGTTGCGATATTCGGATTTTTCAGTGCATATTTTGCAAAGCAAGTGTCATTCCATGTTAAATTATGTGCTATAGATGGGGATTTGCTGTCACATCGATGTCCATCGAGCATGATTATTTATGGGAAACTTAATTAATAAATTGTAAAGAAGTTGCTTTATGGCATTGCCTGAAGATTGGTTAATTCAATTAAAATTGATTTAAAATTTTAACGGTTTTATGGAATTTGAATTTCTCAACCCAAAAAATTTCAAATTCAAAAATACAGTTAAAATCTTAAAATAGAATTTAAAGCAGCAAATCAAGTTTAATGCCCTTAAAAATCTCTCATTTCATTCGCATGTCGCAACCAGTTCATGATATACACCCAATAAGAAGAAAAATATTCAATACCAATGTATTTTGAAACAATTTTTTTTTTCCTTATCACGATCTTAAATCTTGTCCTAAAGTCAATGGCACATAAAAAAATATATATAGCAATGCACAAAAATGTCTAGTCAATGAATAAAGAAGAGTGTGAGTGATTTGTGAAAAAAAATTCCTTTCTTTCCCACATGTTTACAAAATATTGTTACAAAGCACGTGCTTATCACTTCCAATGGAAAGCTTTCTTCCTTACGTCGACGTAATTTTTCGTATCGGGAAAAGGATTTTTCATTTCCAGGAAAATTTTCACTGTTGACGAAGAAAAAAGCATTTTTGAGTGTTTATGATTTTATTGTGGATATTTTGAAGCTTTAATTGACTTTTAAGTCTTATCGACCAACTTATTAACATTCTTTAAACATTGAACAGTTAAAAGCAAAGCTTTAAAGCTCCAAAATGAACTTTCCAGCTTTTGGGAGTTTTCCCTCAATTCATCATCAATTCACGACAGCTGCAGTGACCTCAACACCCTCATCGCAGGTAATTGACTTCATTCTGTCCAGCTACTATAATTAAAATAATCTTTTCATTCAGGAAAATCGATATACAAGCTATCAGGCGCCAACATCATCGTCTACAAATCCAGTAAAGTTTCGTGCTGAGGATATGGCATCAACAAATATAAATAAGTACGTCACACACTATCCAACAGCATCAGCAACACATTTACAGTATGGATATAATACAAATCAACAGCAAGCTGAGAATCCAAAGACTAGTTATGTCCATACGACGAGTGCACCGACATCATCAATAACCACATCCCATACGACATCTGAATTATCGCAAGATATTACAAGCTTATTGCTTAAAGAACAATCTGTTGGAAATGACTCGACTAAGAGAGTCTTACAGACATCATCAGTTGCTGACTATTTAAGTCATTTACCCACACTTCATCACTTCCTTAAATATTCAGCAGAAACAGCTGCAATTAAGAAGGAAAATGTCAGTACGGTGAGTTTTGTGGCTACTTTCTTAAAATTTCAGCCTTAATTTTCCTCAATTAGAGTTCGATTTTTCAGACTCAGCCTGTTGCTTCTCAAAGCTTGAATTTAATTCCTTCTACGTCATCAATTGCGAATATCATACATACGCCTATCCAGCAGAACATTCAGACAAATCAGGCAAACATTCAAGTTTCAACTCAACCCCAACAAATATCAGCACCTAATACTGGAAATGTCACGACAACATCTAATCCAACAGCTACAAAGAAGAAGAAGAAAAAGAAGGCACCAAAAGAAAAGAAGCCACGACCAAAAGCTGGAGAAATTCGATTGAAATTCGCACTTGATGGATCAATGCTTTTTGTATGTCCCGAGTGTCAAGTTGCTTATCCAGAAAAGTAAATATATCTTTTATTTTTATTGACTGTTGATTTATTTGAAGCGACGAATTTTTGAAATTTTAGGGAAATTCTCGATCAGCACATGATTGGTCATCAAAATATGGAGAGACGATTTGTGTAAGTTAAAAAGACATTACTACCGACTTCTAAGAATTTGAATTTTAACGGATTTGAAAATTTTGAAAAAAGCTTTCAAAAAGCTCGTTTTTGAATTTTTGAAAACCGGTAAAAATTTGAATTTTCAAAAACCGCTACAAAATTAAATCTTTATAAACTTTCAAATTAATTGAAAATCCCATCCACAGATGCGAGATTTGCAACGCAGCATTAAAACGTAAAGATCACTTGACAAGACACAAACAATCACATAATCCGGAACGTCCTTATTTGTGTCATTGCCTCAAAGCATTCAAGAGAAAAGAACAACTGAGCCTTCATGCTGTTATACATTCAGGCAATAAGAAGCACTCGTGTAGTGAATGCGGTAAGGGATTTTATCGAAAAGATCATCTACGTAAGCACATGAGATCGCACATTGCGAGAAGATTAAAAGCTGGTAAGTGATGTGGAACAAAATTTTGTGGATGTATGTCGATTCTTACTGGATTCTTTTTAGAACTATCTCAACAAATGGGTCATAATCAAAATAATACACAATCAAATGGTCAGGATCAACAGCAGCAACAGCAACAGGGACAATCGGAAGCACCACAAATCATGCAAATTCAACAAAATTGTTAAGATACTAAAATATTAAGTTAATTAAGGAAAAGAATCTCATGCCATATCGATGTAATAAACACTTTCATCCGCTTTATTTTTGTTTTTACTTTTGTCCATTATTATCATCCATGGAATGGATATACTCATATTTAAATTAATTTAATATTATCATAGTATTCTCTTCTCAATCAATCTTGATCTTTTATGAATAAAAAATATGAGAAAAATCTTTTTGTAGGAAAATTAAAATTGGATATAATTTCATTTTAATTAAGGATTAGGTTTTTACAGCTGAATAAGCCGACTAAAGTCAAATCTAGTCGAGACACAATCTTAGTCGGCTTAACCCTCTGGATTCTTGCTTCAACTTTTGAAGTGTCCACACGCAAAAAATTTTCGCTCCGCATTTTTCATAACAGTTAAACTTAAAAGTGCTAGTTAATATATTAAGAAGCTCTCCTTGTTATGGAGTTAAAAAATAAAAAGAAGAAGAAGCGCCTGCATGGCGATAATACCCCGCCAGTGAGTCCAACGAGACAAGATCCCAAAAAAGTCAAAGTTCAACATAACCCACAAATCATCCCAGGAAGTACTCAAAAAGTACAGTCAACAACAACTGAGGCAGAAGAAATTGAGGCAGTCAAACCAATCGTCACTAGATCCAGCTTGGTAATAGTTAGAGATACCTGTTGCAAGTTGAAACTTTCACGTAAACCAATATTTAAGGTTATAAATAATAACTCAACTCAAATATCGTGCAGCCTGCTGAGCGACAAGAAAATTGTACTTGAAGCACTAAGAGGCAAGCTAATCAATCATTTCACGTACACTGAACCATCAGAGAAACCAGTTAGCTTAGTGCTCAAGGGATTTTATGATGAAGACCCTGTTGAGATTCTCTCGATCCTGAAGAACAACAATGTTCCAGCAAACAAAGTCACAGTTCTGTTCAAAAACGATTTCCACACACTATATGTGGTTAGTTTTATTCAATCCACGATTAATTGTAATCTCCTCAACCACAATCATCGAATTATTGACGATATAACAGTCAAATGGGAGCAGATGAAGAGTAAAACTAAAGTAAGGTTACAGTGTCATCGATGTCAAAGATGGGGCCATTCAGCCACAAATTGTGGCTTTCAATACCGCTGTGTTAAGTGCACAGAGGATCATCCAATTGGCGAATGCTCGCGGAAAACGAGAGAAGGCAACGCAAAATGCTGCAATTGTCGTGGCGATCACTCAGCAAATCACAGAGGCTGTGAAGCCTTTAAAGCCTTTGAAAAAAGGATTACCAATCATCAACCAGCAAAAAAGCAGCAAGTCAAAATGATCCAACAACGTTTGAAAGCAGATGACTTTCCGACATTAGTTAATTCATCATCAGCATCACTCTCGCAACCTCTGCCACCAAAAGATGTTAATACACCAACCTATTCGCAACAACTTCAGTCACAACCACAAGTAAGTGCTTCGGGGTCTAAAGAGTCACAATCAATCGCAATCAGATTGTCTGAATTATCCAATCAATTATTGGATATCCCAAATATCCAGAACACATTTAAGTTACTCCAAACTTTAATTGATGAGCTTAAACTCATAAGTGACGACAGAAAACGCGTCCTCCTTATTATTCAATTCTGTTCCGATTATCAACTGCCAAATGATGGATTATAAATTCATGATTTGGAACGCTCATTCTGTTCGAAACAAATTTGCCGAGCTTTTACATTTCATTCAAATTCATGACATAGACATAGCTTTTATTTCCGAATCTTGGCTCGAAGAGAAAGATTCTTTTTATCTACCTAATTATAATGTTTTTAGAGCAGACCGTAAGAAAGGCGGCGCGTTAATTATCATTAAATCAAATATTGAACATAACTCACTAATTAAAACGCAATTAAATTTCGCAGAAGCCGTTACAATTAACGTGCGGCTTAATAACGATCGAATTAATTTAACTTCTATATATATTTCTCCAGCAGCAACAAGAAAACAATCAGAGTCTTTCTATTCAAAAATTTTAAATTTGTCTGGTCAACATCTTATAGCAGGAGATTTTAACTGCTCACACCAAGCCTGGAATAACCGTTCTAATTCTCACAAAGGAATCGACCTTTTTAATTTATCCAAATCACTTAGATTTGAAGTCCTAGCTCCCGACAAACCTACTCATTTCGCGTATCATGGTGACGTGTCCACAATTGACTTCGCTTTAAATAAATCCAATTTCAATTTCTCCGATTTAAGCACAATTAATGAACTATCTTCCGATCATCTCCCAATATGTTTTTCACTTAATTCTAATTCACGGAACTCTAGTAGTCTTAATGAATTTAATTTCGCTAAAGCCAAATGGCGTAATCTTCGACGATACGTTGACAATAAAACCCATCTTATTAACTTTAACTTGGACTCTCAGTGTGAAATTGAAAGATCTGTCGATATGATGAGTTCGGCCATATACGCAGGCATTAAGGAAAACGTTCCTTACAAATGCAAAAATAGTTATTTAAAGAATAAATTCTCAAGCAATGTCAAAAATTTGATCAAGCATAGAAACTATTTTCGTAATGTTTATCAAAGAACATTAAATCCAGCATTCAAATCCTCTTTTAATCAACTTAACCGAATGATAAAACGTGCAGTTTACTCAGAAAGACAAAGCGACATGAAAACCAAGCTAGGAAACTTGTCATTTCATGATAACTCGCTATTTAGTCACACAAAATCTCTTAAAAATAGGAAACGTAGCATACCTCCTTTAGCTTTCGGCAATTCTATTGCTTATTCCGACAAAGACAAAGCTGATATGCTTGCTGAGTCGTTTAATTCAGTTCATATAGTTTCGTCGAATGCAAATTCGCGCTTTGAGGCAGAAGTAAGTGAGAAAGTAGATCAGTTAAATTCACAAACATGTTCTGAAATGGATAAATTCTCAGAAAATGAAATTCTTTTCGTCCTTAAGAACCTTAATCCTCGCAAAGCTGCTGGTCTTGATGGAATTCCTAATTGCGTACTTAAATGTCTGAGCTCTTCTGTCCCATTTGTAGAATTACTCACAAAACTTTTCAATGCGTGTCTAGCTCTATCTTACTTTCCAACCTCTTGGAAAGTTGCTAAGATAGTTGCTATACCTAAGTCAAATCCAGCTTCATCAAAACCATCCGAGTATAGACCTATCTCTCTCTTACCAACAATTGGTAAAGTCTTTGAGAGACTAATTCTTTCACGCTTGTGCTCGTTTGAAGAGGACAACAACATCTTTATCAAACAGCAATTCGGTTTCAAATCAAGACACTCAACGACACAGCAAGTACTCAGAATATCTGAAAAGGCTGCAGTCGGTTTTAATCGCAATAAAAGTTTAGGTCTAGTACTTTTAGACCTGCGAAAAGCTTACGATGCTGTTTGGCACCAAGCTCTCCTTTTCAAGTTAAGCAAATTTAACTACCCGTTATATCTCATCAAACTTATTGCTTCATTCCTCCAAGACAGAACAGCGTTTGTGTCTTTGAATAAATCCCGTTCCTTCATTTTTAAGATTCTTGCTGGAGTTCCACAAGGATCAGTAATAGCACCTCATCTGTTCAATTTATTTATCAACGATATCCCTCAACCAGATGTAGGCGAACTGGCATTGTTTGCTGACGATACTGCCTACTTTATAGAGGCAGACTCTTGTGAATTTTCTCTTATTAAACAAAGCTTGATATCTGCTGTAAAATCCTTCCAATCCTTCTTTCAAGACTGGAAAATTGCTTTAAACGATAACAAAACTGAATTCATTATATTCTCAAGATCATCAAAAATGATCCAGAAATGTCAGACTAATCAAATAGCAGTTAACAACTTATCATTTAATTGGAAATCTCATGTTCGTTATCTAGGAGTTCATCTAGACCAGAAACTAATTTTTAAACATCACATAGATGTTGTCTTAAGTAAAGCTAAAGGTTTAGCTTACTCAACAATATATCCACTATTAAAAAGAAACTCGGGAGTGTCTTCTGATTCAAAACTCAGGATATACAAGTCCATTCTACGTCCAATAATAACCTATGCTTGTCCGATTTTTATTAATTGTGCAAAAACTCATCTCAATAAACTCCAAATTTTCCAAAATAAGCTACTAAGACAAATATATGAAATCAAATGGGATGACTTCATCTCAAATGAAGTAATTCACTCTCAGGCCAAAATCCCCACTATTAAAGAATTCACACTCAAACTGACCAGTAAATTCTACTCAAATTGCGCATCACACAGTAACGATTTAATCTCCAATCTGGGACAATATGAATATGACTCTTTAGACTTTCGTTTGAAGCACAGACTTCCAAAACCTCTATCCTCCTAAAGGTCAGGTTTTCTCTTTTTTTTTTACTTTATCTTTTATATATAAAATTAATATAATTTTCATGTAGGATTTTTTTCCCCTTTTTTTTATCCGAAATTCCTATCATCTTATTCAAAAAGTCACGAATTATACAATTAAGAATCATTTTAAGTTTAAATTGAAACCGAATAGGTTGGTGTTAAAATAGAAAATTATATAATGTTAAATCAAAATATTAACAAGAATTTCACAATAAAAACAGATATTATTATTAACCCTCTGGATTTAATAGGAGTCTTAACAAGAAGCACATACAAAAATCAAATTATTTAATGAACTTAAGCTTTAGTGAACTTTCCCCAAATATGAAGCATGAAGACGGAAGCAATGAACAGCAGTGACATCACAAGAACTGGAACTGGTCCACTGCAAAGAAGATTTATATCAATTTATATTGTCAAAAATGCTATTAAGTCAATAGATATGATTATCTTACACTTTAATTCCGGGGCTGTCGTCAGTGTAGAAACGCCACATACCACCAGCAGATCCAGCAGTTCTATTGCTTCGTGGTGCCGTTGTTGATGATGTGGATGTTGTTTTTCTCTGTTTTAAGTTGCTTCCTGAACTAGGGGCATTTCCAGCTCCTCTTGGAGCTGCGGACTTAGATCCTACATTAGTGTTTGATGCTGCTGGGCCAGCCTATTGATGACACGAATTCGAAAGTTAATTAAGTTTTTGGCTAATTCGATGAAATCTTGATACTATTTAAATCACACAGTACTCACCATGTCTATTGATTACTTATTAATGGAATTAACTTCACAAGACAGTTAAATGCAAGCAGAACAATTGATTCTAAGGATTTAATTCAATAATTCACGACTGAACTTTCTGCTGTTTTGTGTGACAAGATTCCACGTCTATAAGCGGGTCATGCTACTTTGTTTGATTCTTTCAAAAAGTTACCGTTGTGAACATTTCTTGTCAGTGATGTGGACTACTATTTGCTGTTTTTAGTGCTTTTAAAGTGTTATATTAGCTGTTGTTATGTTAAAAGAATAGTTTATTGCAGTTGTGAGCTAGATAATTAATTGTGAGTTGACTTATGTTTGCTTTCAGTGAGTTTTTCTCAATATTTACAAATTATACAATTTTTTTTTGGAACTTTACGTACGTAAAACGTGGACAGCCCCTTTATTATTAGCAAGTTTTTCGTAATGATGAATTTGAAAACTTTAAATGCTTGTCTGACTTTCACATTCTCTTAATTAAAGCACTATTAACTGTCATTAGACTCTTTTCATTCCCCAATTGCATGCTGACGTATTTAAAGTAACCACAATACATTCGTACAAGCTTTATAGCACAAAAACTGGAACGCGCCTTAGAACAGCAGCAAGTAAGAACTTGTGTGGGAAGTAAAAGTTTTGTTTTGAAATATTTTTGTCTTAATTATCGTTTATTCATCAAACTACGAAGCAACAAGTGCTGTAAATGACTTAAACATATGGAACGCTTGTTAATAAACATAAAAAACAATATAATCATGAAGCAACAAGTGTGAAAAATTCAATAATTCCTCAAAACAACACAATACAACGAAATAATTTAATTAATTACACCAACACAGTGAATTTCATTCAAGACATTAAACTATTCTGCTTGAGCGAGCGATAACAATGTAAATGACAACAAAAGAAGCTAGATTTGCTGCAAGGGCGCATATTGGAAATAAAAACATTTTCAATTAGTTTATAAGCAAAAAGAAAGATATCAAAATTACATAATTAATATGTATTATTGTGTAAATAGAAACTAATCACTGTGAAGCCTATACAGTCGCCAATTGTTTCCTTATTTTAAATAATTTTTGCTTAATCCAGAAGGACGTAAATAAGATAATTTTGCTAAATTATTGTTCCCCAATAAGAATCGACATAGTTTTGCTCGAGATAAATCCAACAAAGGAAATCGCACACTGCAGAACAAGATGACGGAACTTGGTTAGTAGCAATTGACTATTCTAATTAATTTAGCATGTCTGGATATGTCAAAAATAATTTTTAAAAATTAAATTATCTGTTAATCACTTTCGCAGACACAAGAAACTCATCTGAAGACATAAAGAAAGAGTAAGTATATTAGTGATGTATAAGTGTGTCCAATACATTCGTCGGTTTCTCTTTCTGCACAAAACTTACCACTCAACTTTTACGGGCTATAGCTATGCCACATAAGTCAAGGCAAGTTTAGTCATTTCTAAGTCAGAGCGAAGAGCGAAAGCAGAGCAATAAAAAAAGTAAATCAGTTCATGTTCGGGCTTCTAACAGATTGTATCGTGCTGAAACTGACTTTTTTGGAATTTAACTAATTGCTTAAATGCCATTCACCTTCCCATCAATCATAATATTGTGGATTGTTATTTAGAGACGAATCAGAAATCGAGAGAAAATTAAAACCGAAACCTTATCTTATCAGCTGTTTATAGTGCCTCACAAGTCAAGTCAGGAACATGTGAAAAATAAAACAATTTTGAGTGACTTTATTATTACTCTCCCGTTAGTATTGATTCCGTGTTCGGTGAATGAAAACGTTCAAATTAAGTTCGGTACTTAAAAGTAGTAAAAATTAAGCATGAATTCAAAACAAGAAGAAAGAGAACTGCTGTTGCATCGGTATGTTATACTTTCTCTGCTTACGTCAAAAAAAAAACATTATTTCGGAAAAGCCTACGCTCAATTATGCAGCTATTGAGTGGCACAAGAAAATCTCACGTTCATAAGTCAGTCATTCGAGTGAGGAAAGCACTCTAGACATTTTTGTTATCGTGTTGTTAAGAATTTATATCACTTTAAAATCTCTATTTGAGGGTATAATGTCTGATAAGTGTCAAACAACATCAATATTTAGTGATAAGAGGCTTTTTTTTCGTGTCAATATAAGACTTAGATATTGCCAGTCAATTTAAAGCAATATTGCTGATATTCACACACTTTCCATTGTTAAAATGGATTTTTAATTATGAAATTGGATTAAAAAGCTTGAGAAGTGCATGATATGGAGTAATTAAAGCTGTGATTTGTGATTTTAAAGGCAGTTGTGTGAATTATCAAGTTTTGAGCGAACACGTTTATTAACGGTTGTATTATTTTTAAAAATTGAAGCAAATTGTTGAGGTTTAGTACTCCAATTCAAGTCCAAAATAGCCGTTACTTACGAAAATGTCCAGTACTCTAATTCAAATCCAATTTTTCCGGTAAATTTCAAATCATTCGTGTGTTTCAGTTAATCTTAAAAATCTTCTAGTACTTCAATTTGAATCCAAAATTTCCGCTGATTTCAAAAACATTCTAGTACTCTAATTCAAATCCAATATTTCCGTTAAATCTTAAAACATCTAGTATTTAAATGCAAAATGTCGGTTAATCTTGGAAATCTTCTAGTACTTCAATTCAAATCCAAAATTTCAGTTGATTTCAAAAATATTCTTGTACTTTAATTCAAATCCAAAATATCCGTTAAAACTCAAACTAAGTTTAATTAAATTCCATCTCATATCCAGTGATGCAATGGAAGAGAACCAAAGCTTATTCGACTTCAGTGACACAGCCACAACAACAATCAGTATATATGGTATGAAATGCAACAATTGTGTGAAAAAAATCGAAGAGAATATGAGAAAAGAGCCAGGCGTGCTGAATATCAAAGTGCATTTAGATGAGAAACAGGCCAACATCAATTATGACTCACACTTAACAAATCCATCACAATTAACAGCTGCAATTAAAAAATTAGGCTTTCATACCAATCCAGATGACGTAAAGAAAATTAAGGAAACAACCGTGTACATTAATGGAATGAAGTGTAATAATTGTGTTAATAAAATAGAATCAAATATGAGGGATAACAAAGGCATTGAAAGTATAAAAGTTGATTTAGCCAATAAGAATGCCTTAGTGAAATATGATGAGGCAGTGATTAATCCCGAAGATATTGTGTTAAAAATCATCGAATTAGGATTTAAAGCTAGTTCAGTTCCATTTGATGAAAACAGCCATAATGACTCAAATGGTGATGTAACATTCTTACCAGTAGACATGACTGGTAGCATAAATAGTAGAATAGTCAAAAAAGGATATTTCCATGTTCATGGAATGACATGTGCAAGTTGTGTATCAGCAATCGAGAAGCATTGTATGAAAATTATTGGCGTTGAGACTGTCCTGATATCACTGCTTGGTGCCAAAGCTGAGATTGAGTATGATGAGAGTCTTACAAATACGGACGAGATTGCAACATCATTAAATGGCCTTGGATTTCCAACAGAAGTTATTTATGAGCCTGGATCAGGTTTAACAAGCATAGAAATTGAAATTCAAGGGATGTCATGCTCATCATGCGTAAATAAAATAGAACAAGCAGTTCTTGGCATTTCTGGAGTAACAAAAGCTAGCGTAGCATTAACAACGCAACGTGGGAAGTTTGAGTTTCGAAGTGATGAGACAGGACCGAGGGAAATAAGTGAAAAGATTATTGGACTAGGTTTTGATGCTATTGTGATAAGTAATCGGGATAAATTATCTTATGGATATTTAGAGAATAAACGAGAAATAAAGAAATGGCGACAAACTTTCCTATTTTCACTAGCATTTGGTGGTCCGAGTATGATTGCTATGGCTTATTTTATGGTTATGATGGAGATTGAAGGACATGAGAATATGTGCTGTATTATTGGTGGATTATCATTAGAAAATTTAGTAATGTTTATTCTTTCTACGCCTGTTCAATTCATTGGTGGATATCATTTTTATGTACAAGCTTATAAAGCTCTAAAGCATGGATCAAGTAACATGGATGTGCTTATAAGTATGGCAACAATCATTAGCTATCTTTATTCGTGCATTGTCTTGGCTATAGCTATAATTGAACAGCATCACACATCACCATTAACATTTTTCGACACACCAGCTATGCTGTTCATTTTCGTCTCACTCGGTCGATGGCTGGAAAATATCGCGAGAGGAAAAACATCTGAAGCTTTATCAAAGTTGATGTCCTTAAAGCCACTTGATGCCATAATTATTACATTAGGTGATAATAAAGAGATTCTTAGTGAGAAGCTAATCTCTGTGGATTTAATACAACGCGGTGACTTCCTTAAAGTACTTCCTGGTGCTAAAATTCCAATTGATGGGAAAATCGTGTCTGGATCAAGTTCGTGTGACGAAAGCTTAATAACTGGTGAATCTATGCCAATTTTAAAGCGTGAAGGATCAATTGTAATTGGTGGATCGCTGAATCAGAACGGATTAATATTAATGATTGCAACGCACACAGGAGAAAATACAACTTTAGCACAAATAGTTAAATTAGTTGAAGAAGCACAAACGTCAAAGGCACCGATTCAGCAATTGGCTGATAAGATTGCTGGATATTTTGTACCATTAGTTATAATAACATCGTTACTGACATTATTTGGATGGGTAATTGTTGGATATATAAATGTTGACTTGCTGCCAATATCAATGCACGAAAAAGGAGATTTTACAAAAATGGAAATTGTACTGAGTTATGCATTTAAGTGCGCCATAAGTGTTCTTGCTATTGCTTGTCCATGCGCTCTGGGTCTTGCCACTCCAACTGCTGTTATGGTGAGTTATAAAAATTTGATGATAAAAAGATTTTGGAACTCTCAAAAAATCTGCATATTTAAAATTAATCCGATGGATTAAACAATTTATATTAAATTTAAATCTTGAGGTTTAACCTAAATCCATTGGATTAAAAATTCCAAAACCCTTCAAATTCAATGGCTAAGAGCTTCTATTATCCCAAAAAATTTCAGGTTTCCACTGGAATTGGAGCTCAAAACGGAATACTAATCAAAGGTGCCAGTCCACTAGAAAATGCTCATAAAGTCAAGACAGTAGTGTTTGATAAAACAGGAACAATCACGTATGGAAAGCCAATGACATCAAAGATCGTTATGTTCGTAAAACCGAATTTATGTTCCTTAAAACGCGCCCTAACCGTCATTGGTGCAGCCGAAAATAGCTCCGAGCATCCAATCGCACGATCTATAGTAAATTATATCCGCGATTTCTTACAGATTGATTCATTTGGCACGTGTGTAGATTTTATGAGCGTTCCTGGGTGTGGAATACGCTGTACAGTAACAAATTTCGACAATTCATTAAGCAAAGCGTCAAGATCTGAAAAAGTCATTAATTTTGAGAATGCATACGACAGCAACAGGTCAAACGAGAAAAATATGCAGACAATCAATAACGTTATCTATGAGGAGCATTTGCCATCCAATAATCATTTGTTGCTTGAAAATGAAACAAGCAATTCCGAAAATGAAAATCTGAGTAAAGTCGTAAGTTTATCGCTTGAATTTCATGCCTGATTTCTTTTTTTTATGGCTAATTGTTTCTTATATTTGTGTATTTTACAGACTAAAGTGAAAGTACTTATTGGGAACCGCGAATGGATGCATAGAAACGCTATAATAATACCCGCAGACATAAACCAAATTTTACTAGCTGAGGAGTGTGTAGGTCATACAGCAGTTCTTTGTGCTCTCAATGACATTCTCATTTGTATGATTTCGGTGGCTGACATGGTAAAAATATAAATGCTCACTTTTATGCTTCGATGAATGACTTTATGATTTATCAATTATTCATATTTTAGATCAAGCCTGAAGCACAGCTGGCCATTTATGCACTCAAGAAAATGAATATCAACATAATTTTGTTGACAGGTGACAATAAAAATACAGCAAGTAGTATTGGTCAACAAGTTGGTATACGGACGATTTATTCTGAGGTCCTTCCATCACATAAAGTTGCAAAGATTCAAAAGATACAGGAGAGTGGCATTCGAGTGGCTATGGTTGGCGATGGAATTAATGACAGTCCAGCATTGGTTCAAGCTGATGTTGGAATCGCTATCGGAAAAGGAACTGATGTTGCTGGTGAGATTTTATTATTTTTTTTGAAAAGTTCGTTAAATTATATTTCAAAAATGCAAATCTTAAAAGATCGTTAATAATTCAAATCTCAAAAACTCTTTAAAAATTTAAATTTCACAAATTCCATAAAAAATTAATCACGATATTTCACACGATCCAATCACGACTAGTAATTGATTCTAGTCTGTATTTTTCCCATTTATGATTCATATTTGTTTACGCTTGATATTTGATTTAAATATGCAAATTCATTTATACATTCACAATTTTATTTATAGCTGAAGCTGCTGACGTTGTACTCATGAGAAATGATCTTTTGGATGTTGTCGCATGTCTGGATTTATCAAGAAAGACTGTCAAAAGGATTCGATTAAACTTCCTATTCGCCAGTATGTACAATCTTTTGGGCATTCCAATTGCTGCGGGTGTTCTTAGTCCTTTTGGGATTTTATTGGAGGTAAATATTGATTTTTCGAGTCCTTTTGATGTTGTGTTAATTAAAATTTATGTTTTTAAGCCATGGATGGCCGCAGCAGCAATGTGTGCGAGTTCCATAACCGTCGTCTGCTCATCACTCATGTTAAAATTATATCGAAAGCCAACAGCTGCATCACTAACAACGTCTGAATTTAATACTTATCTACAATCTCTTAGTGACCTAGATGACATATCTATACATCGAGGTTTAGACGATATTCCACGTCCCGTGTTCAATAGATCAAATAGTTCAATTATCTCAAGGTGACATAAACTTTTTGATTACATTTTTGTAGTGATATTTTTAATTATTCTAACACAATTGATCAGAAAATAGAAACGTAATATTAATGCGCATTTCTGCTAGATCGATTAATTAGTGTTGACACTTGAAAATTTGAATTTTAATATTAAAGGTTTTTTGGGATTCAAGTTAACGGCTGTCAAAAATTCAAATTTTATCGGTTTTCAAAATTTCAAATATCGGTTGCAAAAATTCAAAATTTTAACGGGTAAATTTAAGATCCAGCAGAAGTGTGCACTTAATTATTTTCAATGATTTATGTTGATCAAGTCTATATCTCTCTTGTTATGCACTGGATGTTGACAACTGTCCAAAACTTATTATATAAAACCAAATTTCTACTTTACTTTCAGTTTATTAAGAACCTCAATTAATTAAATGGCATGTAAATACACTCAAGCATGACTAACTTATGTTTATAAGAAAACCAAAATTGGTTTAACACAAATTAGTTCATTTAATTTAAATTACTTACTCATAACTGTTATGTATGTATTTTTATTATTTATTTGATTAAGATAACAATTTTACCTCATTTAACTCACATTATTGCTTTAACCAATGCACCTGCACATGTTTATTAGTTTGCTTATTGCTGTTTATCATCCAAGGGATGGAAGTGCTTGTTCATCGAAATCTTCCGTTCCTTACTACTTCATAAATCCATAACTTTGGATATAAATTTTTTATTAATCCCATTTAATTCCATCCAGAATCATCACAACTCTCAAAAACAATAGCTCAGTAAAGGACCTCGAGTACGATGCCAAGAGACAACGTTTGCTGATCGGCGATGAAGACGACTTTAATCATAACGCGTGATACACACTTTGTAGTCCAATCCTTATTGTTTATTGATATTCCATAGTTTATTTCTATTTTAATAATTTTTAAGTTAATAAATTTGTTTATTATTACTTATTTCAAACTTTTATAAAGTAAAAGAAAATGTTAGTCTTGTCAGAGAATTTTACATTCTATGGACCATGATATGAATTTATAATAAAAGAAAAATGACCATATTTGCAATGCCAAATTAAGCTAGTTTTTCTCAGTTTTTCTGTTTATGGTTTAATAATAGTTATTGTGTTTTGCAGCCTATACATCACTGTATAATAGGTTCAAACCCTAAAATCATTTAAAACTTGATCAGTAACTTTCGGTTGTCTGAATCTCTTCATCAAAAGCTTCTTGATGACTTTTCTGAACGGTATTTCCACGAAAAGATAAAGGAGAATGGCACACTCAAATGATAACATAAAATCACTGACATTATCGATGTACTGAGGAGAAATAAAACACAATTTCAATGAATTAGAGGTTGTGTCTGTGACCTGAATAAGTTTTGTTATCATTTAAGTCATAAACATACTACAAAATACTCACAATATGAACCATATCGAATGTCTGAGCTTGTTTTCTAATAACCGTGCTTGCAATAATCACTGCTGAATGGACAACATACAATGATAAGCCAACATTGTCAATTGCAACCCAAATTTTATTAGGTTTTTTTGGTGCTGATCTTGAATTCTTCTTGCCTCCATCCCAGTAATTACATAAAATAAGAACACTTGCAGCAAAGAGAGCAAGCAGCAACCGATCAATTGTGAACAGGAAAATGCTAGGTTTTGTAGATTCAAAGACAAACTTCCATCCAAATAGTTTGAAGAACATAAAGATTATGAAAGAGATTAGAGCTGACTTTATGGCCTTTATCAAAAGAAATTAAGTTAAATAACTCCAAACAAAAATCAAATTAGTCATGCATACCAAATTCATCTCAAGCTTCTTACATCTATGGAATAAGACACCAACAAGCATTCCAATGATCCAAGCCGATGCTAAATAATGCGAATGGAGATAATATTTGGCAAATTTTGGATGTGTGATTGCGAAGCTGCAAGAATAAATTAGCTGTAAATAAACTATCTACAAAAGGTAATAGTTTGAGTCTTACAAGTTTGTCTGCTTTAGGAACTGATTATGTTCCATTGCAAAGAGAAAGATAATGCCTTGAGACATGCCCAATAATGCTGGAATGATGAAAAAGACAGACTTCTTCCACCTCCAAATTGGGTAAATGACGAGAGGTGTTAATAGGAAGAATTGGAAATTCGCGCTTAGGAACCAGCATTGAGGTAGGCACTAGAAGTAAAATCGTCAATTTTTGAGTGACATCAAATGTGTCTTGACTTTGAAAACTCACCATTTGAGAGGTGGTTGGATGATAATAGTTTTGAATTAGCAGCAGTGTGGTCCACCAATATTCTCGACATTCTTTAGATGCTTGATCAGGAAAATAGTAAGGAGCTTGATACAATTCCAACCCATTGACAAAAATATTCACAAAGACTAAAGCAGCCACCACAATAACAATTCTAGTATATCGATCAATCAGCATGACAAAGAAGTTGAATGACTTCCTGGAATTATTGACAATTAAGACTAAGAACTTAAAGATTTCATAAAATAAGTCACTTGTCAAGCAGCTCAAGCATCTTCTTTGTAGTAAGCACACTGCTGATGACGAAAAATCCAGTAAGAGCGAATGGAAATGTAGAAACGATTTTAGAATAAGATCCTTCCTCAAATTTTAGCATTTTCTCAGAGTTACTTAATGGAAAATAAGCACGAACAAAGACTGAATGAAATTGAACTAGACCCATATAAAGGATAGCTCGAATAGGTTTCAAGAAGTAAAATGAAGAACTTTCAACTTCAAAAAGTGATTTTAAGCTTGACGTGAGTGAAAAAGAGGATAGAAGATCAGTGTTGGACTTTCTGCCTTTTGTTCTCCATGTGATGTAAAAGATTGTAAGGATGTAAAGCAATATTAATGATCTGAAAGTTATTTGAATATGAAACTAGATTTTGGGGGTCGTTCATTAATGATTTCCAACTTTTCAGAGGAATCTAATAACTCACATTAATAGATAGTCTCCAAATTTAATGTTAATTGACTTTTCAACTTGACAGAAATCTTCTTGTTCGTAATCAGTCGACAGCGTTAAGGTTGTTCCATTAAACAGCTGATCTGTTATATATTTGATTGCATCTTTCCCACACTCATTTGGTACACAAACGGCACCACCAAAACTCACATCAATGTTCTTCCATTTGAGATTTCGAAGACTGGATGCTAGGAAATGATTTAAGAAAAGCTTATAATCCTTAATGCTACAAGCTATGCACCAACTTACGTGGATTCACTCCAATCACATCTTTGGATTGAAATTTAATCATACAATGCTTCCCAACAACATTCAAAGCATCAACTTTCGTAGATATGCAGCTATCAAAATCTCCAAAGTCATATGAGTTTCCGTACACAAACTTTTTGTCAAAATTTGAAAATGACGAACGCACTAGAATTAAATTTTATTAATGAACCATCTTTAATCACTTATTGCTTAATTTCCTACTTCTTTGTACCCATGCATCACCATCGTCTGACAAGTTTTGGTAGTTCTTTAGAAAATAATCACAGACATTCATTTTTCACTAAATCAGTAAATCTTTAAAATTAATATCGATAGCTGAATGATCAGCTTCGCGTGAGGATCAACAGACAAATGACAACTTTTTCCTAAAAGACCGAATTTGAAGCATGTCAAAAACTTGATCCCACAAAGAAGATGTATCAATTGATTATTATCATTTAAAGGCACAAAGCCTTTTAGGAACAAGTTAATAAAATACATTTGGAATGACTGTATACTTTCTCTTAATAACGAATGCTGAAGGCTGTTAAAATAAAATAATTCAGTAGCTGCTTCTAATGCCTTTAAATTAAAATAATTCATGTTTCTTAGTGGAATTTTAATTCATACGGAGTTGATTAAATCAGCATATCATTCCCTGTCGTTGGCAATAAACTTTACTTTCATGTAATCCTTCATCGTTGTCTGATAACGGTTTTTGGAAAATCAAAAAACGGCAAAAAAATTTGAGAACTCTTTGAATTTTCGAAAACCGTTAAAAATCGAAGCTTTTTTGAAAAGAGGCAATTTCAATCAAAAAGCTCTTTGAAATGTAAAATTTGTTTTTGACGTACTTATTTAAATTAAATTAATATCAATAATTATGGGAGTTAGACAATTACAAACGTATGTTAAGAATTATGTTTTAAATGGGTACATAAACGTTTCATTGTACGACGAATGTAAAGATTTTAAAAGGTAGACTTAAAAATTATTGCCTCTTTTTAAAAAAAAATAATTATTTTTATTTTCAGACAATACAGCACTAAACCAATCCTTTTGATTGATTTGCATTCCTTTTTAAGGATATTACTTAAAGATTTGAAGGAAGTTCTTTGCGGAATCAGACATCAGAAAGTTTATGAACGACTTGAGGAGTTTCTGGAAGATATAAGCCAAATAGCTGATTTGGTGTTTTATAATGGTAAGGAAGTAATTTTTTATCTGTGCCTGTATAGTTATATATATTCTCTCTTCAGAGGGTCCTGTATTCCCAGCCAAATTATCAGAATGGATTAATAGACAAAATCAAGAATTTACAAGAGCCAAAAACGTTTTGGAACTAATCAATCAGGAACGTCCATTAGAAGAAATTATTGAGCGTGTTAAAAACATTGAAGTTCCGATATCTCATTTCGAAATCGTTGAAAGCTTAGCTAAAAAATATGGTACTTTAAAGACAGCTGTAGATAAGGAATGTGACACAGAAATGGCGCAATATGCCTGCCAAGATCCACTAGTTTTGGCAATTCTAGCTGACGATTCAGACTTTTTAATCTTTCCTGGAAATTGGAGATACTTTTCATTGCGAGACTTGGACCAAAAGACATTTGAAACTAAGGAATACAACAGAGTAGCTTTACGTGAAAATTTAGGCTTAAATGATCAAGAGCTGGTGCTGCTCTCAACTCTCAATGGAAATGATGTGATTTCGTTTGACAAAGATTCATTCTATTTCCATAAAAAACTCGTTAAAGAACGTTATTCATGCTTACAACGTTTTCCAGCTATCGCACAATACATAAAGGACAATAATCTGTTAGACAAAAAGAACTTGCTTGCTGATGTTGCTAATCGTTTATTTGATTGGAAGTTTAAACTGGATGCTAATGGATGTATAGGAAAAGTTCGCGATAGCTTCAAATTTTATGATGTTGTGAGCATAATGAATACTTTAAATATCCATCTATTAATAAGTCTTATCTTTTTCGTAGGCATCCAAAAATGAGATTCCAGATTCTGAGGATGCAACGATGGTCTACTGTCGGCAAAAATCCTATTATTTTGTGCATTCAATTTTGAGTCACATGACTGTCAAGCTTACTTTTAACTATTTTGATCATGAACGTTCAAATAACTTTTTTACGACTGTCAACTGCTTGTTTAGAAAGGAAATTGGCATAATCTTAAAGGATAAACCATTTCGACGATATAGAATATGCTCAAAAATGTCTCATGCTGATGAAAAATATGAAATGATCAGCTTTAATCCAATAATTCCAAAATTTAAGCAGCCACCATTGATTGAACTTTTGGATCGACTCCAATATCCAGAACATGATGAACTTAGGTTTAAATTACTTAAATGGCTGATCTGTGAGCAGAAAGATAATCATATTAACTTTGAATCAATTCCTCAAAATATATTTCTGGATGTTTTGGCATTAATTTATATGGTACATGAAGGATTAATTGATGTTATTGAAGCTGATATTATTTTGCTGTCAATTAAGCATGTTGAAAACGGAGATGTTCCTGAAGAACTGTCTGCTCCTGAAATTCTTCATCCACGAGCATTTTATGTATCGATGATATTCTCATATTGTCATTATCATGTCACAAGATGTCTGGAAATTACAGGATTGAAAAGTCTAACGGTAAGTTTATCTTATCACTTTTAATGAGATTTTCAACTAAAGTTTCTTTATTAGAAGCTTCTCAACTTTGATGGTGTCTTGTTTCATAACATTTTTCGTGAGCACATCAATCAACCTTTTTATTATCAGATTCTTCTTGCTGATTTCGCAAATTATCGTCATTACGTTTAATTATTATTTAGGATGACTTTATTTTTTGAATAACTGTTAATTTATTATTTCATGTTTACTTTAAAATCGTATTGGATGTTTAACTTCCTAATCTCCTAATCATGTGGAGTAAAACTCAAATTAATAGCTTTTTATTGAAAGCTATAGTTAGAAAAATCACTTAACTTAAAGCTCATTAGCTGATTTGACTTCAATCAGCTTATGCTGTATAGTATGACGTCAAGTGTAAAAGTGCCTTTAAACTAGAAAATATGAACTTTTCATTCAAAAATTAGCACATTGTTCCTTTTTAAAATTTTAATTCATGTATGTTTATGTTTCATTCATTCAAAACTTTTTACTTATAACCGTAACGACTAGCTAAGTAGATAAATACAAGTTTAAGCAATTAAAAGATTAAAGATTCATGATTTTATTATGACATAACAATGTGTTGAGTCTCGATAAATGTTTACAGCTTACAAGTTTAAAAACGATAAATTATATCTTTCTAAGTTCTAAAACTTGTTGACAAACGTTAGAATATGAAATTCTTTTGGATAAAAGTTCCTTAATAATTTTTCTGAACGGCATTTCAACAATTAAGTAAAGAGCAATAGCCAGGATGATTGATATGAATAAGTCACCAACTGCATCTATAAACTGTAAGTAAATAAAGCTTTAGAAATTAATAAAGTTCTTCCAAAATAACTTACTAATGGGACAAGATCTAACGTAAGTGGCTGTTTGCGAATCACAACAGTTCCGATTATAACAGCTGGATGGACTAGATATAATGAGAATCCAATACGATCAACAATGATCCACAGTAAATTAATTGGGATATTCATAGTTGACGTTAAGTTTGTAAGCTTAGCATCTCCACGGAGATAATTGCTTAGAAAGAGAACAGTTCCAGCAAAAAGAGCAACAAGCAATCTGTCAATCGTGAATAAGAAAATGTTGAACTTTAGATCGCCAAAAACGAAATTCCATGCGAATAACTTAAACAGCATGAAGATTATGAATCCATAAAGTGACCATTTCACATGCTAGAATATTAATAAAATGGTTGGACATTATCAGCTATTAAGTAATATCCCAAAAAAAAATCTTTTATGAGCTCCTTCAAATGATAAACTTACTAAATTCATTTTAATCTCTTTGCATTTGTGAAATATGATACCGAGAATCATGCCTACAATCCATGCTGATGCTAAATAATGTGACTGGAGGTAGAATTTGGCATAATGTGGATCTGTTATTGCAAAGCTATCGAAATTACAGTTTTAAAAAATATTTCTTAACAAAATGATAAGATTTCAACTTACAAATTTAATTTCTTCAAGTGCTGCTCATTTTCGATTGCGAAAAGTAAGATAAATGCTTGAGCTAAGCCTAAAAGAACTGGAATAATTAAAAACACTGATTGCTTCCATTTCCAAATTGGATAAATGACTAGGGGAGTTAATAGGAAGAATTGGAAGTTCGCGCTTAGGAACCAGCATTGTGGAAGGCACTAGAAAGAGAATTATTGCTTCAATAACCGCCCTGTTAATAACTTTGAAATGAGATAAGTCTTACCATTTCTGTAGTGGCTGGATGATAATAGTTTTGAATCAGCAGCAGAGTCGTCCACCAATATTCTCGGCATTCTTTGGATTGTTGATCAGGAAAATAGTAAGGAGCTTGATAAATATGAAGTTTATTGATGAAAATGGTCAAAAGTATTAAAACAGCTATCACAATGATTGTTCGAAGATATCTTTCAATTAACATCACAAAGAAGTTCAGCGATTTTCTGTAATTATTGAGATGTAAAGTAGGCACTAATGTAAATGTCAAATATTAACTTACTTATCAAGCAAATGAAGAATCTTTTTCGTTGTAAGGGCACTGCTGATGACAAAAAATCCAGTAATTCCAAATGGAAATGTTGAAACTAATTTTGAGAAAGCACTTTTTTGGAAATCCAACATCTTCTCTGAATTAGCAAGTGGATAATTAGCTCGAATGAAAACTGAATGAAAGAAGACTAGACCAATGTAGAGCATAGCCCTTATTAGCTTCAAATAATGAAGTGATGAACTTTCATTTTCAAAAAGTGATTTTAAATTTTCCAAGATTGAAAATGACGATAAAAGTTTTGAGCTGGATTTCTTAACAAATGTTCTCCATGTGATTATAAGTATTGAAGTTAGGTATAGAAGTATGAAAAATCTGTAAATTGAGTTTGTTATTAACTTCTATCAAATTGAAGGATGAACTCACATTACGAAATAGTCACTAATTGTAAAACTAATTCGCTTTTGGATTTGACAAAATTCTTCCTGCTCATAATCAGTTGACAGACTCAACATTGTTCCATTGAATAGCTGATCTGTTATAGCTTTGATTGCATCATTGCCACACTCATTTGGAACACAAACTGCACCACCAAAACTAACATCAATGTTCTTCCATTTAAGATTTCGAGGGCTTAAGCCTTAAAATATTTTTGTAAATAATTCAAATCAAAGCTTTTCTCAGTTTATTGATTCTTACGTGGTATAACTGGTATCACATTTTCTGCATGATATTTTATTAAACAATGCTTCCCAACTATACTTGAACTGTTATCTCTCGTAGATATGCAGCTATCAAAATCACCAAAATCGTAAGAATTGCCTTACAAAAACTTCTTGTTAAAATTTGAAAATGAAGACCGCACTAGAATCAAATTTCATAAATATTTTAAATCACAAAATATGAATTTCATACTTTTCTGTATCCATTGATCATCGCTTGATAAATTTTGATAGCTTTTCAGAAAATATTCACAGACACTCATTTTCGCACCTTTAACATGAACACAATGAAATGAAAATGACCCGACAGCATGAGCTTCACTTAACTAATGATTTTACTTTTTCAAAATTATTACCGAAAAGTCTGTAAAATAAGTCTACAAAAGCCCTTTACTATTTCCGTTGAATAGTCAAAAAATAAATAACTTGCTCGGTTTTACATTAAGCTTAAGTATCGTGTATGTGGTGTACATTTGCTGACCTTACCCTTGAAAATAATCTCTTTAAATCATGATTTTAATCACGCATATTTTATTCCGACGGTGAAAGGGTTAAAAGCCTAACTGTGAAATCTAAACTGTCTGGTTTGAGCTAACCTTTCATTTCTTGCTTTTATTGAAGTCTTAACGAAAAAAATAATAATAATAACTGGAAATATTTTGTATGCAACAAACTCTTGTTTTTAATTATTGCAAACTTACTCCAATTAAATTAAAGGGCCATAACTTTAAATTCATTTAAAAGAAAACCTGCTTTAATTATTCCCGAAATAAATTTTTGTTTCATTTGTATGGCACGGTTAATCATATAAAGTTAATTAATATATAAGACATAGTTTTCTGAGCGTATCTGAATTTTATTTCAAAAGTTGAGGAAATCATGTTCCATAAAAAGGGCTAAGAAAACAGTTTACAGAAGCTAATCATCATAGTAGCGCTCATTTAATTTATTTTACTGATTTTAATCTGCGTAAGTAAATTTGCTTAGTGCTCAATGTCTTTCGCTTTTACTGAATCTTTAAATCAGCAGAATCAGATGTTAATTTTTTTACACATATTTGAGATTGTTATAAGAACTTGATTTTGTCTCTCCAAACAGCATTTTAATAAATGATTGTTTTTATTTGAATCCAGTTTAGGTATTTCTTAACAAAACTTAAAACTAAAGTCACAATAAGTTGAACATTGAGATAGGTAACATCTAACAGAAAAGAAAACAAGATTTTTTTGGATAATAAAAAAGTTCGTTCACACTTTGAATGCTGTTTCCACTCAATAAAGCGTTGGGAATAAAGAAACAATAGTTTTATTTTTAAAGAAATTTAATGCTTAATGTAATAAAGTGTAATAAAGATTCAAGCCCTTGGAACATCTGCAACTTGCTGCGGTACATTACAATATGAAATTCTTTTAGCCAAAACTATCTTTATAAGTTTACGGAACGGTGTTTCAATAAACAGATAGAGAAGAAGTGCACAAAATAGAGACAAGATTTGGTCAGAAATCGCTGCCTTAAACTGAAAAGAATAAATTTAAATAGTTTTGTTCCAAAATAAAGTTAAACACTTACTATATAAAATAATTCCATTGTCAAAGGCTGCTTCTGTATCACAACATTTGCAGTTATGACTGATAAATGCACGACATAAAGTGAGAATCCCAAACGATCAATCACAGTCCATATCAAACTAATCTTATAGAATCTTGGTTTAATTGATTGATTTTGCATGTTTGAAGAATAATTAAATATGAACAGAACACTTCCAGCAAGAAGTGAAATGAGCAAGCGATCAATCGTAAACAAGTAAATATTGAATTCCGGCTGTCCGAAAATAAAATTCCATGCAAATAATTTGAATAACATTAAGGCTATGTAAAGCTGAAGAGATAACTTCATGGCCTTAAAATTGAAGATTAACATTTTAGTATTAAATTAATTTTATAGTTAAATAACCTACCAAATTCATCTTTAGTTTCTTATTTCTATGAAAGATGACTCCAATGAGCATCCCAATGATCCACGCTGAGGCTAAGTATTGTGATTGGAGGTAATATTTCGAAAACTTGGGATTTGTTATGGCGAAGCTGCAAAAATGTTCATTATCAAATGATTCTAAATTTCTCAAACAGAACTGTATGCTAAAGATGAATCTTACAAATTTAAATTCTTCAAAAGTTCTTCATTTTCGATCGCAAAGAGAAAGATGATTCCTTGAGTAGCACCCAAAAGAGCTGGAATGATGAACCAAACTGAATGTTTCCATTTCCAAATTGGATAGACGACAAGAGGTGTCAAAAGGAAGAACTGGAAGTTTGCACTTAAGAACCAGCACTGTCCAAGGCACTGGAAATGGAATAGGTTTTAATTTGGATCAATTTAGTCTAGTCAAAATAGCTTGCCATAACAGAAATTGTTGGATGATAATAATTTTGAATAAACAGCAAGGTCGTCCACCAATATTCTCGACATTCTTTAGATTGTTGATCAGGAAAATAGTAAGGAGCTTGAAATAGTTCCAAACTGTTAATGAAAACAGTAATAAATATAACGAATGCTATTACAACAACAGTTCGAGTATATCGCTCAATAGTCATCTTGAAAAAGTTCAACGATTTTCTGCAATTAATGACAATTTAGATACGAAATTAACAAGATTTCATTAATCAACATACTTATCAAGTAGTCGAAGTATCTTCAAAGTTGTGAGCATACTGCTAATTACAAAAAAACCTGTTAATCCAAAAGGAAATGTTGATACAGTTTTGGAAAAAGCACTTTCTTCAAACTTTAAAATCTTTTCCGAGTTTGTGGATGGAAAAACAGCTCGGATAAAAATAGAATGATAAAAAACAAGTCCTAAGTAGAGTGTGGCTCGAAGTGGCTTCAGATAATCAAGTGATGAGCTGTCAATTTCAAAAAGTGATTTAAAACTTTCAGAAAGTGAGAAACATGACAAAAAATTTGGTTCTGTTTTACGATTTTTGGTCTTCCAAGTTATTATCAGCATCAAAAGAATGTAGAGCATTATTACAGATCTGAAATTATTATTTTACAATTTTTCAAAAAGTTGAAAGCTTATGCTGCACTCACATTACTATATAGTCACTAAATTTAAAACTCATTGGTTTTTGTAATTGACAAAATTCTTCCTGCTCATAATCAGTTGATAAGTGCAACTCTGTTCCATTAAACAGCTGATCAATTATAGCTCTGATTTCATTATTACCACACTTATCTGGGACACAAACTGCAGCGCCAAAACTTACATCAATGTTCTTCCATTTGAGATTTCGAGGGCTTACACCTTAAAGTTATAAATTCGGTTATAATCAATTTTTGAATTTATTATACACTTACTTGGATTAACAGCAATCACATCACTAGACTGAAATTTAATCATGCAATGTTTTCCGACTATACTTGAACCGTTGACATTTGTAGAAATGCAACTGTCAAAATCACCGAAATCGAATGAATTTCCGTATACAAATTTTTTGTCATAATTCGAAAATGAAGATCGCACTGAAATTAAATTTCAATTAATATTTTAGAATTTTAAAAACTTAAAATTCTACTTCTTTGCATCCACTGATCTCCATTACTCGATAAATTTTGATAATTCTTCAAAAAATATTCACAAATGTTCATTTTTGCACACTTTAAATGATTAGGCTTAATGAAACTCTGATAGATGAATGATAATATGTTTGCCAAAAAATGCTTCAACCTAGCAAAAAAAATAATCTTGATTCCAGTTTACTAGCTTGAATTTTATGATTCATTTCAATATATGCTTGTTTTTAAAATCCAAAGAAAAAATCATTGTGAGTTTTATGCGTTTGATCAAGTTTATTTTATATCCGTAAATATTGGCAAGGAAATCTGCTCATCGTTCAACCTTGTTCGAAATATATAGATTCGGATGTAAAAAACGTGGTAATAAATAATTACATTGATACAGTATTGATGCTTATTATCTACTGGGTTGTTTTAAAAAAACTAGATTTTTAAAAGAATTTTTTAAAATTTTTAAGAATTTCAGTCTTGGATAAATTTTATTGATAATCAATAATCCCAATACAAATTACAATTATTAGCTTCTAAAGATTATTTTGTGCTAGCTTTGCTTCCAGCAAAGACTAAAGATTACAAAATTCTTAATCAAACCTTTGAATCTACTTTATTACTTGACAAATTCAAGTTTAGAAATCTTTTTGTGATATTCAAAAATGGATTTTCAATCAGCAAGTAAAGAAATACAGCTAGTATCAGTGATAATAAGAAATCCCCAAATGCAGTAATAGTCTGAAATGTAAAATCAGGTTCAAACTTAATTTTTGTAAATTATATTTATCAACTTACAATAGGTATGATATCAAATGACATAGGCTGCTTGCTTATTACAGTACTTCCAATTATTACAGCTGGATGTACAAGATATAGTGACAATCCAACTCGATCAATTACAGTCCATAAAAGATTGATTGGAATATTTGCTGCAAGCTTTGATATTCCATAGTCTCCATGTATGTAGTTACAAAAGAAGAGGACACTTGCAGCGAGAAGAGAGATTAGCAATCGATCAATTGTAAATAAGAAGATATTAAATTCAGGTTGACCAAAAACAAAGTTCCAAGCAAATAATTTAAAGAACATGAATATAATGAAGGCTATAAGGAATGATTTGAGGATCTAAAATATTAAAAGAATTTATTTTGTTATGCTTAATGACTTAAAAGTAAGTTTCACTTACCCAGCTCATTTCAAAGTCCTTACAACTATAGAATACATATCCAAGAAGCATTCCAATAATCCAAGCTGATGCTAGATAGTGAGATTGAAGATAAAAGCTCGAAAAATTGTTGTCGGTGATGGCAAAGCTAAGGAATAACAGCAAAATTCAAAAAATTCATAAAACATGTTAAAAATTCAAAACTTACAAATTCGCTTGCTTTAGAAAACTTTCATTTTGAATAGCATAGAGAAATATGAATGCTTGAGATGCAGCTAGTAATGCTGGTATAATAACCCACACAGATTGCTTCCATTTCCAAATTGGGAAGATAACAAGTGGTGTCAGTATGAAGAAATGAAAGTTCGCACTCAAGAACCAACATTGTGGGGCGCACTAGAATCAGGAAACGATATTCTCAATCCACAATCATGAACTATTTGAATATTATTATAATATTATACCATGTCCGTAACACCAGAATGATAATAATTCTGTATTAAAAGCATTGCCGTCCACCAATACTTCCTACATCCTTCGGATTGTTGATCAGGAAAATAATACGGTGCTTGATAAATATGCAAATTGTTAATGAAAATGTTCATGCATATTACAGCAGCGACAACAAACATAGTTCGAGCATATCGCTCAATAAAAATGTTGAAGAAATTAAATGACTGCCTGTAAATATTGACATTCAGTATACAATAGTATTAACATTATTGAATTTACATACTTATCGAGTAAGTTAAGTATCTTTTTTGTTGTAAGGGCACTGCTGATGACAAAGAATCCCAAAAGTCCAAATGGAAACACTTGAACTAATTTTGTGTATGGGTTTTCCATGAATTTAAGCATCTTTTCGGAGTTACTCAAAGGATAATAAGATCTTAGGAAGTATGAATGAAATGAGACTAGTCCGATATAAAGAATAGTTCGTATCAGACTTAAATATTGAAGAGATGAACTTTTGGTTTCAAAAAGAGATTTTAGGTTCAGCAGAATTGAGAATGATGACAAGTAGGAGCTGGAAATTTCCCGTACACTCCTCGTCTTCCATGTGATTAGAAGCATGAAGAGAATGTACAGCAGAATTATAGATCTATAAAAATAATTTTAATTACTGCTTCCTCATTAAAAATTTCTAAATTACTCACAATATTATATAATCACTATAATTAAAGTTAATTGTCTTTTGTACTTGGCAGAACTCCTCTTGTTCATAATCAGTCGTCAGACTTAAACTTGTTCCGTTGAATAATTGATTTGTTATAGTTTCTATTACATCATTGTTGCATACACTCGGAATACAAATTGCGCCTCCAAAACTTTCATCAATGTTCTTCCATTTAAGATTGTGAATACTTAAAGCTGTAAAATATTGAATATGCAATTTGTTTTTCTATTGTCGTAAATCTTTTTACTAAATTGATTCTCACTCGGAGGAACTGATATGGCATCATCAGAATGATATTTGATCATGCAGTACTTCCCAGAAACGCCTGACTGATCAATCTTTGTAGCTAAACAGCTATCAAAATCACCAAAGTCGAAGGAATTTCCATAAATTAATTTTTTGTCGAAGTTAGAAAAAGATGATTGCACTAAAATTAAAATAATTAGATATTTTATTACATTTGTGACTCAGGTGAATTTTTTAAGAATATGAAGCGTCTCCGAATTGAGAGATCTTAGATATTTTAATGAAAATAGATTGTTGCGAAATTTAAGAAGCTGCTGGCTCTTAGATTATTAGTTGAAAAATTGCTGGAGATTCCCAAATATTCTAAGTTGGCACCTTTAGCATTTTTGTGTGACAATAGATCGTGATTTTTTTATAATTTTACATCGGAATCCCTAGATTTTGCACATACTACTGTAATTCTTAAGTCGCAATAATACAATTCAAAGATTAACATTTAATAAAATTCCAAATCATGCTTAGGGTGACTATAAAGTTTCTAGATTCAAGATGGACATAGAAAAAATAAAAAAAAAAATATTAATCCTTAAACTCCGTTGTTGAATTAAACAAATCTTTCCACAAATTTACAATTCTCTTTAAAAAATAAACAGATTGACACCCCAAACATGCCATTAGATCTAAAATACTCTTTCTCTCCTTCGTGCTTAATTTCTGCTTCTTAATTACTTCTTTTCATCCAAATCGGTGATTCCCTTGAAGTATTTTTAAAATTTCGGACATAATACTCGCAGATATCCATTCTTTTTGTCACTAATAATTAGTCACTTTGTTTAGAAAATATTATTTATTAAATTTTAATCTTTGTCAGTTCAAGTTCATTGCTTCTTCTTTTAAGAAGTCAGAATAAAATTCGCGCCAAAAAAAAAACAAATAATTAACCGAGCAAAAAAAAAATGTGATGCAGATCGGACTAATTTAATTTTTTTTCTTCTTTTCAACTGAAACTTCAAGAACTTTAGGTCAAGCTATCAGTCAACACGTCTATTCTCTTAGAATTCAGCAACACTAATAAAATCTTTTTGCTCATTGCATCTTTAATTTATATCTATTGAGACTGTTTGACTCATTAAACCAGATGTAAATCTACTGTTGAATTTGATTGAGGTGCTTTCTTACATGCAAGTGATTGTTTTAAAACGCATATAGACACAATTATTCGGTAAATATATTTTGCGTGATTCCCTGAAATGTGCTTAGATTGAAGTAGAACTTACGTGACATAATATTAAAAAATATTGTTTGGGCAACCTTAATTAAAGTTGGGAAAGTACCGGTTAGTTGATTTAATTTGTCATTTAAATGATGAAATCTTTTTTTACTTCCTGATTTTGTTGGTGTCTTTCTAAGGTTCTTTATATAGTGCTCTACCATATTAAAAACTAGAAAAATTATCACAATTAGCACACAAATTCGCCGAACAACAAGATAAACACTCATAAGTGGAGCGAAGCATAGCAATAAAATAACCCAATATCGAAGATGTCATTTGTTCTAAATTTGAACTTTTTATTCTTTTTTGTTCTATGAGAAAATATTGTTCTGAGTAATTCATTATTTGAAAGGAAATTCCCACAAATTAGTTGATTTATTTGCTTTTTATGACAGGTGCTCAAATCGACTTCAAGCTCTGAATTTTAGTATGTTTAATTGATTTATTTTTATTTTGGCGCCATTAACTCAATTTTATACAAAACATAATCAATCAACTGAATATAAAATTGGCAAATAATAAAATCCTTTAAGTTAAATAAAAAAAAAATGTGAATGGATATCAAGAAGAATATCAGTAGTTAATATAATTCATACTTAGTAACTTGCTACATAATTTTAAAAACAGACAGAAATCAATTCATTGGTTCAACTTAAAAACTTAAACACTTGAAAAATGTAATTTTCATTCAATAAAATAAGATTTGCCGAATGTGAATTTTTTTAACGCAATCTGAGATAACTCGGTAGTGACAAAATTAAGGTTGTTCACTCTTAATTTTTGTAAAAATGAAGATATTAGACTAGCATGTAGTTTTAGATCAACTAAGAGTTTTGCGAATCATGTACACTAAAACATGAAACTTACAATATTAAAATATTACTTTCTAAAGTTTATCTTAGATACGCCTTTTCAATAGCAGTCAATCAATTTTTGAGTATTCTAGAATTTAATTATAGACAACAAATCATTAAACTGCAATCAAAAATTATCCTACTACTGTTATATTACATAAAAGCAATTACTACTTTCTCACACAATAAAAGACAATTTTACGTTTCATTCAAACCAACAAATTAATGAATGATGATCAATGAAATAAAAGCTACAATTAATCGCGTTAACAATTTAACTATCTCAGATATTCGCAGTTGCTTCCACTTATTAACAAAACGAATGTAAATTTTATTATAATTTAAACAAATAATTATCTTTTTTTTCTCATATTGTCATGTTTGATATTTAATTGAAAGCTTCGCAGTCAATCAAGGGATTTAATTAACAAATGTAAACAGCATGTAAGTTGAGTGACTTTTACATCATAGGCATAATAATCATATCGTCAATCTGAAAGTAAATTAGTTTAAAACAATTGCATTTACTATGTTAAAATTGTATACGAACTCTAACACGATCCGGTGTATTAAGCACATACTTAACAGCTTCTGTTACATCTTCAACCTTTAACTTTGGTAACATTGCAACAAGCTGTTGATTGAATCCAGCCAATATTTCTGTTTCAACCATTCCTGGTGAAATTGAAGTAATTTTGATTGGAAGTTTAAGATAACTCAATTCCTGTCTCAATGACTGTGCTAATGCCAGAAGTGCGTGTTTAGATGCTGGATATAGTCCAAATGGAGGTCTCATATTTGGTGGAATGTCAGGAATTCGATGACCTAAAATACTATTCATAATTATCACATGACCCTTGCCAGATGTTTCCTTCATAAGATTAACAGCTTCCTTTAAACAAACACAAGACGCAATAACATTGACCTCGAACAGCTTTCGAATATTTTCTGGATTATCTTCAGTTATAAAGCTAGTCATAAGAACGCCGGCATTATTTACAAACACATCAAGCCGCTCATATTCTTTCCTTATCTGTAAGATTTGAGATTTAAGAATGAACTGAATATGAAATTGTGATGAAATCTTACAAATGCAAACGCCTCAAAAATCTCATTCTGATTCTCAATATCGCATTTGTAGCCAATTATCTTTCCAGACGTTGTTTGATCAGTTAATCTAGGACGAGATTTATATTGTCTTACAAAATCACAAAAATTTTTGATAAAATTCAAACCTTTTATTTAATTCCGTAATTTTGTCAACACGTCGAGCTAATCCAATGACAATCGAACCATTCTTAGCTAACTCAACGCAAATATCAGCTCCAATGCCTGAGGAAGCGCCAGTGACACAACTAAAAATAAAAATCTTTCAATTTTTCAATCCACAAAATTTCACAACGCAATTAACATACACAATCTTCCCTTCCATGATGCTGCAGGATAAGTTGATCAATTCAGAATAAATTACAAATGCAAACTGAAATGAAAATTGATGCATGCATTGCTTTTTATATCATGAAATTCAATATGTTGTGAAATGAGAGTAAGAATATAGTTTTGTTGTAGAATCAAGTGAAGTGGAAAGAAGACTGGCTTAATTAATTTAACTCAGCTTACCGCGTCACTGGAAATATTCACATTTGAGTGAATGATAAAAGAGGTTAAATTTCTTTTTGTTAGATTTTGGATTTGTGTAAATTGAATGGAATTAATTAGATTACATTAATTGATCTTTGAGGTTAATTCGTCTTCGCAAAAATGATTTTTGAAGTTTATTGTTTTACAGTTCGCAGTCAATTCAGTAAATTTTAATTGCTGTAAGACTTTAAATACTATTGAACTGGATTAGCATCAAATGTTTTGAACTAAAACTCTTAAATAGTTAAGTTTAAAAATCAATCAAACCATTTTATTTTTAATATGAAACTTTACAACTCCAAAAATACTCATTATTTCACTTAATTATTAAAATTATAGAATTAGTTCAAAGGAAAGTCATCGCTTGGTTCATTTTCAGCTTGATTCGATGAAATTGGTTTTCCTTGAATTTTAGCTAAAACCTTCTTTGTAAATTGATTCAGTGGCTCTTCTATGACTAAATATAAACCCATGGCAAATACAATAGATGAAATCATATCTCCGATAAAATCGAGGAACTAGAAATTAAGAAGATGAGTCAAAAATTGAGTTATGAGTTATAATCACAAAACTTACAATCAGAAATCCATCATAAGGAATTGGTTGCTTCCTGTTCAACATGGCATTGTAAATAATTGGCAACTGAATAATGTATAACGACAATCCAATACGATCAATAATAATCCATAATAAATTAACAGGAGTTGATTTTTGCATTTCCTTTAATGTGTCATCAATATGCATGTAATTGCAAAGAAACATGATACTTCCAATAAAAAGTGAAATTATAAGCCTGAAGAATGTGAAGAGATAAACATTGAATTTTGGTGGTCCGAAAATTAAGTTCAATACTAGCAGTTGAATAAGCACATAGTAGATGAAGGCTTGGAGTAGGAGCTTGACAGGCTAGAATTAAATAATTTAAAGGGTGTGAAGTTTATTATTGGGTTAGATAAGTGATAATCCCTAAAAATACACAAGATTTTGCGGCTCAAAAGCAGGTGTATCAAGTAAGTTTGACAACAAACTTAATGTGCATCGTTTAAGTATCATAAAATTTAGTACTTACTCTGATAATCTTAATTTTCTTATATTGATGGAATATAACTCCTAATGCCATTCCAACGATCCATGCTGAGGCCAAGTAGTGAGTTTGAGAATAGAAACTCGTAAAGTTTTTATTTGAGATTGAATAGCTGAAGGATAAGGAAATATATTCAATAAATTAAGGAGACTAGATATGCAAGTTGTCTTACAAATTGATGTTTTCCAAAGTAGCTTGATTATCCACAACATAAAAATAGTTGATTACTTGTGCACCGACTAGCAATGTTGGAAGAATGACCCAAGCTGATTTTCTCCATTTCCAAATTGGATAAATGATGAGAGGCGTAAGAACGAAGAAGTGGAAGTTAACGCACAAGAACCAGGAATGTGGAAGGCACTATAAAAAAGAATGAAATCTTTAGAATAAAGTCATAATGAAAAGGCAACAGAACTAATCAAAATAGCCAAGACTGATCAATCAGTTCCACATCTTTGCATAATACTTACCAAATTCTCTTCCTCATAATCATAATAGTTGACAATAAGCAGCAATGTCCTCCACCAATATTTTTTGCAACCATTTGTAGTTTGATCAGGCAAATAGAATGGAGCTTGATACATTTTTAGATGGTCAAAGAAAAGTGAGAATAGCATCACAAACAAAACGACAAACATAGTTCGAGCATATCTTTCAATCACCATTGAGAGAAAGTTGAATGATTTTCTGTGGATTTTAAAGGAATTTTAAGCATAAATTTAGAAGTTCTCAAGTTTCTTCATACCTTTCCAATAAAACAAGAACCTTCTTAGCAGTAAGTGCACTACTAATTATGAAAAATCCCAATAGTCCATGTGGCAGCACTGATATCAAAGTCGTAAGAGGACTGTCTAAGAATTTCAACATTTTCTCTGAGTTTTGCAAAGGATAATAAGCTCGAAGGAAATACGAATGGAAAAAGATCATTCCAGTATAAAGACAAGTCTGGATTACGCTGAAATACTGAAAAGATGCGTTAAATGAAGAAATTTTAACTTCAAAAAGTTTATCAAGATTCCTTCTGACTGAGAAGGCTGCAAGAAATCCATTCGACTTTTCATCATTTCTTCTGGTTCTTAAAGTGCACATAACTAGGAATAGTATGTAGAGGAGGAAAATTAAGCTGTAAAAAAAAAAAATTTAATTATTGTGATCGTTTAAAGCTGTTTAAAAATACTTACATGACTAAATAGTCTCTAGCTTCAAGCGGTACTGTAGTTTGAACCTGACAGAATTTATCTTGCTTATAATCAATTGATAGTTTCTGGTTTGTTCCATTAAATAATTGGTTTGTCAAGGAAGTAATTATTTCATCGCTACAAACATTTGGAATGCAAACCGCACCACCAAAACTTTCTTCTGGCTTTGTCCATTCGTAGCTGTAAGGGCTTCGATCTATAAACATATCATTGATTAGTTTACAACTTAAAAGCTACTAAAATATGTTCATTTTACATGGTGGAACTGGAATTACGTCATCAGATGTGTATTTTATGAGACAATACTTTCCAACAGCAGTTGAATTATTGATTTTCGTCTCTAAACAGCTGTCAAAATCTCCAAAGTCGAATGAATTGCCGTAAGTCAATCTTCTATTGAAGTTCGAAAACGACGATCGCACTAAATTAAATGAAGAGTTTTAAGAACAACAGATAGGAGTTTTATTAGTCAAGCATTAAATTTTTCTGGCAATGCTTTGTTCTTATTTAACATCAAGGTATGAAATTGAAAGTTTGAGACTTTCATTTCGTTAGAAATCATGATTATATGCAAGTCATTTTTATAGGGTTTATAACAGTTCATTTTATTAAATCATGTTGAACGTTGAAGCATCTTCAACATTTTCTCTAAACACACAGATATTTTTTTGTTTTCTGTAAGCCCTTTCGCTGTCATAAACAACTGATTTTAATAAAGAAATTTGCATAACTTGAATCAAAACCCTTCAGTATTATGCAATACCCTTTAGTTTGATGGAATTTGATGATATTGGAAGTTTATTTTAATTAATAAATAAACTTTTGGAAAGTATAATTATGATCAAATTTAATACATTACTTTTGTGTATCCATGGAGCTGTCCCTGACGACAAGTTTTGGAAGTTTTCCACAAAGTATTCACAAATATCCATTTTTTATTGATATTGAAATTGATTTGGAATTATTAAGTTGTCAAATTTGAAATGTTCTTATTAATTTAAGAGCACATTACTGATCATATATCACAATTTTATAGAATCAAATTATTGGGAAATGCACAAATAAAATCGATGAAGAAGAGTTAACACTTGTGATCACTGAAAACTCAAGAAAGCTAATGAGACATCAAGCTTGAATCAAGTTACATTTTTTTTATATGTTTAAAACTATTGATAGACCTAAAAGAAAAACTGAGAGTGAGTGTGGATCTCCAAATTGTGACATCTGTTACTCTTTTCTAAAATCGAATCTCTTGATTTATTTTCGTTGGAATTATTAAATGAAATCAGGTATTTTTTTAAAGTTTAAAAAAAGATAGAATTTCTAGTTGTCTGAATTTCTAAATAAAATTAATAAAATTGATCACAAATGAAAGAACTATTCTTCAACATATAAACAAAAATCATATTTTTATTGTGGTGCGTGCCATGATTATCACGAAAATACCGGTTTTTGAACTAAGCATCTCAAAATGTGAAAAATGTTCAATCAGCTTAACATAAAAAAAAACAACATCAAATATTCAAAAGTGAGTTAAATTATTCAAGTGATGGTCATCAACGCTAGTCGTCATAATTTTGGAATCCCCATAAAATGCATAAACTAATCATTGGTATTGGTAATGTCTGAATCCGTTTGAATGATGTTTTATTAGCCATCTTTAATTCTAATCATACAAACTTGAACATGAAAATCATATCATTGGACAAGCTGTCTTGCCATCAATCTGTAATATGGTAACAATTCACATTAGTTTAAGAGATTTAAGCTAAGAATTTCGCCTTACCTTTGCTGATACAGTTGCTTTTGGTTCGATGTTATTCAAAAATTTTCTTGAAATTTTACTGAATGGCTCTTCAACCAGAACAAACATAAATATTGCAGCAATTATTGAAATAATAATATCACTAAATGTTTCAAGGTACTGCAATTAAAAAAGAAAATTTAAATTAAATCAGTATTTTTAATGCTTAAGAATAACTTACTATTGATGAAAAATCAAAAACTAACGCTTGTTTCCGCAAAACCAAATTCATCATTATGACTGGAACGTTAATTAAGTACAAAGATAATCCAACACGGTCTATCATTATCAAAATTGCATTTAAAGGATGAACAGATCTTCTTTTAACGTTTCGTTTTGCATGGCCTTGTTCTGTACTGAATTTAAAATAGTTTGAAAAGAAGAACGCACATCCAAAGTAAAATGAAAATGACAAACGATCAAATGTGAAAAAGAATTGATTGAATTCTGGTGGTTTCATCAGCATATCCCTTATAAATAGTTTGAAGGTCATTAGGATTAAGTACGAACTGATAATAAGTTTCCATGTCTGTAAGAGAAGAAATTAAAATTAAGAAATAATCAGACGACTTTACTAGCTTTTACTCACCTTATTTAAGTTAATTTTCTTATATTTATGAAATATCAATCCAAGGATCATTCCAATAATCCAAGGAGTTGCTAAGAAAACTGTTTGACCATAATAATACGTGTAGTGCCCATCAGAGATTGAAAAACTAGATCATAAAAAAATAGATTGAAAAATATTTGCTAGTGACTTTGATCTTCTTAAACCAATCAATTTACTTACAAATTCAAGTTCTTTAAATGATCTTGCTCCATGTTTACGAACCAAAAGTTAATGACTTGCGATCCAATTAGTAAAAGTGGGAAAATCAACCAAACTAATTGCTTCCATTTCCATATTGGATAAATAAATAATGGAGTTAATAGAAAAAAGTGAAAATTTGCACATAAAAACCAAGTTTGAGGTAAGCACTGAAAGATTTGAATTGAAATTGTTATTATCTTTAAGTTTGCAGATTGTAATAGTCAGAATTTACCATATACTTATCATCACTAAAATAGAAATTATTGACAAGTAAGATAGTTCTCCACCAATTTCTTTTACATCCTTCAGATTGGAAATCAGGGTAATAAAACGGAGCTTGAATGAGGTGCAAATTGTTAATGAGAATAGTTCCAATGATCATCAAAAATACTACAAACATAGTTCGACAATATCTTTCAACCAACAATGAGCAAAAGTTGAATGATTTCCTAAAAAACAAAGCTTTATTGAAATACTAAGCAATATAATTTAATATTCTTACTTGTCAAGCAATGCCATTATCTTTTTCGTTGTAAGTGCACTGCTGATGATAAAAAATCCCAAAAGTCCTTGCGGAAGTACTAAAAGGAATCTTGTATAAAAAGTTTCCATAAACGCAACAACTTTCTCGGAATTTGCCGAAGGATAGTGAGCTCGATTGAAGTAAGAATGAAAGAAAATCACGGCGATGTAAAAGAAAGCTCTTAAAATGCTTATAAATTGAAATGTCGAATTAAATGAAGATGTTCTGACTTCAAAGAGTGTTTTAAAATTTTTGGCAAATGAAAATGCTGATAAATAACTTTCTGAGTTGTGTTTTTCTTGCCTTGTTATCCATGAATTTAAAATGTTGAATGCTGTGTAAAACATAAGGAGACATCTGCCAAAAAAGGCTGAGTTATTAAGTTTCAAAGTATTGCTAAGGTACTCACAATGTTATGCTCTCATAAACTCCAAATTGAATGCCTGGTTCCCTTATTTGGCAGAATTCATTTTGATTGTAATCTGTTGATAATTTCAAACTTGAACCATCAAACAATAAATCTGAAATATTTTTGATAATATCGTTGCTGCAAACATTTGGTATACAGACGGCACCTCCAAAACTTTCATAAGGTTTCGTCCATTTAGAATTGTAAGGACTGGTGTCTGAAACATTTATTTTGTTTAATTTTGAATTGATCAGTTTTTAAACTTTAAGTATCCTACTTGGTGGTACTGGTATGACATGATCTGAATTATACTTAATCAGGCAATATTTTCCGACAGCATTAAAATGGTCAACTTTTGTGTCTAAACAGCTATCAAAGTCTCCAAAGTCGAAAGAGTTTCCGTAAGCTAATCTTTTGTTAAAGTTCGAAAATGATGAGCGCACTTAAGTTTGAAGGATAAAGTTTTTATTTTCGTAAAATTGTTAAACTTAAGAAAATATTAAATTTACTTCTGTGCATCCATGGATTAGCTTCAGACGACAAGTTTTGGAAATTTTCAACAAAATATTCACAAATGTCCATTTTTGTTGGTTTATATTCACTAAATTTGCTTCTTCAGATAAATTGTTCCTTTAAAACCAATGATCTTTGACAACCAATGTTTTTTGACAGCTTAGAACATTTTCTGAGTGAAATTAATTTAAACGAATGATTTAATTGAGTTGTAGAGTGTTAAAATGAGCTTAAATGATTATTTGATTTAATTAATGTCACAATTTTAAAGAATAAATGTTTTTTTTGAATCTTTAAACTCGATGCGTGTGTACAGTGTAAATTAATACAAACTAATGATGATTCAAGTTTGAATTTACTTAATTTTGGATTAACTTAAAAGAAAGTCAAGGGAAAATAGATTGAAAAATTCCAGTTATTCATCACCTATTATCGAAACTAACCTTTGCTTATGTTGAAACTTTTAAATTTTAATTGGGTATATTTGTGCTAGTGTACCTGTTTGCGATAATTCCACGCACACGTGTTTTCTTAATTAGGAATTAATAAAATTTAATAGATTTAAGTTCATAAACATTTGAAACTGTAAAAGAAAGCATTTATAAGTTGTTATTGCCATCTTACGTCTAAACCATCAACTAAAGTAATCTCCTGAAGTTCAAATTCAAATAATTCGTTAAAGATAACCCAAAAAATATCATTTAATTCTAAATTTATTCAAATAATTTACAAGCAGTTACTAAGTAATTGAATAGATAAGAAAGTTTTGTGATGCTAATAAAAAAGACATGACGTCACAACATTATAATCCAAAAATATTCCAGCCAACAATGAATAATTTATTTGCAGATTCTGATTATCGTACTTATGTTGATAACGTAAAAGCACCCGAATAATTATTTTGAGTCAATAACTACAATAATCTTCAGACATATTCGTGTTTGTTGTACTTATTAAGTGTTTTGAAAGATCTCAACGATGACTGTGTGAGTTTATGACCCAAACACAATCAAACTTCTTTCATTTCACACACATTTATGTGACATGTTCATTTTAAATTCATTTTTAGTAAACTCAGTCTCTTGTTGTCATTCATTCCGATCAGCTATCTCTCAATAATTTCCAAAATATGGCTTCAATCATTAAGAAAATCATCACAACAGCTAAGGCACCACTTCCAGTTGGTCCATATAGTCAAGCAGTTGTTGTCGATCGTACAGTTTACTTGTCTGGAGCATTAGGAACTGACCCAGCAACCGGTAAATTAGTTGAAGGCGGTGCAATTCCAGAAGCAGCAAAGGCACTTGAGAATATTATCGTTCTGTTGGCTGCTGCTGGATCAAAAATCGATAATGTTATCAAATGTACTGTCTTATTGAATGATATGGCTGATTTTGCCGGTGTTAATCTGGAATATAAGAAAGGTGAATATACATTGGGGTTGTCCTTCAGTGACGTCTATTAGAGTTTAAGGGTTTCATGCCTGGACGTAGTATTTTAGTGTAAAATGACATTAGACCCCCTTCAAATTAAATGATACACGTCATACTCAAATTGACCCACAAAAATTAACAATATCCATAACCGATTATGACATAACTTACATTCAAAATTGCAGTTTTTACAAAAGATCTTCCAGCCAGAACATGTGTACAAGTCGGAAAATTACCACTCGGTGCTAATGTAGAAATCGAAGTAATTGCTGTCGTTGGTGACTGCACAGTCGAACATGTCACTGTTGACTGACTAAATGATCGATCCAAGCTATGAACTACTTACGCATTTCCTTTCAACTTTTTACATACGTAACTGAGAACCATCAATAAATTATTGAACAGAAGTAATTTACTTCTCGATATATGTGACATGTAAATGTTTTCATAATCAATTGTGGGCTGAATGAGAGATAAATATAAATTACAAATAAATCATATTTTGAATACTTTTGATTGGATATTTTTATATTATTGCATAATCTTTATTGCTTGATTTATTAGCGTTAAGTTATTGATTTGTTATTTTTAGATAGAAAGTTTGAATCAAAATGTATCTACACTTGTAGATTGTTGAGATTATCTATCCAGCAAGTAACATGAAAGTAGTCGAAAACGATATTTAGAACTTAGGATTGGAAAAGCTAATGTGGAGTAGTGGTTAAGGTTGGAGATAGATTCGATTCTGGTTGGATTTGAAGACTATATTCTGTATAACCCTTAAAATTCAGATTATGTTATGTTGTTACTTACAAATAGTAGTTCCATAGATGAAAAGTATTGATAAATCTTCAATATATGGAATCATCCAATAAACAATCAAATTAACCCTCAAGAAAAACAATTTAACTTCAATCGATTAAATTCAAATGATAATCAAAACTCTTTGAATGTTATGGCCTTAATTCAACCTTTTTTCAATTTTTATTGCGTGCCAAAACGAATTTTTTTTTTCTGTTCATTTGTAATGAATCAATCATAGAAATACGATTTATATTCGATTTTTTACACCCTCTATACTTACAAGCTGAAAAAGAAGCGATTGAAAAATAATACAGAGAGTAATTTTTTTCCTGTACGTGATCACAAAACAACGGCATTATGGAAGTTCTTATCATGATAGAAAGAAGGAATATAAAAAATAGTCAGTTCTTATTGAGGACATGAAATCATGGTAATTATGTGAAAATAATTATTTAGCATTGCAACACTAGTTCATTGGCCGTATGCGTCTGCTTATTCCATCATTGACCTCCTTTTTCGCCCGCTCGGTCGATTCCTTTTCCTTTGTACTTATTATTGTTATTAGCAATAGCTTTGCTTATGGACAAATATTCTGTATGAAAATTATTGTTTGCCTGTGAAATCGATTTAGATGGAAAAAAAATTCATTTTGAGCGTGTTTTTGATCTATAAGTGCTGTTTTCATTCTACATAATTTGATGGCTGGATCGTTAACATATTTAGTTTTGTTCCTGTTTTGTTCCTCCGTCCAGGGATTTAATGTCTTTTTTTGAAATATCAACTAGGTTGATCAATTTTAGAGTTCAAACTGGTTGGTTGAAAAAGATTGTAAGATATTTAAGGTTTTACTGAATTGTTGGAAGCCTTTATATTAATTTGCAGCTTAAATTTAACCAAGGTTTATTGTCGATTTCTGAAAATGAACTGTTTTTCACGAATCTACCCTTCTGGTGGCTTTGAAATAACTAGCAATGCTAGGTTGCGTAAATTTGACACTTAAATGGGTCCTAGGGCAAGACACATACTTGTTAAGAGCCAAAGTAAAGCATCTAGAATTTATCCGATAGACTTAAGCTATAAAGCATTATTTTAACCAGCTAGGTATATAACCAAGTGGATTACAGACCAACCTTGATCCTCCTATAAAAATTTCTTAAAGTTGCTTTCTAAGAATGTTTAATTAAGAATCTCCTTCAGATTTAAAAGCGTGCCAGTCCTCAAAATTCAACAATCAGCTGGAAATTCCACTTGAAAATATACAATTCACGATAAATATTTACCTGTAAAGAAGAAACTTGACAGAATAGCAAACAAAACTTAAACGAAAAGGAGGAACAAAAAAAAACTTTCTTACTCTTCACTTGGGTTTTTCGATACATTTTATTCAACATAACTTAAACAAAAAAAAATTTCCTTCTAAAACATTATTTCTAGTTCTTTAAATATTTTATATGCATGTCAAGTGGTGTGAAAACATTTTTTTTTTCATATATTTTCTTCAAGTTGCACAATAATTTTTAATAAATATTCAAATGTAGTTTTTTTAGCTCTTAGTCTCAGTGTGAATCGTGTAAAACATCAAATGTTATGTTTAAACATTAAAGGAATTATTTTAAGGGATAGTTGCACTTTGATATTTTTATTTTTATTTTACAAAAATTCTTTCTTTTTAAGTGGAAAATATCACGTAACATTCACTTTCTTTCTTTTTTCATTATATTGGACGGTTATGATCAAAAGCTACTCATTGTTATTTATACAAAAAATATTTTAACATCAAAATTGAAGGAGTTTCCCTTGTTGAATCATGAGCTGACCAAAAGTATTCACTGTGAAAATTCATGATAAAAATTAATTACAGTTGTTGCGATTTATTGTGTTAAATATTTTTTTCTTATTTGCAGACATACATGCGATTGCTTAATGGATTTTTGTAATTTATGATTTTGTCGGCAAATCGTGCAAAAAAAAATCTGATTTGCTTTCAGGGTCTAAATTTAGTTCTTTTGAATTAACATAAACATTTGGTGGCTGTCTGTTGAGTTCTTTTTTTGCTGTGTACAATATTTTTTGGGGTTGTTAGGATATTGAGTCACTATTAATAGAGACTGAGCTCATATATATTTAGGTTCCAACAATTTAAGTTTTTGGATTTTTCGCATAGTTTTGCTCCTGAGTTGTCTCATCTTTCATCTTCTTTCTCTTCTTTTAAGAATTTTTCTTCTAAGATCTTTTAAGAATTAACAGACATTTGAGACACATTTCAGTTTTATATTTAACTTTCATGTTTGCAGTTGTCTGAAGAAGAAAATCAATTAAAGAACTTGAAACAAAGAAAATTCCTTCATATTTGACTTTTTTGATGCTTTTAATTTAAATTTTCAATTGCACTTCTTATGCCTTTTATAGATAAACAATAGACTTCAATAAGAAATCTTGAATTTATGTTTAATAAGAATTTTTATTATAGATGTGAATTTTAAATTTTGAATTTGATGATTGTTTACTTATGAACGTCATTTGTGAATGAACTCTTATAGAGAGTTGTTAAAGATGAGTAAGTAGCTGAGAAAGGTAAGCATTCTTATAGTAATTGTGACTGTTGGATAAAATTTTACATAATTTTTAAAAATGTTCTTTGAAGTTTTTATTCCTAAATTTGATCAAACTTAAAATTCAAATTAAACATTCCAATTCTTATTCAAAACTCTCTCAATTTTCATCAGTCACAGAAACAATCGGAACATCATCATTAGCTTCTTCCATTTTAACTTCTTTCTCAATACTTTTAATCAATGCATCAATTACATCCATCGTAGAGTCAGTAGACGGTTCTTTACGCAATGATGGCATGCGTTGAGGTTCAGACGGTGGTGTTGATGGTTTAGCCTTAATTGCATCCATCTCATTATACATATTTGATAGATTTATTCTGCATTCTTCTTCATCTTCCATCAGACTCTCAACACTTGCATTTAATGGACGTGAGAATCGCTTCTTAAAGTATATGTCATGCATCTCTTCCCAATGAGTTTTTGGCTCATCAATTTCTTGTTTTGTCTCATCTTCGCTGTTGTCTGAATCATCATGGGAACTTAATTCATCAACTGCAAATGATTTTGCCAATTTTTTGCCAATTTGTGATACGCTCGAGTCGTTTGAGCTCCTAAATATGGTTTTATATTTTTTTTTGTGTAAAAATGTCCTCTTTTTTGATGAAAATAGAATTTTCTGTACAAACTAAGCAGCACTTTTACATAAGGCAATCAATTTCCATTTTAATGTTTCTTTTTAATTTCCATTAGCTTATAACTTTATTCTATATACAATATATATTTTTTAATTCATTTTATTTTTCTTTGTTTTAAGGCATTTTTAAAAAATTCATTTTTAAGTATTTTTAATATAATTTAGCGTAATTATGAACCTACGTCAGCTGTTAGCTTTTTATGTATTTATATCAGGCAACATGTCAATTAATAAATAATTTATATTTAGTAAGCTCTGCACTATATATCGAATGATAAAGAATAATTTTTTTAAGCTCATGTACATACCACATATGCATCTATTTTTTAATACCAAAAATCATTCAATATTTCTATACATGCAATATTAAAAAAAAATAAGCAAAAATAAAAAGCTCGTTAAAGTTAAGTGAAAAATGTTATAAAATTGGCATGATTCATGATGGAAAAAATTGTCATGTCGTCATTTTTTTAAAGATTTTTTAATTGTCCAAGGATAGTATGAAAAATATAGTGGGAGGATTTAATTGAGGGAATGTCACTTAATGTTGATAACTCATGTCATTGCACGCTTACTCTAATTTCATGAAACGCCATTTTAGTAGAACTGTTTTTTGTTGACAATAAGGTTCTTGACCTGCAATAGACCTAAAAACAATAATCAGCTGTTTAAGTGCTGAGAACATTGTGTGTGAATCAGCTGGGCTTTTTCATGGAGGCTCGTGTTTTAAAAGTAAATTGAAGCATTTCATGTAAATTGAAAGGAAATAAAAATTCAAAAATAAATTAAATAAGAAGTTCTAGGTATTGATTAAAGTTAATCGTCATGAATTTCTTAAGAAGTCTTGATTTATTAAGTAGAAAAAGCACAATGAACCATCCAAATTAAGCATATAAATATTAATAAATTAAATCCTTGTCAACTAAGTTGAATGCTCTGGTTCATTAAAGAATAAATCGTCATTAAACTTCTTGACAATTGTGTTGCCTTTAAATTATGTTGTTTTTCATATTTCTTTAAATTAGGGTCAAAAAGTAAATGAGACCAGTGATGTTATAAAATTCAATTTAAATGCTTTTTGGAAGGCACTTGGAATTCAAAATTCTATTCGATTTTATGGCAATGTTTGCCTCCTTTGTGTTGCTCTAGATTCAAGCGCAAAGAAATTGTCAAAAGTTCATTGAACAAATTATAATCAAATTTTATGCTTTTCAATATTATTTTATTTTACAGAGCAGCAGGCTCATAGCCAAGGAGATTTGCAGAACAATTAAGTGACATTTCAAAAGTTTTGGATTTAGCAGCTGTGCATCTACAATTTGCCTATATAAAATGTTTGTGTTGAATGTTTTTGATAAGAATGAGAAATTTAAATTAAAATGAGCTTATAGGCTGAAACTTACAGCTTAATTTCTTATTTTTACATCCAGTTCCTTAATTAATTTGATTTTTTAAGTTTGTGCAAATTTTGCGAAGCAATTTTTTGTGTGAATTTTTCTTTCGTTAACATTTTCAACTTTTTTTCATCATTTTTATATTTTTACATTTCTTAAAAAGTTCTAGTGCTTAATTTATAGTTAAGTTTTAAAATTGAATAAATTTATTTTTATAACTTAAAGGTGTAAAATACACATTAATGTTAAAGGTAAGTTTTTTAATCCATTTATGGAGAAGTTTAGGGGAATTTCTCATTTTATAGAAACTTTCATTTAGAATACTGCTTATTTACTATATTTAGGTTAATTATTTACATTCGTATAAGTTAATTTTCTTTTTTTTTTGTTGGTTTTTTTTCTTCATTTCATATTTTTATAATCTACATTTTATGATCTATATTCTGTAATATTTATAATAAAAGGTAATAAAAAATAAATAAACACAGGTGGTTCATTATGTAATGGGAATATCTAGGAATGGATATTAATATTACAGTTCATGAGAGGGGACAAAAGGAAGAAATATTGCGAGGACATGGAAATATTTTGTTTTGATGTCTACCGGCGTCAATAAGTTTTGTTTATTGATATAGTCTATTAGTAAATCAAATTCATGAAATCATGTTGCTTTTGACTCAATTGACTTTTCAACCGATTGAAACCAATAACATGGTTAAGACAGATTAGGTCTAAAAAGTGTAGAGTCAGAAATTGTTCAAATGTTAATCTAGTCGCAAGCAACACATCCGAATAGCACAAGTCTGTTAATCGAATAGAAATCCAGCATCAAGCCGGCGTGACTATGGCATGGTTCTGAATTCAAATCGAATCTAGCATCATGTACAGATAAAAACTTATTTAAAAACCAAAAGAAGATCTAAACTCTTATGATTTTATTGCTAGTACCTGCTTTGTATAGCTTATGCTTTAAAACTCTTGAATAAGATCTTAAGAACTTGCATCATTTGTTTTTTGAAAGTTAGTCAACTTCTTTAGAATGCAGAAACTCAAACTTGATTTTATAAAAATTAAATTTTCGAAATCTATTTAAAATCTCCCAGACACATTCCAGTAGACATCAAAGCACCACTAAGTCTAATATGAGTATATAGAAATAAGTAAACAAATATTCATAGCATTTACAAATTGCAATTATAAAAATCTTAATTAATATAAAAAATTGTGAAATTATTTTTTGTTGTCCATTTTTTGTTCAGAAATTGTGATATGTGTATTTTCATATAACGACTGAGGTGCTGATTACTATTACTCACTCGTCTGTTGATTTTATGTCTTCCACCACAAGATCGTCTTCTTGCTTAACCGGTTCTGGATGTTCGGGTTCCGGCATTGATGATTCTATCTCTGATGATTCTGGCATTGTTTCTTCGGCTGGAGGCGCTGATGGCTCTGATTCTGGTTCTTCTACCGGTTTACTTTCCTCTTCGTTGCTAAGATTCTCAAGTTCACCAACTGTTGCCTCTGGAGAGACTGGATTATCTTCTGCATCGCCATTTAAAAGCGTCTCGATTTCTGGTTCTGCTACAGATGTCTTTAAGCTGTCTATTGAATGTGTTGGTGATTTTGATTTAATTTCATCCATGACTTCATCCTTCATTGCATCCGTTTTCTCCATCATGTCATTTTTTAAATCAACAATTCCAGTTTCTGCATCACGAATTACATCCTCTGTGTCTTTGATTAGTTCATCAGTTATTTTATCAGTTTCGTCCACAACATTTTGTGCTTTTGACATCATCTCATTCTTTAAGTTTTCCAAATTTTCTTCAATCAAGTGATTTTCACTCTCCTCATCCATATCAGGATCTTTCAGTGGTATTTTTGTCATTAAATCATCTTTCTTCTTCACAACTCCATTAATAGACTCAACAATTGTATCCTTCGTTTGTGTCACGGTCTCGGCAATGTTCTCTCCGACTTCTATAATTAATGAAAGAAAAGGAAATAAATTTTTAGGAAATGAATATACAAAGAAGGAAGTAACGGAAAAGTAATAAGTTAATGACCGAATATGTATGGAATAAAGAAAATGCGAAAGAAGTAAAATTGTTTTCCATAATTTCCGTCCGTAAGTTATTTATAAATTAGTAGTTAAAATTTCTAAACACCTGACTTTGGGTCTATAGTGATTTTTTGTGAACAATTTGTCAGACTGGCTAGGGGTCGGTTGCTTAGGCTAGCTAGATCCACCGATTTAACCTTTTAAAAGCTATACCAAAATACAGCTCACAAACCATCGATCATTTAAAGATTCTTATAACTCGTTGGTCTTCATAATTATTAGGTACACAAGCTATATGCTTGAGCCACTGTACATGTAGAATTAAATTTTCTTTCACGTTGTCAATTGATAGAAAAAATTGCTTTTGCATGAAAAAGAAAACAAGCGATGATAATAATTACTTAGGCTCACGAAAAGGGACATTGTCCTTTGTTTTATACTCGGTGTGAACTTAAAACGACGCGTGCTTCATTTTTCTTAATTACTTTTGCTTGCCACTTTTAATCAATAAGTGAAACCCGAAATACTTTTTATTCATCCACAAAAGTTCATTTATATACCAAAAAATTTGACTATTTCGCTCATATTCTAAAAATAAAACTATGTATGAGTCGTCTGGATGCCAAAAAGCGTGGCATGTCTACAAACGAAAAAAAGCTTTAAATGCTTTTTTCCGGTAACAAAAGAATAAATTTACATTATAATGTTCATGTGCTGTTAGACATTAATTCTAAAATTAAATAATTTCTTCCTTTTTGAATATGCTGATGGAATCCACTCAATTACTATTAGTTCTGTTACTGACGAGAGAGCCTTGAGAGACAATAATCAACAATTTTCACAGTTTTAAAACTTTTATCGCTTTCGTAATTTTTCAGTTCAGAGAAAATTCATGTTAGATATAAGTGGATTATAAAGAAAGTGAGTGCCTTATCGTTCTCTCTATAATTTTAACCTATAAAAATGACTTACTGACTTTAATCATAGTCATTCGCACCTCCATTCTTTCAGTGGCTTTTGTTATTAAAATGCTGAACAACATTATTATTATTTAATGCTTTTAAGAAATTTCTTCATAAAGAAGACAACGAAGAATTGTAATGGAGAGGTGGGTCTGCAATGTTTGGTTAGAATTCTAAGTAAATGGAGTTAAAAAGCAGTTCTTTAGGACTATTATGTTTATGATGCTATGTTGGGATTGATACCCGAATGGCACAAGTCGGTTAATCGAATAGAAATCCGGCATTAAGTCGACATGACTCTGTCATGGTGCTGGCTTCGACTTAAACCCAGAAACATGCCAGATTCATACTAGCTTGGTGCCGGATTTCAGATCGATTTAGCGACTTGAGCCATTCGGGATAAGACATTACAACAGTACTAGATAATTAAGAATTTTAACCTTTTAAAGACCTAATGCAAAACTAAACCAACAATGTTCCTTTGTCAAGGATTATCTGAAATAGAAAAGATCTTCTGATCACACAGGCATCAAATAATATCCAAAAAAAATCAGTTATAGTGACTCTATTGGTTCAAAATCTTACTATAGCAGATCAAAGCTCAATTCACTGGCCATTGATATTCTTTGTATGTTAAACACATAGCTCACAGAAAACACAATGGGAAGCGTTTAATGCCTTTAATTAAGATTTCCAGCTAGCAAAAGAAAAGCTTTCAAAGCTCATTTTTAGTGTGTCCAGACAAATAAATAATATAATTTTTTTGCTTCTTTCTCCCTTGCTTTTATATCTTTGCTGCTATCGACATTTCATTCCTTTTTATTTCATTTTAGTGAATGTACTTGAACGGATGTTCGAACAACGAAAAGGAATTCTAAATATAGAAATAGAAAATGTTTATGATACAACTGAAAATTAGCTACACATAGATGTGTACAATTATGAGAGGTAGAATAATAATAAAGCATATAAATTTAATGATTTTCCTTCAAGCCAAAGAAAGAATGTTGAGAGATTGAACAGTAAAAAACAAACTACATTCATTATTTTACGGTAAACTGTATAACGTGTGTTTTATTGTTGCTTAGAAAGACTTTCAAGGATGAGAAGTAGACAAATAAGGTGCGAGGAGATAATGTTCGTGAAGTGGTGCGTGCATAACTGACAAAAAAAGTTTCCGGCCATGATAAGAAAGTTAAATACAGTAAAATAATCATGCAAATTAATTTTTTATGGTTTTTGCAAAAATTTTGTAGGTTAGGTGCTTAATCTTAATTACTCGGAAGAATTAGCTGAATAATTTTCAATTTAATGACTTTTGTATGATGTACAAAGTATAGTCTGTCTACATGACACCTCCTTGGAACGAAATTTGCATTGTAATTTAACTTTGACCTCGGCTATCCTTAAAGTATGACATAAATCCATATTAAATAATTTATAAACTAAATTTATGTAAGATTATCATATTATAAAGGTTGGACTCCCCGAATTGGCCCTCATAAATCAATTTACAAATTGTCACTTAAAAAAATTATTAATTAAGTCTCACAAAATGAGCTCTCATGTACACAATAGTATTTAAACACTATTAAATGCAGATTATTTATTCATTTATTTAATTATTCACAACTGTTTCATTAATTGTTGAAACAAACCCTATTTTCACACTATAAAAGAATAAATTAAGGATGAATATGACTTGGGAATGCACTAAGGAGCTTCAATTATATTAATTAAATTGTTATTAATATTTTGGGAATTGAGGTAGTCATACATATGCAAAAATATCGCAATAGACATGTTTGAATTGATAATCAAACACAGACATCACGGCCGTTGTTATTCTGTCTGTTTGTACGAAGTCTGTCTACTAAAACTAGCTCTCTTCAACCCATAGAGCTCTTTTCAGAAACGCTTTTGAAAATAATACGATGGAACTGATAATGAGTCAACCTATATGATTGCTGTTACCACACAAATGCTACCAACGAACTATAATTTTAATCTTGACAAATAGCAATCATAATTAAGATCTGCCATTTGGATAAACGTTAATTTTTGCTGTGGTATTACGAAAAAAAAATCGATTCTCAATTCATTAGTGTAATTCGACATGTTATTATTGGCATAAATTGCTTCAACAGAAATGCTTTTTGGAGAAGTTTTTATCGGAATTTTATGAAGGTTTGAATTTGTTTTATCAATGAACGAACTCATGACGTTGGATAAGAGATATTTGTGCAGTAAATTGATATTTTTATAATGCTTGATGATTTGATACTGAAAGTTTTTGCCTTAAAATGCCAAATTTTGTTTTGAAAAATTTGCTAGATTCAAGATATTTTCTAAATCAAATTTTTATCAATGTTCAAGATATGTTGTAAGGAATCATTAAAGATCAAATCACTGAAATGATTCATTTCATTCATGTATCTTTCTGAAGGATTCCAATCAGTCTCACATTAACTTTTATGTAAATTACAAAATGATTGAGAATAAAGGTCAAATACGAATACAGAAAAAGTCCCTCAATCATAAAATTTTCGCTAGCATTTGACATTAAATAATGTTTTTTTGATAAAAAATAATCCTTCGAGGTTTTTTTAAGGCGAAAAGTTCAAATAAAATGCTTGCAATAAGCTCACTACAAGGAAGCAAATAGAAATCATTAATCAAACACATTTTTTTGATAGGTGGCATAGAAAATGACCATTGGAGCTGACAAATTCATAGGAATTGACATAATAGTCATAAATTCCCGAGCAGCACAAGAGTTCTTTATAAGCTGTCTCATTTAAATAGATTTTAATGAGAATGCAATAGATTTTAATGAGAATGAACTTGATTTTGACAAGATTTGACTCAATGACTCAGGATTAAGGCATGGATCATATCACGATTCTACTAGATGATTAAGTCAAATCTATTTGTTTTTAAAATCTGTAGTTATTTTATAGATCCCCAAAAACAACTTGAGAAACCAAAAACCTCAAAAGTCAGTCTAACTTCAATCTAATCACCTCAAACCACATTAAAGCTCATTACAGTTCATAAAGCATAACAACGCGAATAATCTTTGCTCGCCACAAAAAGCTGAAGAAAAAATTCCACGTAAATGCGTGCTTATAAGCATATTTACAAAGAAATATCGCAAAGAACAAGAAGAGCGATAACGAAAGAAAATTGATTGCCGTGTGTATGTAGATTGTTTTCTTTTCCATTCCATGTCGACAATCCCGAGCAATTTTTTCATTACTTTCAATTTTTTTTTTTAATCACGAAACACATTTTAACTTTTTTATTAAAGAGCAAAACTTGCTCATACTCAACTTGAGTCACCATAAAGCTTTTTCTTCTTACTTTCACAAATATCGATTAATATTGTTAGTAACTAGAACAGAAAAGTTTTGCTGTTACACATTCAAGTAAATTATTTGCGTACTTTAAAGTATGTACAGGAAGAATAAACATTGTTTTGATTTATTTTGTGACATTTGAAATTTATACATTACCATTTATGGCCTTCTCTCCCGTATTCATAATTTCTGTTGCTGCTGTTTTTGCATTCTCTACAAGTCCGCCTGGACCTCCATTTACTGTGAGTGGTGAACTGCTTGCACAACCCATTATTTTTATTTATTTTTTAAGATTTTGTGTTATTTACTTTAAAAGCTATTTTATTTTTTTTAAAAGTTTTTAAAACTATTTTCACTCAACTTTCACTTGATTATGGCTCATTTAGTTTGTAGCAATTTTATAATGTTGTAAATTTGTTGCTTTAACTTCCTGCAAAAGGGAAAAAAAGTGAAAATTATTAATACAAACTTTTCTCAATTAAAATAAGGCAACAATTTTCTTTCTAGGATAAAATCGAGCTCAACATGATAATGAAAATCGTAGTGAATGCATAAATTTTTCATAATGCATCGCAATTTCTAGAAATGGGTTGGGTTGAGAAGCTTTATAAGCTGGCTGATATCTCGGTGGGATTGCTTAAATTATTTAAGTAAATTGATAGGTTTGGTATCGGAAATTGGAAAGGTTGAGATGGTTAAAAAATGCAAGAAAATATGAAAAATTGATTTTTGTGAAGGATATTGATTTAATGGACAGTTTAAAGGGACGTTAAGAGATTCTTTGAATATGAATCAAAATTCTACTTGTATATTGTAAGGAGCGGTCACTTGCAAACTTTAGTTCAAATATTCATAATGCTGTAATCTTTATTTTGCTTTGGCTGTTTCTAAAGAAGGTTGCTTTAGGTAGCTTCATAATCTGGAAACACTTAACTTTTAAGAACTTGTAAAGGGATTCGAAACTGATTCACTTTTGATTTTGTTTGATTATTTTGATCAGATCTATATCATCAAACCTTTTGCTGGTCATGTTGTTGCTCTAATTGAATTATCATATCTTTAGGTTGTATTCAAACATTCAACTTCGCATTCACAATCTCAAACGCAATAGATGAAATATTTGAATAAATCTTAAATTCCTTCAATTTCCAATCATAAATCGCGCTCAAAAATCCTTCAATGTACCCAACTTTTAAAAAAACTTTCTCATAATGTTTTGAAGGTCACTGATAATATTTTTTGCTATGCTTTGCAACGCCAATGAAAAAATACAACAAGAGTAGCAAACTATAAATCAACGTAAACAGCTCATTTTAATTCAGAACAATGGTGTATTGATAGAACTACTCGTTATATTCATTGTGAATGTCTTCTTTATGATTCCTTGATGTCTGCTTGTTGTATTTTCATTCAATTACGGACACAAAATACACAAACACACATTTTCTTATTATTTCAAAGGAGGAATAAAATGAAAAACTTCCTGACACTGAAGCTTTATTTATGGAACTAAGAACACAAAGAGTTTCACTTTATTAATTGATTTGTTGTATCGCAACAAGAAATTTCCTTTTGTTTTATTTGTTACGAATGAATATTGAATATTGTCTATTTATTAATACATAAATAAAGCAATCGTAAAGGTACGAAAACACAGTTGAATGTAGAGGATCAATAAATTTTCCAATTGATATTTTTTTCACAGCTCAAACTCAACGTGAGGAAATAAAAAATATTCAATTTTATTATTATTCTCGTTTTTTGAACTAAACACCTGAAAGACCCTAACATTGAGGTATGATGGTCACATAAAAGTCGTACTTGATTCATTATTTAACAATAAAAAGAAGGAAATAATCGATGGAAAAAATACGCACATATGTTTTGTGTATGCATTTGTCACAATATCGTGATTATTCTGTAATTATTTATATTAATCATTATCTAAAAAGGGTTGGGGTTTGTTTATGGTAATTTGCTTATTTATTAGGATTTTTATACGCATTGAAACTTGACATTTAAAGTCCTTTTTATCACGAATGTTTTAGTTTAAACAAAGATGAGATTTTGAATTCAGTTAAAGGAATTTTTACTTAAGTCATTACCTTGACAATCTTTAGAAACTGTATAAAGATTGCTACTCAAGAGATCAAATTGAAAGAATAGTCCTTTGCTTTGAAATAACATTGATTTACTTTTTGTAAGGGGCCGTTCACTTATGAAGCCCAACATTTAGGGGGGGTCTAGGATTTTGAAAAAAAGCTCAAATAAGGGAAAATTTTTTACACAGAAATTTTGTGACAGAAGGGTATGGGGGGGGGGTCTAGAAATTATGGTTTTTGATTGACGTCATAAGTGAACAGCCCGTAACACAAATCTCGGTTATTAAAGTCAATAGCTTCTTTTTTGCAATATTAAAAAACAAAACAAAAAAAAATAATAATATTCTATTTCGAGTCAAGCTTGGTGTTTAATCCCACACATATTAATTGAATTCTTGCACCCGACCACCAAAAGTTGCCAACTATAACTTATTCCTTAGCTCCTCAAAATCATTATTAAGCACTCTGTTAACTAGAACTTAAAGTTTAAGCTCTCAACTTCCTCCTTCAAATATTCACATTCCCCATATTCATTGAACATCATATTTCAATTCACTCATATTGCTATTACACTTCTCTGTCACAATATATTGCACATATATTGTATTTTATTTTAGTGTTGATTGTTGCTCATCATTTATTGATAGATGCAACACAATGTGGTGGTTACAGTTTATGAATATTTCAAATCACTGTTGGTGTTGATTGGGTACAAAATCTGAGTATGGGATTGCATGATGATGAATCAAGGGTAAATAGAATCGAAAGAGGACGAAAAATGTTGAATGAATAAAATATTTTTACGAGAAAATTGATGTAATATTTTGGAGGTGAGTTCCTACTTATGGAATTTTAAGGATAATATCATTTTGGGATAGTTTGGCAATTCTTTGATGGAATTTATTGTGTTGAGGGTCCGTTGAGATTATTAGAACTTGAAACTTACTCAAATTTAGATTGAGTTGATTAAGTTTTGATTCATTCCATGCAGAATTACGTTCCTAGTGCTCAACTAGGAATAAGACTACATTGATTTATATTTAAATAGATTTCTTCACATAAAATAATAACTTTACCTTGTAATTTCATAAGTTTTTGTCCTTAATCAGCTACTTTATCTCCACAACATTTTATTTGCACTTTTCAAAAATTTTATTTTGATTTTTTTATTAATTTTTGTCGTGTTTATTTCACAGTTTTATGAAATAATGAACACTGTGTAATAACGCGAGCGGAAAAGCCAATAAAAACTTTTAAACACTCTTCGCGTCAAGGTAGCAAGGGCTGCTTTTACGTTCACTTTATATTGTTCGATTCAAAACTATATAAAAAAAATAATTTTCAGACAATCAAAATAAAAATATCCACTAAGATTTTTTCTTTTCGATAAAACGTCGAGCGAGGGCAGAAAAATATTGAAATTTCATTCGAGACACGGTATTTATTGATATTTATTCAATTCGCTGCTTATCGATATTTTTTTTTATATAAATTTATTTTTGTGATTTTCACTCGAAATTTAACTTTATTTGGTGTTAATTTGATTTTTACTTCTTTTTTTCAAAGCTTTTTTATTTCAACCTCAACTTAGCCTAGCTTTTGAATTTTTCCAACCACTTTACGCGGCAGTAGAAGTTTGACTGAACATGAAGCTACAGACTTTGTAATATTTTTCTATACACAAAAGCACTGTGCCTGTCGTATTATGAAAAAGAGAAGCAATATCAAGTGACCACTACTCGTCAAAGCGTCCACACTTATAAATGAGTAATAAAAATTTTTAGAAATGAGCGCGAGAAAGGAAAAAACCTTTTTTTTTCGTGTAGATATTTGAAGTTATTAATACAAACATGCAAAAGACCAATTCCAGTGATTCTCAAAATTTTCAAACTTATTATTGGTGACGTCATGGAAAGGATTTTCCACCTGTTCTACATTATTTTCTCTGTATAATACAAACCGACCAATGCTATTTTCGTTGGTATAACAATAAAAATAACAGTCGTAATGGTAATACATAATAATGAACATGATTTTCGCTATGAGTTTTATTCACAGAACATATAACATCGTGTACGGTCTAGTTTACAACTTTATACAGCCTATTATTTTTAAATTAACGGTTATCAAATATTTGAAAAATAACGGTCCAAACATATTTGAAAATATCTTTCAAAATTTTCACTTTACATATTGTTGAAATGTTTAATTGTAACTTTTACCGTGCAACTTAAATACGTTTATGAATTTAAAAGTTATTAAGTTATAAGTTACCGTCCGAAACTAACGGTCATTTTTCAAAAAAGAAAGAAGAACAATTTCCTAGAGTTTCTATTGTTCTCTTCTTCCTGACCCCCCCCCCCCCCCTCTTCCCCCCCGCTCCTAATTGAAGCCTGGAAAATTTTGATAAGCGGCTTTTTGAAATTTGAATTTTCGATTGGTTTTTAAATATTTTTAAATTGTAGAGGGGGGGGGGGGGGGGGGTCAGCAAGAAAAGAACAATAGAAATTCCTAGAAATTAATTGTTCTTTTTTAAAAAAATGACAGTTAAACCGTAAAATTATGTCTTCCTGTCTTCTTGACTTCTTCGGCTGTTCCATTGCTGTAGTTCGCAACAATGTGCGATGAAATATTTCCTATGTTATGTAAATTTTCATTCCATCCCATACGTTATTATTGAAATAACAAAGCATTCAATGTATGTATAAGTATGATATGAAGAACATATCAAGGCATTTTTAATGATTTTATTGTGATGATAAAACACCTAATTTATTGTCCTGTAAGTGTATATAACGTAATCTGAACTGCAAAACTTACATTTTCATGCTCAGATTTAAAGCTTTGAACAGGCTTTAAAATATAAACTTAAAAATATAAACTTTTTAATTATTCAAATTTATGGACATTAGAATGGAAAATCTATTTTTATTTGTGCTCAGATTAAAAAAATTCTAGAAAAAATGACAAATTTTCAAGCTTTATCTCCATTTTCCTTCTTCTTTGAAGGACTTCGTCGCCGTCTCCTTCTTGACATCTTATTATCAATCAGAGGCTTCTTAACCTTCACCTTATCAGTCCCCATAAGCTTCGCAATAATACTAGTCGTGGATTTATTTGAGCCATGCTCAGGAGTTTTTTTTGGTGCCACTTTTATTGGCACACGCGCGAATAAGTCATAATTAAATTCATTACAAGTATTTCCCAAGCAAAATTCCTCGCCACATTCAGCACAAGTCAATATGCGTGTCTCAATTACGCCCGCTTTATTTTTAAATTTTCTCATCGTACTGGACGGTGCATTCACCTTTTTGTCAATATTCTCTGTTTTAATTTGTAATTTTCCCATTTCAATCAGCCTGTCGAAGTAGTCTTCATCAGCTTTTAATTTTGGACGGAGGGTCGTTAACATTTTCCAATCTATAGGCACAGAACAAATTTCCATGATGACAATGCTCCTAATAAGAAGAAAAGGAAAGAATTATTGAGGATTTGAATAAGTAATGAAATGAGTATGACAGCTGTGATTGAAGAGGTCTTTAACTATTCACACTTTGGACTGTGAGGACAAATTGTTCTTTAAGACTGAAGGGTCGTTCTTAGCCTTTCACAACCTCTGTGTCACAAAAATCATCAAAGATTCAAACATGAACTCACCTCATTTCAACTGGAATTGGATCCATATACACATATTGACGTTCTCGTTCACCTTGATTATTCCTCAAATACCTCAATTCCTTTTTGGACAGCTTAAATTCTTTACATTCTTTCTCCTTGATCTTAATCTCTTCTGGACGAACTTTTACAGGACGAATTTTAAAATCTGGAACTTTTTCCATAAGCTTCTTAAACTCATCCTTTGTTGTTGCTGTTGACTTGCTGAGATCAAGAACTGGAGCTGCTTCCTTTTTCTTATTGAAGAGATCCTCAAACTTGCTCATGGCGATGAATTTAAAAATTAGATTGAAGATAGGAAATAACTTTAAAGGTGCTGAAAAAAGCTCTTTTTGCGAATTGAACAAAAACGAAAAATTCCTTCAAGGCAAACAGAAAAAAATCAACAACCGTGAAATGATTTCCATGCCAACAACAATGCTCGATAGTGCTGAATAGGTATTTTTAAAAGCATATACATAAATGGTTGAATTGATGACGTCATGCTTATGTTGAAAGTCTAATTTTATGTCTTAGGAACATTTTGAGGCATAGCTATATGACATGCACTTCATGTTGAGGAACTTATGCTTATACAATGACATAAGAACATGCTTGAAGGCTTTATTGCATCATTGTTCTTTATGTCGTATGCAGTTGGTTTATTTTTGGATACTATTAAACACACCGTTCATGCATGGTATTTAAAATTGAACAAATAAAGAAATCTTTAGGAATAGAACTTAAATCGCCATGAACTTTATGAATGTAACATTTATAATTTGAACCCTTAAAGATTTTTAAAATAATTATTTTTAAATTCATGTCTTTTTAATGCTGTGGACTTTACATGTAAAAAGCTGTATTGAAGTTCCGTACTATCAAAAAAGGTTTGAGAAACACTGGTCTGAGTCTACTCGAGAGTTGATAAGAAGCTTCATCCATGATTTGACTCCAAATTTCAATTTAAAATTATTAACGGACTTTAGAAATTTAAAATAATTTAACTCATTTTTCGAGAAAAACACAGACCACAATGATTCAGATTCGGAAAAAATGTTCAAAAATTCCTTGTGCACAATATTTTTCTGACACATTAGAAAATTGAAAGTTTTTGTTGATTTCTTTTGATTTGATTCTTTTAGCATCTTCTACATAATATTTTCGTTCATTGCTCAAAAAATCAGTCCTTAATATAAAGGATAAACATGTTTTTTTTATCAAAAGTTTGTAAAAGTTTATCAAAAAATATTGTGCATGATCAAACTTTGTATGAAATTTTATGTAAACTTTGATCGCAAATATCTCGAAAACGGCATCAAACGGCATGTCCTCAGTAATATGGGAGATAGATTAAAGCTTATTTAATTGATTTATATAGGTTTCAGAGAGGTCTTTGGAAGACTTTTTAACTTATGAATAGTTTAAGTTTTGTAAAAATACTCAGATTTCAATTCCATTTTTAAGGCTTAATAAGCAGATTTCTATTGAGTTGGTTGTTTTAATATGTAGAGCTAAGCTTAAATTAGCTAGCAACTGCTTTCAAGACATCCAAATAACAACTTAAAGTAGAAAAAATCACATTTCTTTTTTCATACTCAAATTGTAAACAAATTTTGGGTGAGATTAAATTAATGATTTCTGGAGTTAGACAGCAAATAGGAACGAGATATTTTTAAAGGATATGCACAAAGGAAAGATCTTTTATCTGGCATTTAAAAGACAAAGTTTAATTAACATGAAATTTTTGAATTTTTGAACATTTTTTTCGATTCTGAATCATTGTGCAGACTAGACAATGCGTTTGCAAGCTTACGATATGAAAGCGTACTTTTCAAAGGATGTACAAATGAAACTATCTTAAATTCTAATTTTTTAATGGATTCTTAAATTTAATGTAAGTTTTCATCAACATTACAGGATAAATGTTTGAAAAATGCACCTTAGTCAATCATTAGTAAGTACTTCTGTGCCTTTTGTTTTGTTGGCATGTTCTCAAATGACGTTCAGTAAGTTTTAGACATTTTGAAAGCTCTCATTATAGAAGAGTAAGAACCAAAAAGAAAAGCTATCGTCATTGGAAAATGATTTCCACCAACTTTCTAGACGCATGCAAGAAAAACAAACATTTTCCGACCGTTTATTCAAATTTTCCGGGATATGAATTGAATGTGAAAAGATTTTCATTCTAAAAAACGGTTTTAAAATATTTAAATTTGAAAATCTTACAAATTTTCCTTTTTAAACCTTACAAACTCAAATTTATGTTTGAAATTTACACTTTGAAATGAACTTTGATATGCGGATAAGGTTAGTGAAATATCATAACTTAATTTAATATATATTGGTGATTTTATTAAAACTTTCATTTCTCGTTTTTTACTGGTTTTTCAAAATTCAAAATTGGTTTCAAAATTTAAACTTCACAAAGCCGTTAAAAATTGTCGGCAAAAAAAAAAACAAATTTTATTCGTGCTGTGACATTTATTTTAATTAAGACTATTTTAGCTTCAAAACATGACTCGTTGTAAGTTAATTTAATAAAAGTTGTCTTATCTATCGAAATTACTCGAAAACTTATTCAATTTACTAGCAAATAAGCGAAAACTTCGATTCGAAACAATGGGCAGCAATAAACGTGGAAGATACAGTATTTTTTCCAACAAAAGATCCAGGCGACCTAAAACAAGTATTAATGACATGCCAAATGAGATTTTACTTAACATTTTTACGTATCTTGGGCACAAAGATACATTAAAAGCCACTTTAGTCAACAAAAACTGGAATGACTTAATCTCGAACACAAAAAGGACATTAGAGAAGGTTAATAGGATATACATCAATGATCAGCACATGACAAATGGGATTCCAAACTTTACTCGTAAATATGAAAGCATCCAAATTGAGGATTTGACTGAATGGAATCCACAACTGCTTAAAAGCCTGAAAAAAATTGGAACAGACATTAAACTTGTCATACTTGATCAGTGCGTATTCTTTGATGATGACTTTAAAGGCTTCTTGGAATGCTTTCCTAATTTACAATGGCTAGAGATTTATGACTGTCATCCTGGAATTTCACCATTAAAAAACCAGCTATTGGAGCAGAAACTAAGGCTGAATAATCTTGGTTCTTTGATCATTAGAGGTAAGCTGGATCTTTACTGGATGTTTTAAAAAAACTAATATCAATTCATCTATTTTAACTTAGGATACTCATGGCCATTAAGGTTGATCGAGACTCCAAATTTGGAGCACTTTGAAGCAAATTCATTGACATTGTACGACCAAGAATGGCTTATAAACTTCTTAAATCAACAGAGAAGCTTACAAAGTCTTCATTTAGTCAGTATCTTCAGCTTATTTGATTCTCGTTTTGGATTTCTTCAACCGAAATTTCAACTTGATGAATTAGCACTTTATGACCTGCCTGACGTAAATAAGAATCAACTGATGAGGCTGTTAGTTCAAGTAAAGTCAACAGTAAGGACATTGGATATTGGATTTGACATTCGACGAGATATCACCGAGTATATACTGAAGAATTTTCATTTAACATGCATGTCAATTGATTACAGCTGTCTGCCTACATCCATGAGATTTTATGATGATTTAAGTCCAAATGAATCCTTAACGAAGGTCTCAATTTATGGCTGTGTTAAGAAGTCTCACATAATCTTGCATTTCCTTAAAAAGCATCCAGGAATTAAATTTTTAAAGTTGAAGGCACTGAGCAACATCCAGCCAATTCGATTTACTTTTTGGAGTGAACTTTCAAAAGTGACACCAAACGTTTGCTGCTTAAAATTAGGGAACTTAGAAACTTACAATATGGTCTATATCAAGAGCCAAAAGCTAGTTCATTTGGATGTTGACTTTATTGGACACACAAATGCTGCTGCCTGGATTCAGTTCTGTGACAATAATCCGAATATCGAAAATTTTCACGTTTTTAAGAAGCATAAAAGCATCAATAGTGACATTGAAGCTATTATATTTAAGCACTGGCCTAAACTTAAGGATATTTATTTCGTTCAAGATTCCAAATAGTTTGGAAGGGATTTATATTTTTGATATTTGAGTAGAACTTTAGTTTATTTTTATTTTATTTAATTTTCCATGAGAGTTTTCTAGTATTTTCAACTATGTTGACTTTCATGACCAATCACAAGAGTTTCTAGTTTTAAAATTTATTTTTTATAAATCACAAGAGTTTCATTATAACGATTATTAGCATTGGTCGGTTCCAATGAATTAGAGTTTGTTGGGATTTGACTGACTACCACATAATAAAATCTAAGACATAATAGGAAACCCGAGCGGCACAATTTGACGATGACGATCAAATGATCGTCATATGAGCGTCTTCGTCATGACGATGAAGATTATACGATGATTTTTTTTTTCTAAAATATTATGACGATCAAATGAAAGTCATGAATGACGATAATTTTTGATTTTCTGCCAATTTCGATTGTATATTTTGCTTAAACTTTTTTCTTTGAACTGTTTTTGCACTGTAAAAACTGATAATTATTTTCTGAAAGGTATTTCGAAGATTGAACAAAATTTTTTGTTGAATTATTTTTTTGAGATTTTGTAAATGAGCTTTCATTTAATGTATGCTCACTGATTTCTAACGAATTTTGAATGCAAAAATAGATATGCTTATCATCAAAATGATTGCAAAATTTGACACAAAATTATCAATGGTAATCAAAGTTACCATTTCTTTGGGTGAAAATTTTGTTTTCTTCATTTGTTTTCGAGAAGTTGAAGTGAGAAGAAGGAAAATTATTTCAATCCGTTGTAAAATTTTTTAAGAATAATCAAAGTGTGTGAATATGATATTTTAGAAATGGTAAGTTTTAGAAGCAATTGCTGCAAATTAATTTATTAAATGAATTAATTTCATCCATTTTCTTAGGACTATTTCCGTAAAACTTACGTGTGGAACTTACAGCTCAGCGGCAGATGCTTCAACAGCTGTCAAAATTTATTTACATCGACGAAGAGAAAATCAAGCTAAGTTATTGAAGTTGACTAATCAAAACCGATTTAACGACGAGGAAAATCAAGAAAATGATTAAAAAAAATCAAGAATATCAAGAAAATAATCAATAATCAATATTCTAATATATTATGACTCATATCATGTCGTATGTTAAATGTTATGGCTTATGTTTATAGTTTAAAATAAATATTATATAGTGTTATTCTACACAAATTAACAAGTTCTTCGTTAAATTTTAAAAAAATTATTTCAGTCAAAATTCAGCATATATACCGATATTCAGTATGCTCGTCGTCTCGCTATAGTAATTTTGTCATTTGACCATCAATTGACGTTTTCATTTGATCGTCGAGTGACGAATTTTTAAATCGAATCGAGACGATGTCATGATGACATCTAATCATCATATGACGATCATATGATCAGATATTAACAGTCATTTTTCAAAAAAGAACAATGTATTTCTAGGAATTTCTATTGTTCTTTTGTTGCTGACCCCCCCCCCCCCCCTCCTGGACGTCATAAGTGAACGGCCCCTAAACGAAAATTTTACTTTTTGTTTTTTTTTTTGGTTTTTATGCTTATTTTGAAAGCTTTATGGAAGTATCTTGAATCATGAAAGTCGAACTGAACTTGAATATATTTGAAATTTAACATCTTGAATATATTTGAAATTTAACGGGTTCTTAAACTTAAATTATTTTACGCGAAGCAATTCAAATTCAAATCAAAGCAGGAAGGATGATCACTAACTGGATAACCTGAATCTTCAATATCACTTTCAAGCAACAAAAAAATTCTAAATCAGCATGGCTTAACGGTTTTCTTTTTTCCATCGAGAAATTCCGCTCACTAAGAAAAGAATTCAATGCGATGAAGCAATGATCATTGGAAGTGAGAATAGTCAACAGTGAGAAATTGATGACGTCATTCTGGAAAATTGGAAGTGAAAATTTTATTGATAAGGAAATCATTCTCTTCATTCGTACTTCCAATATTTTGTTAAATTTGTGGATGAAGGATGAGATATGAATAGAATTGATTTGTGGATCTAGATCAATGAAAGATAAGAACTAGAAAAGACAATCGGGAACAATAGACATGCTTAAAAACAGCTACGACATGAATATACATCGATGACGTCACACCAACGGCCGAATTGCGCTCACCTGTTGTCAACATTCTCTCGCATTTCCAATCGTATTGCCCGATGCCTTTAAAACACGAACATCCAATGTCTCTCATTTTCCCATTTTTCGAAAAAGAATCTTCTGCATTATTCGAACATTTTCTCAGTCAGTCTTCATTGAGTTGAACGACTTGTAAGACGTCTAATAGACTTGGTCGCGAGGCGCTTAGTTCTCAAAGAAAAAAAAAAGAAGGAAAATAAATTTTCCCAAAAAGGAAAAAGCAAAATAATTGAAAATGTTTAATTTATAAAAAAATGAAATAATTGTGAATTAAAGCAGAAAGGCATAAGAAGAGGAAAATGTGAAGTCTGTGACAAAAAAATAAGAAAGAAAATGTAAAGAAAAATCTGTGATGAAAGGAAATTCACGGGCAAACCTTGAAGATAAAAAATTTTCTCTCAAGACTGTGTTAGTGATCATGCATAGTGGAAATTATTGATACCTTACTGTCCTCCGGAAAATGTTCGAATTTCCTACTTAATTCTGTTTTAGGTTTTTTATCTTTTTTTGTATTTGAAGAATTTTTGCTTTGAAAATTCATTTTTGAGTGATTTTCAAATTTTCATCTGAGCATTGGTGTCAAGGAACGTCAATTTTGTAGCAAGATTTTAATTTGCCAATTAAGATACAGTCTATCTACCCAGATACAGTTGTGAAATGAAAAAAAAAAATCAATTCTTTAATTTAGAATTGCTTCCTTAAAATCTTATTCTAAAAATGGAATTAAAACTCCCAATATGATTGTAAAAGGACAAAGATGATAGCTAGGCAAGAGTTTTGATGTTTTTGGATTTAACCTGATTCGAACTACAGTAAAACAATAATAGTGGACATACAAAATAAATCAATAACAGGAACTAAAAGCTTTGCGCACAAAACTTAAAATGATCGAAAGCTTTTTGATTCTTTTGCTGGAATATTAAACTCAAATTTTCTAAAATATGATTAGTAAATATAAAGTTTTAGTGAATCTTGTGGACGGACTGTTAAGAAGTGATGGATTGACTTAATTCTTAGGTTTGAGAGCTCTCTAAAGTTCTTTTTAAAGAATGTAACTCTCAATTTCGTCCTTGATATGAGGAATTAAGTGTACTATCAATTACAATGAAGTAAATCCTTGATGCTGCTCTGGCTTCTTCAATTAAATTAATAAATAATAAGAATACCGCACTTAGAGATCGTCTGATAACAGCTATATGCTATAGGACTTTCTGGCAGTTCCTGTTCTTAAAGGCTCTCTTTTTTAGCACATCCAATCCAAGAATCGATCAAACAAAATCAATATTAAATGCATTACAAATTAATCATTAAACTTATTAATTGTCGTTAACTTGACTAGATTCTATCGAAAATTCAGGAACTGTTTAATAATTAAACCAAAATTCAAACTACCCTTAAAAATATCTCAAACTGTTCCTTAATAAAACCTCTCGAAAGTGCAAAGATGTTTTAAACCTGAAATATTTATCTGCATAGCTCATGACATAGCAGCTTTGCAGCACAAAAACAGATAAAACTGCATCAAATAACTTCACATTAACTTCATTAAATGAACAAGAAATTTTTTCCTGCATTTTCTTATGTTTTTTTTTATTTTTAAAGCTCTCGAGAGAAATTTTCTGAAAGTTTTTATGCTGTATTTATATGAAATTCTGGTGCTGTGCTACATTTTTAAAATTTTTTCTATATGTGGGAGTTGTTCGGAAGTTAGGTCTAATATCTGGATAAGGGTTTGTTGGATATAGAATCTAAGAGACATAACTTCATGATGACGGAAGGAGAATCTCTTAAAATTGAAGTTTGAAGGACGTCATTTTAGAATGATTGCCAAATACAGGAAAGAAATGATTATTTTTGTCCTTGATAAGAATGGATAGAAAATGGTGAAAAATTTCTAGATGAAAAGCTGTTCACCTGGATGCTTCCTATATCTCTATTTTTGGTTTTATTCATTCATTGTTCCTTGAGATTAAGTTTTTTCAATTTTTATTTTTTTAAAATTTTTTATTTTTAATCTTCAATTTTTAATATTTTATATTTCTTTCAATTTCGAAAGTTGAATTTTCCACAACTTTAGTTTTATTTTACAATTTAAAAATTTTAAATTCTTTTTTAATGATTTGTAAAATTTTGAAATTTTAATTTTTAAAATATTATAAATTTTGCCAGATTAAAAAATCAAAGTATTTCCAACAAATTTCAAATTGAAAACAAAAAAAAAATCACAAAAGTAAATTTCCATCAATCAATTTTCACTTCCATTTTTCCTTCTTTTTCCATTCAAATTGATTTAGGTGAATTATTTAATAAAGTTAAAATCAATATCGGAAGCATATTAAATTAAAAACTTTTCCTTTAAATTGTTTCTGTAAAAAATATGAAAAATTTCCCATGTGAATGTGGAAATTACGTACTGGCAAGTTAGGGTTTGGTAGCTTAATGAAAATTATTGGAATTTTTTTTTGCATGTGCTCGAATTGAATTTTAATGGAAAATTTACTGCCTAAAATGATATGCGTTTCATTATAAGTTGGCAATTTGTGTGTATTTCATTATATGACAGACACAAGAATAAATTTATGGATGTGGAAAATTCTACATAATGTCGTAAATTGCTTGTGTGTTGTTGGCGTGTTTGGTGATTGAATATGCAAAAGTGTAACGGAAATAAATATTTTGAAAGTTAGAATGATGTGGTTTAATGGGACAATGAGGTTAAGGCTTAATGGAAACATTTGCATGGTTTTTAAGACTTTCGAATGAAAAATTACTTTTTGACGGATTCAAATTCCCAACAAAAAACTTTTGTGAGGTTTTAAAAATTTATTTTTGCTTAACAGAAAATAAATTTTTGAATCCAAAACCGTACAATTTTATAAACATTTGTAGGGTTTTTGAAAATTTTGATTAGGAAAATCCGTTATTTTATTATATTCTTTAATCGAAAATCAAACTTCTGTAGGCTTTTTTGATTCTAGAATCATAAAATGTTTAA